AGGTAGAAAATTTGACTTGGTGTATATGCTCAGGAGGTAGAAAATTTGACTTGGTGTATATGGTCAGAAGATAGAAAAACGTGGTGGATATGCTCAGGAAATAGAACATTTTTCTTGGTGTATACGGCCAGGAGGTCGAAATTTGACGTGGTGTATATGCTCAGGAGGTAGAACATTTTTATTGGTGTATACGGCCAGGAGGTCGAAATTAGACGTGGTGTATATGCTCAGGAAGTAGAACATTTTTATTGGTGTATACGCTCAGGAGGTCGAAATTTGACTTGGTGTTTGTGCTCAGGAGGTAGAATATTTTTGTTGGTGTTTATGATCAGGAATTCGAACATTTGACGTGGTGTTTATGCTCAGGAGGTAGAACATTTGACATGGTGTTTATGCTCAGGAGGTAGAATATTTGACGTGGTGTTTATGATCAGGCTCAGGAGGTAGAACATTTGACGTGGTGTTTATGCTCAGGAGGTAGAACATTTCACTTGGTGTTTATTTTCAGGAGGAAGAACATTTGACGTGGTGTTTATGCTCAGGAGGTCGAACATTTTTATTGGTGTATACACTCAGGAGGTCGAAATTTTTCTTGGTGTTTGTGCTCAGGAGGTCGAACATTTTTCTTGGTGTTTATGCTCAGGGGGTCTAACATTTGACGTGGTTTTATGCTCAGGAGGTAGAAAATTTGACGTGGTGTTTATGCTCAGGAGGTAGAACATTTGACGTGGTGTTTATGCTCAAGAGGTAGAACACTTGACGTGGTGTTTATGTTCAGGAGGTAGAAAATTTGACGTGGTGTTTATGCTCAGGAGGTAGAAAATTTGACTTGGTGTTTATGCTCAAGAAGTAAAACATTTGACGTGGTGTTTATGCTCAGGAGGTAGAACATTTGACTTGGTGTATATGTTCAGGTGATAAACATCTGACATGGAAGCCAATAAATGTGATGATCCTCTGATTTATTTCCTTGGTTTATTTTCTCTTGTAATGTCTCTTGTACACCCAAACAGCATTCCTTTTCACATCACTTTTGTTTCCTCGTTCATATTTTACAAGATTAAAATAGAATCATTATTATTGGTATTATAGAAGAATTGTTCCAGTTGTACTGACCTGATAAAACGACAGTACATACATAACTTCCTGTTTTATGTTCGCTCCAATTATCTGTATTTTTAACAAATTACAGATTAATTCATATAAAGAAGATGTTTGCAATTCTTTTAACTAAGGTTTTTATCACGCAGACTACAATCTTAAAATTAATGACCAGATAACTGCAGTCGAATCTTTACTAATCAGTCAGACTATGATTTCTGACATTGCTATATCTATCTGCATACAATTTATCAGACTATGTAGTTTCAAGTATCACCAAATATGCCTTTTTTATCGTCTCAAAATCTTCCAATATTTCATAGCAGGTAGTTTTTAATTGATCTCGACATAAAATAGGTGGGGAAATATGATGCCGTAACTTGGTATCGATATATATTGTATATTTAAACACAATATGCGGGCTGATTTGATTACTCCGATCAATATAAAGACAACAAAGACGAACCTGATCAATGTATTATAATAATTGCTATAATTTTCATATTTTGATATTGAATGTGTGTAATTTCTGTTTAGAGAAACTAATATATCATATATTTTAGTGTCAATGGCATTCAGACTAAAGTGGCCTATTTAAGTGATATGGACTTTACTGACCCTGAATATATCGTATTAGGGCACAATCACACTGTGTAACTAATATAATCAGTTGTTGTTAGTACATCGTTTTAATCATAATACTGTTTCTTGTGGGTATCAGAATCTGCCGTTACAATCCGAACCAGTTTCATTTGATTATCAATAAACAATGTTCCTCATCCTTTTCTATACAAATAGTAAGTTGATACGGCTTCCCATGGACTGTTACCTTGTCAACCAGCATTATAAATCCGACTAAGCGTCGGTCTAGTACAAAACAAGGTCCACTTCACATTAAAAAAAGAGAAATTATACTTTCAAAGATATTCTTGTACTGATATGGACGCTATGTTTGCAACAGTAGGTTAAACCCCAATCCATTCTTATCACAATCTGCTATACGCTTCCTTTACATTGTACTACTCACCATGCAGAGTTAAGCAGTCAGTGCAAACTAGTTACGATTTTTTGTACGAGAAAATTGCTTACATTACATATGTATGTAAAAAGTAAAATAATAAAAATACCGAATTCCACGGAAAATTCAATGGAAAGTCCCTTATCAAATGGCAAAATCAAAAGCTCAAAAACATCAAACGAATGGAAAACAACTGTCATATTCCTGACTTGGTACAGGCATTTTCTTATGTAGAAAATGGTGGATTAAACCTGGTTTTATAGCTAGCTAAACCTCTCAATTGTATGACAGTCGCATAGAATTCCAAGTGATAACACTTCAATGGGAGTGTATTACCCATTGGTTTAAAAAAATCTAGACTTATATTTTGTTAATTTATTTAGTTTTACTTTACTTTATTTGGTGGTAAACAAATTGCATCAAATAGTCGTCTGCTTCTAATGGAGCTTTCCTCTCAGGAAATCAGATCATTTGAAGAAAATTAGTTGTCTGTCTTTAATGGAATATTTGCAGAAAAACATTCCAGTACTAAATAGAAAATGTTTTGTGTATATACTTGGACAGCATATTGAAAAACTGCAAGAATCTAATTTGCTTAGATATAAATTTCCGAAAGTAAGTTTCATTGCATAATGTTTTCCGTTTTGACGAATTTGACATGTTTATAGATCTGGTGATACAATAGTGTCTAGAAAATCATTTATCATTTAATTCTTGTACTGCCGGGAAATCAAAAGCATCTTTTCTAGTTGATTAAAAAAAAACTTGTAGCCTAACTGGGAATCTTTGACCGATCAATCATACGTATTCCATATTATTCAAGATTTCATGTCATCATAATTACAATAAGTAAATCACTTTGTATAAGGAACATTTTCAAAATCAAATGCAGTATAATTCTTCTCAAAGTGTTCATATTTGTCAACAAACTAGTAAGAGGTAACTTTAATCGTTACCAAAAATTTTATGAATGAAATTACATGTATCGTTTTATGTCGTTTCTAAACTCTACCCTTGGATAGATGTATACTTGCATTCTTACTCAAAATATAGCAAAGATCATCTCCTTTTTCCCGACCTTCTTTTTTACCCATTTAAAAAGTTTTCTTGAATCTAATGTACTGCAAAACCGGAAGGCAGTCTTCACAGGTGTTTTGAAAGTATACTCTTCCAGCGGTGCCAATCAGATGTGACCAATATCTACGTTTTATTTTATTTCATTCTTAACTGAAACATTGCTAATGGGGAACAATCTATCACCTGAGATGGGGTTACGAAGACCATAGTTTGCCATTGCTAAACTTTAAAATCGAAAATTGTAAAACTTGTAATAAATCTAATGATTCATTGCCCTTAAAAATTCTGTATACTGGTATTCTTGCAGCTGGGAATACATTCTTCAAAGTATGTTAAATAAGCCCTATATATATTAGATCTTGTTTCTCTAGAAATTGAACCAGATTGACCATGCAAAAAAGACTCTGTGACAAAAGCAATAATTGCAGATTTTCTATTTCCAACTCTAGTATAAAACAACATGCAAACTGCCTCATGTCTGATCCAAAAGTGTTCACTTGATCAGTTCATATGATATGCAAAGAACAAGTGTCCCTGTCTGTCTAAATATTTCACAAATAGACGATAACGCACTCTAAATTCAAAAAAACCTTAATACTTTTGTGGGAAAACACGAATGTCACATAAGTTCTAATCTAATTGGGGACGAACCACGCACAGCAGGAGGTATACTAACCCTGTCGACGAGTCGATGATGTAATATCATTGGGGGTGAACCACGCACAGCAGAAGGTATACTAACACTGTCGATGATGTAATCTCATTGGGGGTGAACCACGCACAGCATGAGGTATACTTTCTCTGTCGATGGTGGAAACTAATTGGGTTAACCATAAACTGTAGGAGATATACTTTCGCGCTTTCAATGTGGAATCTCATTGGGGTAACCACACACGGCAGGAGGTACTTACGAAGTCGATGATGTAATCTTATGGGGTGAATCACGCACAGCATGAGGTATACCTACGCTGTCGTTGATGACATATCATTATGGGAACCATGTAAAGAAAGTACTAACGATGTCGATGTATGTACAGAATGAGGTACCAACGCTGTCGATGCTGGAATCTCACGGGGGGGGAGGGGGGGGGGGGGGGGTCATGTACAGAATGAGGTAATAACACTGTCGATGATGGAATCTCAGGGGGTGATTCGTGTAGAGAATGAGGTACTAACGCTGTCGATGATTGAATTTCATGGGATAATTCATGTTCAGAAGGAGGTACTTACCCTGTCTATGTTGGAATCTCATGGGGTGAATCATGTACAGAAGGAGGTACTTACCCTGTCTATGTTGGAATCTCATGGGGTGAATCATGTACAGAGGGAGGTACTTATCCTGTCTATGTTGGAATCTCATGGGGTGAATCATGTACAGAAGGAGGTACTTATCCTGTCTATGTTGGAATCTCATGGGGTGAATCATGTACAGAAGGAGGTACTTACCCTGTCTATGTTGGAATCTCATGGGGTGAATCATGTACAGAAGGAGGTACTTACCCTGTCTATGTTGGAATCTCATGGGGTGAATCATGTACAGAAGGAGGTACTTATCCTGTCTATGTTGGAATCTCATGGGGTGAATCATGTACAGAAGGAGGTACTTACCCTGTCTATGTTGGAATCTCATGGGGTGAATCATGTACAGAAGGAGGTACTTACCCTGTCTATGTTGGAATCTCATGGGGGTGAATCATGTACAGAATGACGTGTTTTGCGCCGTCGACCTGATTTTACTCCGTTTCTGATGATTCCCTCTATTTCCTTTTGATATCTAATATACAAAGAATGCTCTTTGTTTTAGAGATGAACAGCCGTCAGACGACAGGTAACATTACTAAAACTAACAAGAAGTATTTATGCTCCTTACTAATATCTTATTCTTACTAATAATCATGTCAGAAATAATATTTAGATAGAATAATTTAACAGCTCCTGATTAGATTATACTAAAACCAAAGTGCCTTGAGGTCTAAAAATAAATGTAAAGTTATTTGCTATATGTAGATATAAGAAGATGTCGTATGAGTGCCAATGAGACAACTCTCCATCCAAGTCACAATTTGTAAAAGTAAACCATTGTAGGTAAAAGTACGGCCTTCAACACGGAGCCTTGGCTCACACCGAACAGCAAGCTATAAAGGGCCCCAAAAATGACTCGTGTAAAACCATTCAAACAGGAAAACCAACGGTCTAATCTATATAAAAAACGAGAAACGAGAAACACTTATGAACCACAACAACAAACGACAACCACTGAACATCAGGTTCCTGACTTAGTACAGGTGCAAACAAATGCAGCGGGTTTAAACGTTTTAATAGGCGCCAACCTTCACCCTATCTGAAACAAATTACTACTTAAACAATTTAAAGGCAAAAATCATTTTTGACATTGTCAATCTGTGAACAACCAGTCAAGAAATTGTTTTTCGACTTGTGAATTTAAAAAAAAAACACGACATCTTTTTCTTGGCCGGTCAAGCTAGTAGAATTTAGCGAGAAAGGTATTATTTGAAAAGGATTTTGATTATAAAGAAAAGATTACGAGCAGGATTTAAGCATAGATAGTGTACTTATGTTGTACAAATAAAAGCTGCACTTTTCAAAACTCTGGCCTTTGTTATTTTCATATGTCACTTATAATCCTTAGTACATCATATATATTTACACTTTTTGTGACATGTATCTTGTATGGTAATGGTCATTGTTTTTCTTAACGCTTAGATATTGTTGTTAAACTCATTTAAATTTTATTGCATTTTGAATTTTTTTCCCTTTTGTGTTCACAACTTACATTAATAATTTTCAACAGTTATAATTTTAATTACAGTAATTATAAGTTGTGTATGATTTTATTCTACAGAGTTGAATTTAATTTGTAACAGTTCTTATAAAATATTTTAATAAATGTCACGTTCTTTTGTTGATTATTATTACAAACTTTCTGCAAAAGTTTTGTCCGAAATATTTGTTTCCTTGTTTTTGTTTATGTTTAAGTTTTAGGGTATCGAGTGACGATGTAGAACTTGAAATAGAACACGATCCTAGGTAGATATCTTATTTATGAATTAACAAGAACTATACTCTGTGCAGTATCTTATAATATAGTCTCGAGAATGTTAACGTACTTTCAAATAAAATCTGATTCTATACTTTGAGATTTTTACGCACATGCTATAGAATTAGATCCTATTCATCTAGTATGTTAAATTGGAAACGTGTATCCATTTAATATAACCAGATTCAAAGCATCTATATATACCTTAGTTCAAAGACTAAATTAAGCCTGTTGAAATAAGAGAGAAAGTCCATAGTAGAATTGTCTATCGTATTTAGTCAACTTTTCGTACTCATTGAAATGAATTTTTTGAAAGCATATAGTTTTTTGATATGTCAAATAGTTTCTAGATGACTATTTCTGTTTGCTTTGACCAATATCCTTCCCTGCAGATTATTGTTATTGATCGTAAAATACAAGTCAAATTCAATTTTTAATAAAATTATTGCTAACGTCTTTGAAAATGCTGAAATCGGCAAAAGTGGTCTAAAAAGAAGTCCAGATATTTTGAATGGCAATTTTAAAATATCTATTGACTTCAGAATATTACACAGACAAAGAAATAAAGATCTCATGATATTCATACGTGTGCACAGGGAAAACAGCCGATTTGGATAAACGTGAATGAGGCAGGAACCCGGGGTGTCTATACTTCTAGTAGACAAGGAAGCATTTCAATTTTACGTCATGTTTTCACTCATTCAGAATTGGAAAAAAAAGAATTACGTTTATAGAAAAGTTGTATTCATTTACTGTTCGTCGTTATCATACTAGCAATGTCTACCTGTTATATTTATTTAAAAAATTGTCCAAAAAAAATCTAAATAAACAAAATGAGTGATAAATATACATATATTTGTACACACAAAAGACCGCAGATGGCTAGGAAACATAACTATTGACCAAGTTGTGGTTTGGATTTACGAACATTTGTTTTCCAAATAATCAATTGTCTTCTGGGTCTTGATAAAACACGAGTTACTTTCTGACTCATCGCCATGTCAAAATATTTCGAATGATGGCATATATAAAAAGTTTGATACTGAAATCAGATATTTCATCTTTGAAATCTCGTGCCATCTTCATATTCAACACATTGGTTTTTTTTAAACGTCATGACGGTCCATTGTGTTTTATCTTTTCTCCTGTTTCAAGCATCATACCATTATTTTACAATTTGTAGAATTAAAAACAATAAATGAAACAAGCAGGTACTCGTGTGTGAATTATTATGGTTAAATCAAGTGTTTCCGGTTTGCTATCGACCCAATTACACTTTTCATCTCCGTGATGTAGTCTGTTTAATTGTTCAAAGCCGGGTATAGCTCACTATAAGTTGATAAATCGATCATGTTAAAAGCAATTTCTGAAACTGATGTTAATTTGCTTAGGTGTTTTATTTAGTGGCATGTAAATACAAGAAAAAAATCAAAAGACATAGCTGACAGATTTCTGGGAATAGAGTGTTTCTAGGGTTGGTTTAAGTTTTGCATTATATCATGCACAGGTAAACCAAAACATGTATTTCTTTATTTAAAAAGTTTCTAGTGGGTCAAGCCTTCTAAAGAAAGGTTAAAATGTGGATTTTCTGTTTGTAATATTAGGAGTTTACAACAATAATAGGAGTTATCTATCCGATTATATCATTTCGTCGGGACATATATTGAGTATAAAAAACAATATATAAGCAACATTTATTTCAATTCAAAAAATTTGAAATAAAAATTCACAAAGTTACGTAAATCAATGTTTAATATTGTTTTTGTGGATTAAGAATTGCATCTTAAGGTTTATATTCCTTGTTACAATAAGTTAGTTATTGTTATGCTAAGAAGTATAATATTTTTTGTATGTGATATTAAAAGTATTTGTTGCTAAACTTTTTGTAATCGGTATTCTGTGTTAGACGGTCCCGTTTTCGAAGTGACAAAAGTAAGAAGATACATATGAAGTCAATCGTTAGTCGAAGAAGAACAGACAATACCAAAGGCAAAATAGACAAACAAAAACTAGATTAGGCAACACCGATCTCTCCAAAAAGACGGGAGCTCATTTTAAACGGAATGACACACAATCGGTACAACAAACTGTACGTGATGTACCCATTTTCTCTTTGGCATAAAGAAAACATTTATAATACAATATAAAAATAAGGAGATGTGGTATGATTGCCAATGAGTCAACTATGCACCAAATAATACAAGCAATAATAATATATCCACCAAATAATTATATCCACCAATGATACAAGCATTCAATTACATCAGTTAACAAATAGCTTTTATCCAGGGTATCTTAATCACCTGACTTTTCTTCACACTATATTAATCATGTAAACTTATAAGTTTGTTTCTCGATAGTTTGGGAACGCACTCTGGTGTATAACACCTTCAACAATGAGCAAAGTCCATACTGTATAGTCAACAGTTTCTTTTAAATAAGAGAGACCATTGGCTTGTATTTGCAAAAATGTTTATTTTGATTCATCTGGGAAAACAATAATAATAGAGATTTATTTGATTTAGTTAGTGATATATAAAGTAGAAATCGATACATGTTAAGAAGATAAAGGAATAAATCGTATGAACAAAATACCCATAATTTAGGCTAAAAATCGATGGACGTTAATGCTATGCTTAAAATCTCTGTGTAACTCGTTCAAGTTATTCTTTGAAAATCTGGGTATTTTATTCACGGAGGCTTATAGAAAAAACTCTGATGTTGACAATACTTTTGTAAAATGTGTTAAAAGGGGTGGGGGTAATAAAAAATGAACATATAAAATTAACTGATGTACAATCATACAAAAGTTTCCGATTACTATTTACAGTATCCTGAGATTTATAACAATAGCTGATTTATTTAGAATTTAACTATTTAACATTATGATTAAGACACATGTTTGGGTATTTGTGACTGAAAATTTTCTTTATATTTCTGTTCGAACTTAAACTGTATGATTTAATTTATCCCGATTTAATTGTTTTTGTTCATTAACGGCTAATCATTCTTGAATTTATAATAAATGTCACAATACAATGAATAATAGTGTAGCATCAAAGTTCAATAAATACAACAAACCATTAAAGGCTGTTGTCGGAATTATAAATTGTCAGAAAAAAGGGGGTGGGTGGGGGTAATGTAGAATTCATTATAAATTGTCATAATAAGGGGATTAAAATAGAATTCATTATATGGCATAACAACAAAATTAATTCAATATTAGAAAATAATGTCTAGTTCTTTGCTACTTACTCTTAATAAAATTTCAGATATGGCAACGGTTTTCGTAAGTTTGTTTCACAAAAAGGTCAAATTCCAAAATTTGAATAATAGAGAATCTAAATATTATACTACAGATTTTTAAACAATTGTAAATACATCCACAATGTCAAAAATGATATCCAGTGCTACAAATTGCAATTTCGATACAATTTTGCAAATTTTGTAAATGTTTTATTTATATTCTACATGTAAGGAAATCCATCACCAAAATGAAAAGTTATTTCGGGCAGACGGGAATAAGACAACAATCTTAAAACAAATAACAAAATAGCCGAGGCCTTTTAAAGAGGACAAACAGTTATAAAGATAAACGAGTTAAACAGTTTTTTAAAATCTCAATAATGAATTCTTCCCCTTTATCGTTTCGATCTTTGGCCTAACAAAAGTACACAAAAGATCATACAATACAACCAATACAGGTATAATTCTATTCTTGCGGTATAATACAGAATCTATAACCTCAGTATCATTCTGGCTTCAATGTTATTGCAGTCACTGAACAAACTTTGTTATATCTGAATATCTGACATAACTAATACAAACGTTAAATGATACAAACGTTAACTAATACAAACGTCAACTAATTACAAACTTTAACTGATACAAACTTTAACTGATACAAACTTTAACTGATGCAAATTATGACTGATACAAACTTTAACTGGTACAAACTTTAACTGGTACAAACTTTAACTGATACAAACTTTAACTGATGCAAATTATGACTGATACAAACTTTAACTGGTACAAACTTTAACTGATACAAACATTAACTAATACAAACTTAACTAATACAAACATTAACTAATACAAACATTTACTGATACAAACTTTAACTGATACAAACTTTAACTGATGCAAATTTTGACTGATACATACTTTAAATGATACAAACTTTAACTGATACAAAATTTAACTGATACAAATTTTAACTGATACAAACATAAACTGATACAAACTCTAACTGATACAAACTTTAACTGATACACACTTTAACAGTCGGTCACTCTTAACAAACCAATCTTGTAAGTACATTATGTAGTATCTGTGTTTGGACAAGTTTATGAAATTTTGGTGTTCTTGTCCCCAGATAAGACTTAAGAAGAAGACTATATTCTCAGCCCGCGTCATATCAATAATGTATATGTTGACAGTTGTAGTTAAACATATTAATTTCCAAACACAAGTGATCAAAAAGGATATAAGAATAACCATGTACAAGTAGATATACAAAATCAAATTAATTTTCATTTATTTTCAGAATGGCAACTTTTACTGTCGGAGGAGGAGGCCAGGAGGATGGGGACTTTAACGGACCATATGATGGAAATATTCGCCATGTTGCCAAAAAGGCAGCTAACCTTAGTCTTCCGGGAACATTAGGCTCCAACTCTAGATCTTTATTTATCTTCAGTGAAGAAAACTTTATCAGAAAATACGCCAAGATAATCATTGAATGGGGATATCCTTTTGTCGTGAATTAGTATTGCATATAAACGGGTACACCGTGTTTACATTATGGTGACAAAGTACGTACAGGTATGTTCAGTTTATAGATTATTCCGAAATGAATGCATAGTTAATAGAGTAATCCGAACAAGTATGCATAGTTAATAAAGTAATCCGAACAAGTATGCATAGTTGATAGATTAATCCGAACAAGTATGCATAGTTGATAGAGTAATCCGAACAAGTATGCATAGTTGATAGAGTAATCCGAACAAGTACGCATAGTTGATAGAGTATTCCGAACAAGAATTCATTGTTAATAGAGTAATCCGAACAAGTATGCATAGTTGATAGAGTAATCCGAACAAGTATGCATAGTTGATAGAGTATTCCGAACAAGAATTAATTGTTAATAGAGTAATCCGAACAAGTATGCATAGTTGGTAAGTATTCCGAACAAGTAATCGTAGTTAATAAAGTAATCTGAACAAGTATATGAATAGTTGAATTAACACGAATTTTGGTACAGTTAATTGTTCGTTTATAAATTGATCAATTTTGAAGAAACTTAACTTTTTACCTTCAACGTCCAAAGATCATTTTGTGCAGAAACAGTAATTAATCATATAGTAATAACAAACAAATAGCCTTGGGAATAGACATGAGTGGGTAACAATATTGTATGCGATTAATTGTTTTGGTACATTTCTTGGAAGGCTCTCAGAACAATAATGATTTCGAAAAAAACCTAGCAACCATATATTTTGGGAAACGTTATGACTCAAAGATCGACATGGACCAATTGAATTTAAGAAAAATGTGATTCCAATTTTCGTTAATTAACTTGAAATCTCTCAGTACTATTCGGAATAGCACTTTGAAACTATATAGTATTGTTGGGAAATTTATGAGAAAAAAACATTGACATAGAATAGTTTTATTTCAAATATTTTGGCAAATCTTGGAAGTTTCTCAAAACAATAACTATTGGAAAAACACCTTGAAACCATATATTCAAACGTTATGACCTCAAAAAAGACAAAATGATTGAAATGCAACTGAATCCTTGTATGTCATCTCTATAAATTCTCACCAATACAACAAGAAGAGTTGTTTGGTGTCTCCCTCGTTTATACATATAAATAAAGGGATTATAAGGTCTAGGGGACTTGGTTTGGGAGACATCCTAATAACATCTTGTTATAATCATTACCTGTTAAATTTTTTTTAGTAATAACCATCTAGTCTTGGGAACAAGCATGGGTAGAATAACGGTACTCTTAATAAACATGGCATTAGAAATGTTTAAACTTGTTCAAAAGCTCTTCAATACTGTAATATTGAAATGATTTAATATATCATTGAAGTCTTGCTCGCACACAAACATACAAATAATATATTTATATATCGAGTGTTTTCTACAAATTAGATTTTCTAACATGCAGGTTTCCAGGAATATTGATCTTCTTTGAAACTGCCATATTCAAGTGCTAATATTTTCCCCTTCATCATAAATAATTCAGAAACTTAATTGTTGTGTAGCATATTACATAGGATATGTAATAATATCATTTAGATAATCGACCGTGTATGTATATCTGATCATAGGAATTATAGCTGCATTCCAAGTTAGAATCAATTTGCATGACCTACTTTGGTTTTATAAATACATTTTCCTCAAAAAATCAATCTGATTAAAATAAGATCTTTCATTAATTTTGCCCCGTTTGATCGTGTACGACGTGTACGAGGGACAAGCTAATTTAACGGAGCTAAGTGAAAGATCGGATTTTAATCAGATTATATTTATATCAGTAGTTCTCCTCCTTTTAACAAATCCAAGCATCTTTCTTAAGTAAAACTAATGGTCAATTTCAAAATATAGTGACTCTAAGTACATTAATTGAGACTTTATAGAAAGCTTGTAGAAAATCGAAGTATTATGATTACCTTTAAAAAATTGGGCTCTTCCTAGTCAGATTGGAATTACATAAAATGTCGTTTCTATTTGCAATGGGGTCTAATTATACTGTTCAAAGAATACCCATTTTATTGTCTCGCCTTGACGGAGTCAAAAAGCGAGACATAGGTATGCTGTTTCCGGCGTCGTCAACAATTTATTAGTTTGTGATTAGGTTTAGTTTATGGTGAAACACTAGTGGTAGGTCAATTATATTTGGTATGCAGTTGTATTATCATTGGCACATCTCATTACCGCGGAGATTATTTGGCCCTTCCCCCTCAGTCATGGTCTATTGACTTTTAAACTTTTCTTAGTTTACATGTATTAGTTTGTGATAAGGTCAGTTTATGGGGAACCACTAGTGGTAGGTCAGTGATATTTGGTATGCAGTTGTATAAGCATTGGCATATCTCATTTCCATGGAGATTATTTGGCCAGCCTCCTCAGTCATGGTCTATTGACTTTGAAACTTTTGCCTTGTTTACATGTATTAGTTTGTGATTAGGTCGGTTTATGGGGAATCACTAGTGGTAGGTAAATGATATTTGGTATGCAGTTGTATAAGCATTCGCATATCTCATTTCCATGGAGATTATTTGGCCCCGCCCCCTCAGTCATGGTCTATTGAACTGAACAACAGGACAAATATGCCCTACTATTTCAATTTCATACATATTTTTTATTATTCAAAAGAAACTTTCAAAAAGGGTTCTACAGTGATCTCAAATCCTTAAGCTTTCATTTAGTACCAAATTTACCCAAATATTTTACTTATAGACAAGGTACAGCCATGCGTAGGAACTATTTTGCTTAAAATACATACTACTTTCTTGTATGTTCTTTCTAACCGAGCCCAAATTAGTGGTTCTATATCTTTTCAGATACCATCCATAACTATACATATACGCTAGGACCAAAACGTCAAAAACGATACTAATATTCTAGACGACTTCAAAAAATGGTGGATCCAACACTCCCTTCAAAATACCCCTTCCTGGACTGATAATTACATAGATTTGAAATTTCATTGGAGCATAAACGCGTTGATCGAAGCACATTTTGTATGAAACGTAGAAAACGCTTCATACTAAAACAAAGTGCGCACGATCAACGCTTTTACAACCCTATAAAGCTTTCAATTCTTATAATTACATGTATATGCTACGATTATAAAATAACGAAGTATAGCAAGATTTTCGTTTGTTTTTTCCATACACTGTAGTGATGTTGCAGTAAAAACCACATACGGTGATACGAGATTTCTGTGGTATTTGGTATACAGTTGTATTAGTATTTGCACATCTCATTTCCATTGAGATTTTTTAGCCCTGTACCTTCAGTCATGGTTCATTGACTTTGAATATTTGCGTAACTAACATATTAATAAAGTATTGCTATTTTAATTTCAACATTTGCATTATCAAAATAACAAATAGGCGAGACATATCTCTGTGTTAACAGTTTATCTTTCATTTAAACACCAGAATCGTTTTAAAATTATCAATTGAGGAAATATTTGGATACATTTACAGCATAGTAGTCATATTTAGCTCTTCTACATACAACTACACAATAAACTTGCACAGTAATTGAGTAATCAATATTGCGTTTGGCAGATGAAGATGATAGTAATAAAGTTCTCTAATTTGACTGAAGAAAGGATCCTCAGATATTCATACAACTATCCTAACACATGACCGTGCTGTCTTTCATTTATAGATTTATAGATATTATGAATATATATATACGTATATATATATATATTTTCAATCAGAAATCTTGAAGGATAGAAAAGATCGTTGTCGAAACTAATACAAATTGTCACTAAACTCTACAACATATAAAAATAAAACAAAAACGATCCCCACTAATAGATGGAATAAACAAAAGAGTCCTGAAGTGTAAGCAATTCCTGCTAGTTCATTACAAAATCCTGTGACCAGGTGCATTCGCTGATAGGTGATGAACAAAGGGAGGGCGGAATTCTTTGTGCGACAAAACTGGTTTCGATGGTCATTTATGACAGACATACCAGCATCAAGTCATGTTGGCGTCCGAAAATGACTTCGAATTCCCTATCGAACCTCTGTCAATAAGGTTCATTGCACCATCTATCAAGGAAATAATTAAAGGGAAACATAAGCTTTGGAATATCGTATCAACTAAAAGATATATATTACATGGTGTATGTGCTGCTGAACATTTAAGTCTTCAAAATGCAGTGATGGGCAATATGCCCTAGTTGACCGTGAAGTTTAACTGGCGAAACTAAATATTGAGAAACTCCGTAGAATTATGAATGCATTAGAGGTATCATACATATTTCAAAATATTCACAAGTTTCGGACAAATAGTTTATAATGATAGTAAAAGACATTAAATGTCACATTTCCATAAAGAAAATTCCGAACGACTAAGTATCGGTGGATAGGTCAAAATCATATGACCTTTCCTCATCTGAGCCGGAAATTTTATTACATTTTGACTGTTTCAAGACAGACTGATAGTAGCTTGACGAATATACGTGATTATTCAGAATTTCCCAATATTGATTTCTGAGGAAACCCATATAGTACAGTTAAGTTCAAAGGGGATCAATATGGGTTGCATTTCTCCTGGTATTGTTTTCATTTTGTCAGAATGATGTTTCCAAGAAGAAGGTTCACTTACGACCCAAAAGTTATTAAGAAATATTTTCATGAAACACTAATGTTACATATGAACAGCAATTAGATAGAGAAAGTCAGTTACAATTATGTTTTTCAGCAAAGCCAATATGCATTTTTAAATATTTAAGATATGTCTTTTTTTATGATTAAAAACGGTCAAATTCGAGTAGAAATATATCTATTATTGTCATCTGAGATGAGACTACTATAACATTGTGTTAAAATATTCTTCTTTCGCCTTTTGACTTTTTGATTCGGGCGTCCATTCATGAATCTTTAGTAGACGAAACGCGCATCTGGCGTACAAAGATTACAATCTTGGTATCTGCAGCACAACCACCAAGATTTTAAGATATTGTGCAAGTTATATCCAAAGGTCTACCCTTTGATATGATGTTTTTGTTGTCTATGTTTAAAGGGGGACAATAAAAGATAAAATTTAGGACCACACGATTTTTTTCTTTTATTTGTCGGGTGGGGGTGTAGATTTTAAAACTGTGGTGTTCTGTGATGATGTTTTTGCTCATATATTACATAAATCTAAAATAAATGAACAATATTTTCATCTAATTCACAATTACATTTCTCCTTTGTCTTTTTTATTTGTTTTGTTTTGAAATTTCATTACTTTTAATGATGTGTCTCTCAAATGTTGTTTTTTTTTGTACAAGACCGATTACAGAAAACATATAAGGTACTGAATTAAGTAAGAAAACCACAAAACAGTACAAACACTATGGATTATAATTGAACCACAGATCGATGTTTTCAGCAATAAGCTGACCATTAAATAAGAAATAATTATGAAAAAATTAAAAGATATTCCTTAACTGTATGATTACGCCTTTTGAATACATGGTACTACTAACGATCATAGCTAACTGTATTGTACTAGCCCTTGAAGAACACCTTCCGGAGTTTGACAAGACACCGCTGGCTGTTCAGCTCGTAAGTATAATTTTACTTAAATTGTAACAAAAGACATGCCAAGCAGTTTAAGATTGTCTTCTGACTTGAATTGTTACAAATGACTTGTCCAGCAGTTTAAGATTGTCTCAACTTTTTATTTAAACTTTATTTGGTACAGGCACTTCAAATGAAACGTGGGGTTAAACCGCGTTTTACACGGTCAAACTGTCCACATGCTTCAGTAAAGTGCCGGAACATTAACTAATTACAAGTGCCAAGAATAGAAATTGTTTTCACCAAGCAATTGAAAAGACACATTTTACAAAAATGTTCACTCATCTTACAGATTAATTTCAGTTTCCGTTCATTACGCATCAGTATAATAATACTTTTTGTAAAATAACCATTGAAACAAGATCAACTACTCAAGTAAAATATGCAGCATTATATTTTTTTTTTGAAAAAAACCGCTGAAACGTGCAAATGGGACGAAGTAAATTTCGTGTTTAGTCCTGCCACATTATGTATATGTGCCTGTCCCAAGTCAGGAGCCTGCAATTTAGTGGTTGTCTTTGGTCTCTGTCTATCATATTTGTTTTCGTTTATTGTTTTGTACATAAATCAGATCGTTGGTTTTCTCGTTTGGATTGTTTTACATTTTGCCATTTCGGGACCTTTTATGGCTTGATATACGGTATAGTTTTTGTTCTTTGTCGAAGACAGTCCTGCGATGAATACTGCTTACAACTAAGTCAGTTTGTCTCTGGTGGATAGCTGTCACATTGGCAATCATACTTCTTCTTCTTGATCGCCCTATAGTGATCAGTCTGTCCGTCCGTCCGTCCGTCCGTCCGAAACAAATTGTGTCCGCTCTATATCTAGAGAACCGTTATAATTTCATACTTTATACTTGACATGTATATTAACCAACACCAGATCTCGAGGGTGTGTCATAATGTTTGTACAACTTCCTAGGTCAAAGGTCAAGGTCAAAAACTTTGGTTTCAGTTGACAACCCCATGTCTTATGGTAAAGATCGTGTCCGCTCTATATCTTGAGAACCGTTATGATTTCAAAGTTTATACTTGACATGTATATTAACCAACACCAGAGGGTGTGTCATAATGTATGTACAACTTCCTAGGTCAAAGGTCAAGATAAAAAACTTCGGTTTTAGTTGACAACTCCATGTCCTATGGTAAAGATCGTGTCCGCTCTATATCTTGAGAACCGTTATGATTTCAGAGTTTATACTTGACATGACATGTATATTAACCAACACCAGAGGGTGTGTCATAAAGTATGTACAACTTCCTAGGTCAAAAGTCAAGGTCAAAAACTTTGGTTTCAGTTGACAACCCCATGTTCTATGGTAAAGATACAAATTTTTTACCACACGTTATTCACAGCGGGGCCCACAGAGATGGCTCCCATCTCAATGATGTCTAGTTATTTTTTTTATATTGGGCATGCACCATCGTTGAAAAGGGTACCTGTTTGTACCCAGTTTCGCCTTCTGTGCACAGAAGTGTGACGTTTATGTTTATTGTATTATACTAAGTAGGCTCAAGTTTGTTTGACACAATATGTTTATATCCAGCACAGATACGAGGGAGGTATCATGAAGTTCATACCATAAGGATTGTATAATTTACATAATAGAACTAAACTAGTTTTGAATCTTGAAATCTAAGAATATATGTATTGAAAATATCACAGGTTAATTTGTAGCTTTTATGAAAGCTAGACGAAAGATACCAAAGGGATATTCAAACTCATAAGTCGAAAACAAACTGACGATGCCGTGGTAAAAAAAAACCGGAAAAACGACCCGGAAAGACAAACAATTAACAGTATGCAAAACCCAACATAGAAAACTAAAGACTGAACAACACGAACCCACCAAAAAAAAAAAACGGGGGTGAAGTATAAATGACAATTAGAATCATATACACAAGACATACAGCATGCTAACACTATACTGATATTAAAACATACAGAACACCAACATATTTCATGTGCAAGGAAAAGCTGAACTAAGTTAAATAACGGATAAGCTTGCAAAATAATACACATTATATTCAGGAATGGTTGAAAACTAAGCTAAGGGTTATAAGTAGCACTACTAAAGCTTTAAAGCAGCAACGTAAAACACTAAAGCAATTTAAACACAAATTAATACACACATATATCGAATCGGAGGAGTGAAAGTAGCATTGATAGAATAGAATGGAGTATCAGTGATATGATATGCTTCATATAGGCTCAGTAGTCAGCACTCGACACTGACATGATTTTAATATACCTCTCATAAATTTTCTTTTCTTAAATGGAGAATTGTTTTATGTAACTATTGGTTCCAAGCCCCTAACGCAAAGTTAACATATAGACTGTCGGATAGATTTGACCGTAATCTTGCAGGGCAACCGTGACCGATTGACAGTATAGCTTTAATTAAATATTTATTTTTTAGGAAGCCACTGAGGTGTACTTTTTAGGGATTTTCTGTGTAGAAGCACTGCTGAAAATTGTTGCTCTAGGATTTTGTTTACATAAAGGTTCTTATTTACGTAACGTGTGGAACATTATGGATTTTGTTGTTGTAGTTACTGGGTAGGTATTAAGCTAGATCATAACGTTAATAATAAAGATGAGATAACTGTACTACAACTTAACTGAAGAATGGGAATATTTTTTGCATTTTACAAAGCTTATTACTGAAATAATTATGAAAATTCTATCCTCAGAAGCTAGTTTTATATTTGACAATGGTTGAAAAGGTATCTAAGTATAATTTTACATCAATACTTTAAAAAAGTGTATGTAATACATTATATTCCCCGCCAAATTATGAACAGTTCGCTATGCATGATATAGATCTGAGACTACTATGTGTTATATTAGTCTCAGTATAGATGATGATTTTTTTCTTTGTTTATATAATTTTTGCTTTTCTCAATATTTAAGTGTAAGTTATGAATTGTAAGTAGGTAAAATAAACTAAATCTTTCCCAGCTACTAAGAGGAGAGATATACAATAAAGATTTAACATACACTAATCCTGTTCAGCATGCATCATATATATATATATAAGAACATGATAATGAAGTACATGTTGTATGCAAAGGAGTAAACCATTTTTGTACCTTTTTTAGAGGATTTTTCCACATTCATTGACCACATACACATATGTATGAACATAATATTTAATATTGAATTAAGAAATCTAGACTATAATTGTAAACTTTTTAGATTTACTGCACATCTACTTTTTTAAAAATGCAGTGTTCCACCATGGTGATTTAGAAAGACTGGCACAGGGACAGTGGCCATTCTTTTTATCAAAAATTAGTCAAAAACATGACACCATCAATTGAAATGTAGAATTCCCTCTCATGTTACCCTTTTATTTATTTTAGTTCTAAAAATCAAATTATAAACAAAAATCTTTAACAATGAAAACGTGTATCTATAAAATATTATAATTATGATTACAATTTTCTAAACACATCTTGAATATTTTGTCAAATATCTCAACAGGCTACAAACAAATCCTATACAAAGTCTTGACAATTTTCATAAAATAACAATTTTATTACATATATCTTTGGAATTTTGAACCTGACTGATGACAACTTCAAAGTAAAATCATTGGAAAAAGATACTTCATCATGTGAAACAACTAAAAAAATATTGAATATTCTGTCATTTGGTTGGTCATTTGGACATTAATTCTATGTCCTTTGTAAGGTTTTCCAATGGTTTTATGCACACCTTCTTTTCCCAATTCAATTTATGCACTGAAGTGCCAACATGAAATTAGCACCCTTCTTTTTTTTCAAATCCGTTGTGGGAACACTGAAATGTTATAAAGTTTCAAAGCATTGATTTTAATTGGTTGTTCAATTAATGGAAATACCTTATATGTGCTTAGTACTGATCAGGGTATACATACATTAGTTAATACAATAAGTGTTTTAATTGACTTTGGTTTGACCATGAGGCTTGTTTGCTAACTTTTGCATACCTACATTTACAATCTTTACTAATACTTTCATGCATGCAGGAAAAAATTAAATGTTATAAAAAATAAATAATCATATGGACATACTGTGCATTTTTGCTGACATACCACTGAGGTATTCAGTTTTGGATGGAGAGTTATGACTGTTAAAACTTGTTTTTAATTATTTATCATGGCAAAAAAAGTGGTCACCTAACGGTGAAACCGAGAACAAAGGTTAATTCCTGATTTTATTTTAGAGTGAACATTTTCTATTTTGGCATTCAGGATTGAAACCTTAATTGTAAGGTCCTGAAAAAAACACTGGTACATCTCTTCAGTTTGTCTAATAATGAATGCATTAATTTATCATTGAACAAGGCCTTCCAATTGGCAGTATATTGACAAAAATATATTTACAAATGCACATGTGCAAAATGTAGTACAGAATGCCGATTTCCCAAAAATATTTAACAAGGTATATAAGGGTATAATATATGATGATAACAATAACAGCATGAACATACATTGATATAAAATCCTTGTCAATTCAAATCCAAATATTACATGTATTACAAAGTTCATTTATCATAGTTTCACATATTTTCAAATCAAATTTTTGGTTTAATGTATGAAATATACATCATATTAAGAGCACACACTATATATATATATATATATATATTTGAAAATCTTAAGATGTTTAATGTTGTTTAGATAAATGTAGACTATGATACAGTTATTTTTTATCCAATTTTTAATATTGTTGCAAAACAATTGTGTAAATGTATGTATAGTTGATAAAGGAGATATGACAAGAGCCGTTCTCTAATTCTAAACTATTGTGTTATATCACAACAAAACAAACCATGCCTGATGGCATTGCATAGAAAGAAAGAGTGTTTTTGCAGTAATAGTTTGCCTAAATATTGTTTAAAAATAATTAAAGAAACATATTCCACCACCATATCTCATGCAATACAATATTTCTCTCTCATGACAATAGATTTAAATATGCGAAATAAAGGACGCAACCATCATGTTTTAAATTAGAAAATTTAACTCTGTTAATTGGAAAATAATAGATGTTATTTCATAGATTTATAATACTTCTTGATTTATTGAAAACAAGGGGAAAAAAAGAATGGTCTTTTCATACCTTCTCCTTTAAGTTTTATCTTGCTATGTTATCAATAAACATATTTTTTTAGGTAAACAAACACTTTTATGACTTTTGAACGCAGAATAATTTTGTTCATTGACAAAAAAAATTACAAATCCTGAAAGGGAACAACAATAAATTTTGTTAAACAAATATAAGATATATAGAACCTGAAACTTATTATTTTGTTATGAAATTCTAAAAAGAACATGTGAATATTGGTGGTAAACATTAACTTTGTTTGCACAATGTGAGGCAAAAACTGTGAACAAATACTGTAAACAAATTGTATGTGATTTATTTATACAACATTCACAAAAAAGAAAAAATAAGTAAAATGTTGCAAATATGTTACACTTGGTTCTTCTCTTATATGAATGCATCAATTAAGTAAGAAAACCTAGAAAAATAAATTGCCTCAAAGTCATCTTGAAAGAACTAAACATGAAAAAAATTATTTGCAAAGTTGGTATAGAATTTAAATGATATTTTATGGCAGTATATTATATATATGTAGGACTCGGAGGTGCGATGGGGACGCTGAAGTGCGATGGTCACGCTGAAGTGCGATGGTCTTCGCAGAAGTGCGATGGTCTGTTCCCTGAAGTGCCATGGTCTATATATGTCCTAAGTTATAGTTTCATACTAAATGAGAGCTTGTTCTCTTTAAGTTTTCTGCATGAGGACATTATTCTGTGTTAACAGTTTATCTTTACTTAGTCCCCTCATCTGAGATTACTATATGTGTTAAACTAATCTCAGCTCTCAGCTCTCATGAGCTCTATGTTTACCGTAATATCCTAAGACGGAGTGTCTGTCTGCGAACCTGTATGTAGTTAGAGATTTCCAAGCACCATAGTACGTAAAAAACAAAACTTCTGTAAATTTCGAAAAAGGATCTGCTACAGAGAGGCTAAATTTCCCCTGTTTACTAATTATTTCACTTTACCGGTAGTATTAATAAAATTGATAATGGAAATGGGGAATATGTCAAAGAGACCGTTAAGAATGTATTTACTGTATTCATGTTGGATATACAAAACATTCCATATTTTCTCTAGTTGCAGTAAAAACCACATACGGTGATAAGTTCATTAAGCACTTATTATATTGCTTTTTAAACAGCTATCACATTTTCAGTCATTGAAATAAGCACTGGTTTTAATGGAAAGAAAATCTTTGCATGTAGCGGCTGGAACAATTGTATGAATGTTGACTTCTATTTGTCCAAAGTAAACTCGATGATTTACTTAATAAACAAGAAAGCTGCTTCTAGCAAACATATAAACTTCTTCATCAACATGTGAACATGAAAAACACTAAAAATATAGTTTATGTAACCCATCGCACTTCAGCATACCCACCATCGTACATCGGCGTTACGCTATCAACAAGATAGCGTAACAATGCTACCATTGCACTTCAGTATGATCATAAACGCACTTCAGTGTCTAACCATCGCACATCAGTGTGACCATCGCGGTTCGGAGTGCCATCGCGTTTCGGAGTGCCCCAGTGGTTTAGAATCCTACATATATATAAATATATAAATTGCCTAACAATGTAATTTTAACACACTATTTAGTGTGTAAATATTAAAATGTTAAAAATATTTACAATGCGATAAAAAATAAACGCAATATTTCGCTACACAATCTAGATTCATTGAGCTTGCATCTATCCAGGTGAAATCAGATGCAGATAGGAAACTTTTGCAGCTCATTGTACATTGAATTGTGCTGCCTTATAAATAATTCAAAGTTTGGATGAAGTTCAAGATTATTTATTTAATTACGAAATTTGTGGTTGAAGTTTGCAACGTCCATTGGCCAGTTGCAAACTTCAATCACAAATTTGGTAATTGAATAATAAGTAATCTTTAACTTCATCCAAACTTTGAATCCCGGCGAGGGAAGAACAAAAATTTGCTTCCTCAAATTTGCAGATTTAACATTGTTGTGCTGATATTTAGAGTAATTATATATATATATATTTTAACACACACAGACACATGTTAGTGTTTTCACCTATGTATTTCATTTTATACTGCATAGCTATAAAGTAAGTCATGGTATTTGCAGCATACAAATTATTTAATAAAAATTTATCATGTATGATGTCACACCGATGATCCTTTAAGCCCAAATCTTTTTTAACTGTATATGTTTCAGTTATGTGTTCAGTTATGTGTTAGGATAAATATTTGAATTGCATCTATGTTCATTAATGAGGTGAAAAGTAAAATAACAAAAGTACCGAACTCCAAGGAAAATCCAAAACTGAAAGTCCCTTATCAAATGGCAAAATCAAAAGCTCAAACACATCAAACGAATGGAATACAACTGTCGTATTCCTGACTTGGTACAGGCATTTCCTTATGTAGAAAATGGTGGATTAAACCTGGTTTTATAGCTAGCTAAACCTCCCTCTTGTATGACAATCGCATAAAATTCCAAAAGATTTTGTTTTGAATTGAATGGCTGAGATCATATTGAAATTGACAATTATACCACACAGGCTTATAGAGTATGTTTTCCCATCGTTTGACCAACCAGCTGTTAGATCATTGAGAGTTTTACGACCATTAAAACTAGTTACAGGAATTGAGAGTAAGTCAAGGTGATCCCTGAACCTTCCATTTTGACCCTATTTTTGGTTCTGTTGTGAATACCCGGCTTGATCAGGTTTTATCCGTTTACTTTTAGAACACTGCACATCTGTGTGTAGATCTGACCCTTCTTATGCTTTAGTTTAGAATAAAAAAAGTAAATCACCATACATGTACAATGTACTCAAATTTTATTTTAAACAGCAATCTCTTAGTAAATGAACAAAGTCTTTTGGCTGTCTTGTTACCTTAGTCTTTTCAGATAGCATGATACACTTGATAATGAACTTATCCTTTCATAATCTGCTAATACATTACATAAACTGTAAATTCTAGACTTGTTCCAGAGGAAATCTTATTTTAAATTCTTTGATTTAAGGGGAAAAATAGTTCTGAATAAAAGATAATTGAAAATTGATGTTTTAGGTTATTAATGCTAGGTTTTAAAATTTTAAGGAAGATGTTGATTAAATTTTAATCTGGGTATTTCCAGCGTACCAACTATAAACTTTCTATCCTTAAGCATCTAATTCATATCTGTCATTGCTTCAAAATTAATGATTAAAATGATTGTTTATTTTTATCCATTAGGGAAATGTATAGTTTCTTCATTATCTGAATATCAAAGTTAGTGTAGTGACATGTAAATTTCATTGAATTAAAGTATTAAAAATGAAAAGTAATGGTTGCCATGAAAATTTGACAATGTTATGTAATTTGTGTAGATGATCCTGCCACTCTGAGGATTTGCTGCACAATGTTATGTAATTTGTGTAGATGATCCTGCCACTCTGAGGATCTGCTGCACAATATTTTGTGAATTATTGATAGTCATTGTCAGTTGAATAGGCATTGCATAATTTTGAGATAAAAATATTGGATGTCAGTATTGATCTTTAAAAATGTGACAGATCAATACTGTGTGCAAATACATGCTAAATTAGTATAAATAAGCTAAAAGTACAAATATAGAACATGGGTACATTGTACATGTATGTTTGTAAAGTAGGGGAATAGGGCCAGAAATTAGAATGGCAGAGGAAATAGTCTGAATGTTCGTGAAAGGCAGTGAATTCCTTCAATAATTGATAGCAATAGGGATTCTCTTGTTTGATTTTTTTTTAACAACTGCTCGTCTTTTGATAAGGACTTCAATTTTTCTGGTGAAAACATGGAAAATAGGCAATTAATCAAGAGTCAATATGTTTTCTTTTACCAATCTCTTTTAAACTTAATTAAATTTTTAGTGGTTTAGTATCTTTATATATTTTGAAGATTTTTAACAGTTTTTGTCAATGAATGAAAAATCTTAAGTTTTTGAGACGGACAAGTGTGTTTTGTGCCAGTGTTGCTTCTGTTTATTATTTTGTTTGGTACTAAATATAGTGACAAATCTCTGACTTTTAAAAGTTGTTGAAGAATTGCTCAAATTAATAAGGGTATCCCTAACAGGGTTTTTCAGATAAGTAAAAAAAGAAATATAGTTTGTAAATTCTAATTAATCCAATTGTGTGTATTTTGTCCAAATATACAAGAAATAGTTTGAACCATGCATGAATATTTATTTACTCATCATTTTTATATATATATATATATTAAATAGGTTGTATAATTCATAGCATGTACATTTTCAGCCTTATTTTAAAACTTTCTGTTGAAACTTGCAGCAATAGCAGTCTAATTTTATATTTGTTTAGTCATGGTGTTACAATAATAATACATGAAGAGAAAGTTTACTTATGAGGCTGAAAATGCCCCCAAACTTGTTTTCCTGATTATCCTCATCCTAGGTGAAGGAGTTAGTTATGGTGTAGGGATTTGTCTTTTTTCTAGGTTTATTACCATATACCCAACCACATCAAATAGTTCAATAGATCTGAGGACATTACGGGCTGTAAGGGTGTTACGTCCCTTAAAGTTAGTTTCTGGAATTCCAAGTATGTATGAAAGTATATTTTATGAACATATACCTTTTAGTAAATAAGTAAGATCTAAGGCATCTCTTATACATGTCACAAGTGTTTTAAAATGAGTATACTATAGTTTTGAATGAACATATATGTAATTAATATCATTTTAATGGCTTTGAAGTTTGAATGCATGTTTAAAGGTATTCAGGGTATATATATATAATGGTTAATGGTCAACACCTCTAAGGGTAGAAATTCCCCCAAAAATATGGGAGAGTTGGCAGGTCTGCTTCTTATGAAGTCTTTTGAAATGTTTATTTCTTATGATCTGATGTTGATTGTTGAATACCATGAAGATTAGAGAACTGCAAAAAGTGATAGGTTATATGTACAATCTTCTATGGTATACAGAAAATCTGAATGAAAATAGATTAATATTAATCTCATTATAAACCATTAAAGCCTATAAAAAACAAGGAGAAATATAAGTTAAAGACATCACATACATGACATACATTGATAATAATCTAAGAAGCAGAAGCAGTATCTATTACACAAGAAAAATGCTTCAGAAAATATGTCAATTTAGAAACAGTTTAACAAATGTAAATGTAAAACATGTTTGTAGTGTGATATCAAAGTAATGTTTTTTTATGTATTTTTCAGGTCTTCAGGTTGTATTGAAGTCTATAATCCGGGCTATGGCCCCCTTGTTACAAGTGTGTCTACTGGTGCTCTTTGCTATTGTTATGTTTGCTATAGTAGGATTAGAATTTTACTCCGGCGCTTTCCATCGTGCCTGTTTTAAATTAAATGTCAAATATGATGTAAATAGTGAAGGTAGGTAGTATTTATTCAGCATTACTCTCATAGGTGTCATTTCTTCACAAATATTTCCTAATTTGATCAAATATCTCACTTTGGAGAAAAATTTCCTTATGTCTCCCTCTTTCAGCTTTTTTGAATTTTAAGCAGTTTTTTTCCCTGAAAATGATGACAAATTATTGCTAAACCATTGTTTTTATATATCTAATAAAGAATTCCCAAGCTACCTGACATGTTTTAGCTTTATAAATGATTAGATTCACTTGAATGTTGCATGCAAAATTATTTTAAAAATGGATAATGTAACTGCAAAAAGTAAGGTTAAGTATAAAAAGTAATATGAAATAGGTTTTATGACAAATTTCCCGCTAACAACTTTCCCCAGAGAGATCTCTGTAACTTAAAGGTTTCAAAAGATGATAATGATGGATTGATATTTTAATGGCCAGTGGCAAATATTACATGCCTATTATCAGGACAAGAACATGTCAATATCAAATAAATATGGGGGGCCTCGGTGGCCAAGTGGTCTAAGTAGTTCTACTACTGTAATCACTAGCCTGTTAACACTGAGGTTGTGAGTTCGAACCCCGCTTGTGCGAGTGCACTTGACTCCAATCTTAATTGACTAGGATTGTCAGTTTTCCTATCGAAGGTCATTGGTTTTCTCCGGGCACTCCGGCTTCCTCCACCATTAAAAACTGGCCGTCACGAAATAGCCCAAATGTGGCGCTTAAAAGTGGCGTTAAAACACCAACAATCAATCAATCAATCAAATAGATATGACCTTGCTTTGTACTAGACCGACATGCTGAGCCGGAGTTTAACATGCTAGTTTACAAGGTAATAGTCTGCTGGAAGATAGTCACCCTAACCACACACATTTTTACGAGCCAATTAGTCTTTTTTCTTGCTCCTAAGTGTTACATGCTTAGTGAAGAAACAACAAATACAAATATTCAAGTCTTTGGTTTGACCTGGTCGTTGTTATATGACACCAAAAACCTTTCCAACACAAGGTGATTCTGCTACCATGAGACCTAATGGCAAATAAAAGTTCGACACCTATCGACTCTTCCATTATCAAGGTTCTTGTAGATTCGGACAATAATACAACACAAGTTCCCATTAAATGACATTGAAGAACAATTATGATATTACAAATTTTACTGGAATTTTATGGTGAAAGTATTAATTTGAAAATCCAATAATTCAGGAGTGCTGATTGGAGACATCCTTTCACATATTTCATATTTTTTTTTTGAAAAAGATGTATGTGTGCAAAAAAAAAAATTTATCAATGAAAAAATATTGTAGTTACTTCAAGACAACTTTTGATTTAACAATAAAAACACTTCCCAGACTGGGAAATTGAAAGAATAAAAAAAATGTGTAGACAAAGTAAGACCCAACTTAGTCAAGATAACCATGGTCTTGCAATTGAAACTAGCAGAAAACAAAAACTCAGTACTGTGGAATCATGATTATTCATGATTGACTTATTTTTGTTTCTTTCATATACAAAAAATTTCAAATTTCAACAAACTACAATTTTTTATAGCCTTGTATGCAAAATTTGTCAAAACCAAGAAATAAAGTATTCTAAATAGATAGAAATTTTCCAGAAAAAAACCCAATCCACAGTACCATAGTACCAAGACCCAACAATTGGCTAAGGGTAATCAGAAAATCTAATATGATTAAAGAAACAGGTTTTTTATTATATTTTTCATTTTTGCTGCAGTCTTAAAAAATCAGTTGTGACATTAGCTCAAACACACACATGTAAGCAGATGATGTGTTAATATTGTTTCAAAAGTTAAAATGGTTTTTGGTTTCATGTAAAATTTGTTGTATTTTTTTCAGATAATATAGATTTAGGTGATGAAGAAGATATTAGGCCTTGTAATGACAAAATAGGTTCAGCATATGATTTAGGTGGATTTACATGTCAAGAAAACATTTCTGAGTGTCGAGGGGTGTGGGTCGGACCGAATTTTGGAATTACTAGCTTTGATGACATTGGTTATGCTATGTTAACAGTGTTTCAGTGTGTAACAATGGAAGGCTGGACTAATGTATTATATTATGTAAGTAAATTAGATTTATTCAGGGTTCTTATCAAGAGGTAAACTAAGCCTGCAAAAAGTGCACTGGTATCAGTTGTTTGATAGACTGGTGAAATAGAAAAAAGTCACTCTCCACTTTCACTAATTTATCTATAATATTTTGATATAAATATTTAAGGAGTATAAAAAAAGGAGATGTGGTATAATTGCCAATGAAACAGCTATCCACCTGAGACCAAACAATGATAATGTAAGCAATTAAAGGCCAATGTACATCCTTCAACAATCAGCAAAATCCATACCATACATAGCTATAAAAGGTCCAATCATAATCCTATTTTCCCAGATTACAATATCAATGAATTACACATCCAACAGATTTAGTGTTTATCATGTTAAGACAGTATGAACAGTTTTGGTAAAGCATGACCTTGTGCCAAAATAAAAGTATCTACAGGATGTAGGGCCATAAGTGTTCATAACTGCATAGCTGTAGATATTTTAGTTATGTTTCAATTTATCAAAAATATAATCAATGTTGGTACCAATGGTTATAATATTCAAAGAATTTACTACAGTGTTAAATAGATAGCTTGTCAGAATAACTGTATTTAAGGATCAATACGTTTGATTTATCATAATAGGGACAAGATATGATTTGGGACCAAATTTGCTCCAAAATGAATTGTTTATAAGATTTTCTTAAAGGGGCATTAGCTGTCAAATTCATGTTCATCGATAGACTCAAATTCTCATATTTGATTTATAACATACTGAAACGTGTATCCAAATTACAATAAGTCTGAAATAAACAATTAACAATGCATGGACTCGATAATATATATCCGGCATTTTGCATTTGCACCGATTTGCATTTCATTTGCGCCGATTTTTTCTTTCATTTGTGCGCCGATTGTGTACAGGTAGATTACAGGTGAATGTTATTTCTTATTTCTTATTTATCATTATAAATCTCTTCTGTTGACAATTATAACATGTACATAGCTGTTGTCCCCTGCTCACCACGGGGAGGTGAAATATGGATTTCAAGCAATAGAAGTCAATTTATGCGAACGAAACAATTCAGGACTGTTATTCGTCCTCTTACAATTTTCAACGGGTGTAGCTGCCCAGAAATAAGGTGAATAACGTGAAGTTAAGCATATATGAATACTTTAATAATACGTAGTCTAAGAATGCATGACATCTGTCATCAGAAGGAGCTTCAGACCTAATGTCAAACGTGAAGCAGTCCTCGATTTCATCTGGGGGAAGGAATGATAGCCCAAAAATTGAGATAGCCTTTTACCAGTGTCACTTGATTTAACTTTATACTCTGTTTAAAAATGTATACTTAAACCAACAGACTGGATTTTACTCCACCAGTTGATGTGCCAGATGAAAACAACAACAATCTATTTGCAGGGGACAACAGTTATATGCATGTTATAATTGACAATTTATAACATATGTATAACTGGCTAATGTAAGAGGTTTATATTGATAACTAAAATATAACATTCACTTGTAATTTACATGTGCTTAATCGGCGCAAATGAAAGAATCAAATAAGCGCAAATGAAAGATCGAAACTTTTTAAAATCGGCGCAATTGTCATACGCCCTATATATCAGCATTTCATGTGTATTTTAGTCTAGACGCCATCTAATTAACCATCGAGATGACTCCAAAGACTGCCGACGGTCACATAACCGAATATAAACATGAACATAAATATAAATAGATAGCAACCTCGTGCAATTGGACTTTTCTAGGTCTGTTTGATTTCATGTTATAGGTTTAAAAATAAGTTATTCATCGTTTTTACCTGTATAAGAATGATTTTTTGTGGATCCAATCAGTCAACGAAATGGTTCACCCTTGTTTCACTTTCAATGTTGACATTCTTTTCTTTTGAATGGCTGAACACGACTAATACTTGCATAAACAATCTCTAGCTAATGGGTTAAATTGAAGGTCACATGAATACGGATTCAATGAGGTCGAATTATTCACTTGTAAGTAAATAATTCATCAGCAATGTTTCTTAGCTTATTTTTACAAAAGTGAACTAAACTGGCTGCTAAAAGCGAATTATCATTTCACTATTTCACTTTCATTAATGATTTAACATTTTTATATAAAACATTGCTGTTTTAGTTTAGAATATTTCTCATTCATTGGTAATACAGCCATGAAAAGACAGTAATTTTAAATTCGGTAAAAAGGTTAGTTAGTCAAAAATTGTGACAATTTAACTAAGAAATAATATAGAGCACATGACTTGTCCAAAAAGATATTTACTCAAAAAGTGTATTGTATTTTTATCTACTTTCTGACGAAAAAATAGTTTAAGGCAATAATTGTGCTCTTTATTGATTTAGCAGAAATGTTAATGAAATTAACATATGTTTGCTAAAATTAGGTAAAAAGCTATTATGACATCACCTCAATGACAAACATCACAATCAAATATGGTCTTCAAGACACAGCTAATGTTATCAATTTCATAAAGGTCTAGATTTACGAGGTGAAAAAAGTTACCAATATTTGTAGCATCTAATTATTTTTGTCTGCTAATTTACAAGCCCAAATAAGAACCTGGCAGATCCTACTTTTTCCTTTATGAGGTCTATTATAGTATAAACAACTTCACTTTTAAAATAAAAAGGAGATGTCTTTGTCTCTTTTAATAAAAGAGAGGCGAAAGATACCAAAGGGACATTCAAACTCATAAGTCAAAAAAAAACTGACAACGCCATGGCTGAAAAAGAAAAAGACCAACAGACAAGATGTGTGATATTCCTTTTTAGCTCACCTGGCCCAAAGGGCCAAGTGAGCTTTTCTCATCACTTGGCGTCCGTTGTCCGTCGTCCGTCGTCGTCCGGCGTCGTCCGGCGTCGTCCGTCGTCGTCCGTCGTCGGCGTTAACTTTTTACATTTTGAACTTCTTCTAGAGAACCACTGAATGGAATGAAACCAAACATAGCATGAATGTTCCTTATGAGGTGCTGACCAAGTGTTGTTACTTTGTAGCCGATCCATCATCCAAGATGGCCGCCAGCGGGGGACTAAGTTTAACATAGGACCCTATGGGAAATGCATACAAATGACTTCTTTTAGAGAACCACTGAATGGAATAAAACATAACATGGCATGAATGTTCCTTATGAGGTGCTCACCAAGTGTTGTTACTTTGTAGCCGATCCATCATCCAAGATGGCCGCCAGCGGGGGACTTAGTTTAACATAGGACCCTATGGGAAATGCATACAAATGACTTCTTTTAGAGAACCACTGAATGGAATAAAACCAAACATGGCATGAATGTTCCTTATGAGGTGTTGACCATGTGTTGTTACTTTGTAGCCGATCCATCATCTAAGATGGCTGCCATCGGGGAACTTAGTTTAACATAGGACCCTATGGGAAATACATACAAATGTCTTCTTTTAGAGAACCACTGAATGGAATGAAACCAAACATGGCATGAATGTTCCTTATGAGGTGCTGACCAAGTGTTGTTACTTTGTAGCCGATCCATCATCCAAGATGGCCGCCAGCGGGGGACTTAGTTTAACATAGGACCCTATGGGAAATACATAAAAATGTCTTCTTTTAGAGAACCACTGAATGGAATGGAACCAAACATGGCATGAATGTTCCGTATGAGATGCTGACCAAGTGTTGTTACTTTGCAGTCGGTCCAACATCCAAGATGGCCGCCAGCGGGGGACTTAGTTTAACATAGGACCCTATGGGAAATACATACAAATGTCTTCTTTTAGAGAACCACTGAATGGAATGAAACCAAACATGGCATGAATGTTCCTTATGAGGTTCTGACCAAGTGTTGTTACTTTGTAGCCGATCCATCATCCAAGATGGCCGCCAGCGGGGGACTTAGTTGAACATAGGACCCTATGGGAAATACATACAAATGTCTTCTTTTAGTGAACCACTGAATGGAATGAAACCAAACATGGCATGAATCTTCCTTATGAGATGTTGACCAAGTGTTGTTACTTTGTAGCTGATCCATCATCCAAGATGGCCCCCAGTGGGGGACTTAGTTTTACATAGGACCCTTTGGGAAATACATAAAAATGTCTTCTTTTAGAGAACCAATAAATGGAATGGAACCAAACATGGCATGAATGTTCCTTATGAGATGTTGACCAAGTGTTGTTACTTTGCAGCCGATCCATCATCCAAGATGGCCGACAGCGGGGGACTTAGTTTAACATAGGACCCTATGGGAAATACATACAATTGTCTTCTTTTAGAGAACCACTGAATGGAATTGAACCAAACATGGCATGAATGTTCCTTATGAGTTGCTGACCAAGTGTTGTTACTTTGCAGTCGATCCATCATCCAAGATGGCCGCTAGGGGGGGGGGGGGGCTTAGTTTAACATAGGACCCTATGGGAAATACATACAAATGTCTTCTTTTAGAGTACCACTGAATGGAATGAAACCAAACATGGCATGAATGTTCCTTATGAAGTGCTGACCAAGTGTTGCTACTTTGTTGCCGATTTACTGTTCAAAATGGCCACCAGGATATTTTATTAAATAACGGGACCAATATTAATCCAAATTTGGCGTCAATCATTATTTGGGTATCTGTTATGATTTTTATCTATCTTTACATGATTTCTAAAACCAAAGTAGAGTCAGGTGAGCGACACAGGCTCTTGAGAGCCTCTAGTTTATAATGTTTCTACATGTAAAACCACACTTACAAACTTACAAACCAAATTTTATTTGTATTTGAAAGAGGTTTTAAGTAATTTGTGATTATAAAATCCCTTGATAATTTACCAGTAATGCTAAAGTAAGGTTCAAGACACGTTTAATGTAAGTAATTATTGAAATTTTAAAAAAGAAGACTTTATTCTAACTACATTTCAAGTATATAAATGAGTCATAATAGGCAGGAAGCCTACAGGAATCATGCACTTTTGCTGTGAAAAATAAATTTCTTCATATTGTTCACAATTTTTTATTTTGATTGATTTTCATCAATATGAGTTTGTAATTGCTCCAGACAATTTCAGTACACCATTACAACTTATTATGTACATTCAAATGCCATGTCTTTGTTAATCTCATGACGATATAGTATCATTGATCAACCATAAAAAAAATCAGTAATATTATCAAGATTTCCCCGGAGGTTATAAGGGGCAGAATATATCTTAATACAAATATTGATTTATAAAGAAGGAAAATTCTTTATGTGTAATCATAATGCAAAATTTTTGTCATGTCGAATTAGGGTCGATGCTGATCAGCATTTTTTATTGTATAACATCAGAAGATGTTTGGGGAATTTTAATATTCATCTTTTATGGATGTTATGAAATTTCTGTCTGGTTAAATTAGTATAGAAACTCATTGACTTTTCTTGGATGAATAATGCAGAATCTTTCTGACATACGAGTTTCATTGTGTCTGATCGATAATTCAAATTATAAAATTAAGTAGCTTATATCTAAATATAAAATTAAGTATGATATTAGTTTTATGTATGTAGATTTCTCATTGCACTAGAATTAATGTTTTTCTAATCAACTAGAAAAAGCAAAAAACATGATTTGAAAGTGCATACTGTAAATTATATGGTGCAGAAAAATGTCTTTTTATTCATATAAATATATAAAATAGCTTGGCTATATTTCACCCACCTTTAACAACTTCAAAAATGTATACACTGCTTTGAAATTTGTGTTTCCAGATAAGGCAAGGTTACTGTAAATACTTTTGTTTATTAGTAATTTCTTTGTTTCACTTTAAAGATATGAAAATTTAATTTCCTACTTACTTAAGTTTATGCTATTTTTTTTTTTTTTAATTCCTCCCCTTATAGAACACCACTTTGTCATTTATGTAGCAACAAATATAAATTTTTAATAAAAATCTATGCATTGGTTTTTGGAGATTTGATGATTTTTAAGACAACATTACGTTTTTCATCGATTTTACATGCATGTACATCTATTTTGAACATGTTGAAGGTTTTCATTTGATAAATTTTTTTAAAAATAAAAGAGATAAATGGATATTTTTTTTTATTTTTAGTTCTAGTTTAACATAATGACATAACACAGTTGTATACAAAATCGTATAAAAATCTGTGACATGACCCATTTACTATAACTTGACCTCAAAATTGCAAATTTGTCAGGAATAGGCCATGCTAATTTTGATTTTGAGAAAGAAATGAAAACTGAAAGTTTCAAGTTAATCATCAATTAGGAATACATTGGGATTCACCTACAGGATTTGTTTTTATTATCAAATAGCAGGCATTCAGTTTGTTTTAGATTACTGCTTAAAATATGGTTCCATTCGTTTTTATTAGCATTAAATTATTTTGCATTCTACTCTTGTACAAGTTAAAAAGGGGGATACTTGCACACATCCCTAATACATCCCAATAAATTATATGTTTGTGACTTTGGAAGAACTGTAAAAATTACATTTTCTATGTTACTGAATACAATTTTTAATTTTTAAATCCAATTTGTCTATTGCATTTGCTGAAAAGTAATGAAAATAACTCATCTGAACTGATTAATACATTCTCCTGTCAGGTGTGAACACAGGTAAAATTAGTTAGCAATCTTAATCCAAAATCTCCCTGCTGCATTGAAAGCCTATTTTGGAGCCTGCTGCATTGAAAGCCTATTTTGGAGCCTGCTGCATTGAAAGCCTATTTTGGAGGGCCATTTGATTTATCATACTATACTGAATGGCAGTTTTATTAGGGGAAAAGCATTGCAAACAAAGACTAGAGCAAAATGGTGATTTAAAAAACAGTTTTTTTTTTCTGCACCATTTTTTTTTTCTGGACTGAAATCCAAAATACCATTTTGGTTATTGGTCTTTCACTATAGCTTACTAGAATCTTTCCAACTCTAAGGAAGATTGCATAAATCAGATTAGTGGCAGCATCATCTTCCAGTGTATAAATGTTTAAAAAAAGATCCAATGATTAGTTATTTGGTATCAAAAATAGAATAACAATATGGCTTTACGGTAGAATGCAGCTATTAATTCAACTGGGGATAAATTGGTTTTTATGTCCATATCTTTAGATTTGAAGATTTGAACACCCTTCAGTATTGCCCCAGGGTGTACATTGGTACTTCAGAGTGTTACATCTCCATATCTATGCTTATAAATTAAGATACTTGCAAAAGGCAATCAAAGATGTGTAGAAATTGCATGTTCATCTCCAAAATTAGATATACCTTAAATAAGGTCTGGTACTAAATTGATTATTATTTAATTTGAAAACTTCCATAATAAAAAAAAATATGTATAATTTAGAAACTATTAAATTTTATTACATGTATAAGCTACAATATTTTATCTATTTTCAGACAAATGATGCAATGGGATCATGGTTTAACTGGATATATTTTTACCCACTTATTATATTAGGATCCTTTTTTATGCTCAATTTAGTTTTAGGAGTGTTAAGTGGGTAAGTAGTGTTGTATACATTGTATTTTACATTATAATATCAGAGTATTGATTTTTGGTGCATTTGTGTGTAATAATGACTTACAGATGTTTCGATTGACCTTCTTTTCCTAATTAGGCTGTTTGTTGGCCAATCGTGCCATACCATCAAATCTAGTTTGAAATCTATTTAGCTAAGGACTTCTTTTTTAAAGAAAAGCAGTATTTATCTTACTAGGTAGATAACACATCATAACTTTTTAACAAGCAGCAGTGCTCTTTGCACATTCCACATGTAAGTGTTTACATCCACTTGACAAACTGAACCAGTTTCTCTTATTTCCTTGAGAAATCAGTGGGATGGAAATGTTTCAATCTGTCTTGCTCTCTCTGAATATAAAGTGCATCCATGAAACTACTGAGCTTGGTCATAATCATCCTTAAGAGGTCTGTTTCCAAAGCAGGAATTTTGATTAGAAACAACATAATAAAAAAAACTTTCAAAATTATGTTTATTTTATTGGTAAATAATTGCATAATATTCTCTATAGACTTTAGTGCCTAAATTTAAGTTGTAATGTAACTTTCATTTTATTTATTTACATGTAAAAATTGACATATTTGATGTAAAATGGGCAATTTATTGATAGTTTGGGCAAAAGTAGATATAAGCCACAGCATTATACAGTAAATGATATTTTACCCCAATTCACTTCTTTTTTAAAGGCATCTTGAAGCAGGTATTTTTTTGTGAGGGAAAGGCTGGGCTCAAAGTTAATATGTGATCTAATAACCAGAATGATGGAAAATTCACTCATAACCAACATTCTTCAGTCCTAAAAGTTTTATACTGACAATATCAAATATTTGTCTACAAGCCACTTGAATCCAGATGGGACTAGACACAATTCTGCTGTGATTTTTATGTAAACAAACTAATGTTATTAATGTTTACAACAGAACAAATGAGAAAAGATTATTGATTTTCTTGTGAGATATGTTTAGATATTGTGTTGAGGCCAGTAACTTGATTGTATTGATAAAGTTGGTATCCAAGTTGTTGTATTGTACTTTTTAAAAGATTTTTTTCAAGTCAAAAGGTCAAAATGATGCCTATTGTCACTTGGCATTAATACCATCTGTTTACCTATTCAAAACTCCCTTCCTCTGGAACATAACTGGGCCACAATTACCCTTTTTTGTTTAGATTGAACATATCAGTCAGAGGATTTGCGTGCCTGCCAACAAACACAGTCGCTAAAAAACTTCAGGGGCTTACATTATACATGAAGAGGGTTAAGAGTTCAGGTCTCTGATGCCAATTGACCTACAATCATATGTCTTGGTGTTAAGCTGTGAGAATACAACATCCTTCCACTAGAGTTACATCAATCTGATCTGCATTTCATGCTTCACTGAAGGAAATGACATGGAAAAAGACATCACTTCCATTTCTCAAGTTTAAAATTGAAGGACAAAACATTGAAATATAAATATCAGTGATAATGACAGCAAGTTGCATATTTTTTTTTTGTGATGAAAAATAAAACCAAGTATTTAAAGCCTTAAACAAAGCCTGATTGGTTGACCTTTTGAATACTTTGAAAGAAATAAATGAATTTGTTTAACCTTGCCTATCCCAAAGCCTGATTGGTTGACCTTTTGAATACTTTGAAAGATATAAATGATTTTGTTTTACTTTGCCTATCCCATTTGCAAATATTCAAAGCATATGACCTTTGAAAGACTAAAAGCTTGGAAGAATATTTATTATACTTTATATACTGGTATGATATAGATGTGGGCTATACATTAATAACCGTATTAAAATCCAAATCAGTATATCTAGAGAGCAACAAACACTGTCAGGGGCGGATTTAGAGGGTTTTCCAGGGGGCCCTGGCCCCCTTTTATGGGAAAAATTTGGTTGATTATTTAGGGAATCACTGAAGCATGACTAGAGCGGGCCCCTTCTTAGGCAGTCAGTGGGCCCTTCTTATGAAAATTTCTGGATCTGCCACTGCCTGTTCCACATTGGACAAGTGTCTATACCATTTCTCCACCTATTAATATCTTACTTCACAAAGATGTATTTTTTTTAACACAAATGAATTATACAGCTTCTGTATAAAGCTTCATTGTTTAGCTCAACAGCAGTAATTTAGTACTCCTTCATGATGTGTTGTATATAAAAAATAAGGAGATGTGGTATGATTGCCAATGACACAACTATCCATCAAAGTTCAAATGAAGTGGATGTAAGCAATTAATTATCTATAATAAAACAATTTACGAAAAACAAATACTGTGGATTCATTTATTTTCGTGAGTACCAATTTTCGTGGATTGCGGAAAACTTTCATGGATATGTGATTTCGTGGTTTTACCAAAGTCTGCATACAACCAGATAGAAAATTTCAAATTCATTGAACATTTAAATTTGTGGTTCACCTCTTCCCTCGAAAACCAAGAAAATTGGTAATCCAATGAATAATACTGAATCCACAGTATGATAGACATGAACCATGGGCAACCTCTGAACTACAGGCTCCTGACTTGGGACAGGCACATACAAAATGTGTGTGTGGGGGGTTAAACATGTTTTTGAGCCCTCAAGCCTCCCCTAACCTGGGACAGTGGTGTAACAGCACAAGATTAGTACAAACTGAATAAATAAGAGTACTTGCTGTTACTGAAAGCTAGTTCAATTACAACTAATAAATAAATCATGTTCTCCCAGACTAAAGTACCAATTAGTACACATCTAACAGGCTGAGAAATGCATGACCATTTGATGTAGGCCTCTAAAAAAATTGTCTTAGTTTGAAATAATATTTCCACTGTTTGTTACCATTAGTACTAGATTTCCACTTTATGTTACAATTTTCTTGTGCAATTATTATTTTATACATACAACCTCTGTAATTATTTCCAATTTTTTAAATAAAAATATTTTGAAATATACATTTAAATCAGAATTATAATCTGGCCCTGGCCTTTAGGACAATCAGCATATATGAATTAAATAGCCTTAATGCAGGCTACTGTTATTTATGTATTTGTAATGCATTTTTATGATTTTTAACCATCACATAAAAGCCAAACATTCCCTTGGTAGAAAAGTGGCATTATCAGGAGAATGTACACAAATGGAAATATTCTACAAATATCAGTGAAGTATTATTCCTATCAAACATAAACATTTCCTATTTTTAGATCTTATTGATTTCTCTGAACTCTGTGTAACTAAATGACTGTTTGTAGAACAAATACATTTATCTTCAAATTTATTTCAATTTTGTGTAAAATCTCAGGTTCCAATTTCAACATTGGTGTTTGGTATAACCGTGAAAATTTGATTAAGAATCTGTCGACTTGGAAAATGGTAATGCTATCCATCCTGAGAGTAACGAGTCAAATTGATCTATTACTCTCCTGATCAATATGGACATTTGCTGTAGCAAGTGATATATTTCTATTGGACTGTTATCAAATTACCACATTGTTTTATTGCTGAAAAAAAATTGACTTCACAGTATCACATATCAGCTCAGATTAATTGTACTAGATTGCTGTCTTGTAAGGGAACAAATAACGAGAAGAAAATACATTTGTACTTAGTTTCTAATTTTTCTGAGAAAAAAATGATAATTTGACAGCTTAGAACTAACACTAATCGTACGTTTCATATATTTCATTTTACCTTTCTCATCAAAATAAAAATTGATAGACTATAATTAATTTCATTTTCCATACCATTTTAAGGTGTATTGTATATGTTAAAAATATTTGTGATGATTATTTTGTGAACTGGTACATCTGTTAAAAAAAAATAAAAAAATTATTAAACAAAAAACAGTTATGACTCCAACTAAATGAATCATGATTATTCACATTGAAAAAGAAGATGTTAGGTATATGTTGATGGACAACCCAATGACACAGAAAAAAAAACAACAACATCTACTGTCTTCAAATGAAGATGGGGTCTATGAAGTATGGCAAGCTCAAGATCACTGAAGTCTAGACAAGCTGTGAATACATTTAGCAAAGACTTACTATAGTATCACATATCAGCCATCAACAAAAAGTTCTCTAAAAGTAAAACAAAGAAATACCTATACTTTTATTGCTAAAACAATCATTAGCAGAGTTCTTGATTTGGCACATGTTTTCTTTTAAGAATATGATTGTTTTTATGTGCAAGGTTTCTCTATTTCATTGATTCATGTGCATGTTCTCATCCATGAAACTGATAATATTCCATGCTCTATGTAGAACTAACATACACTGTAAATGGTTTATACCACATCTTCTTATTTTTATATTGATGACCATGAAAAATGAAACAAGGTAATAAATTAATATGGTAAACATAGAATTATATCAAATTAACTTTCATTTCAGTGAATTTGCCAAAGAGAGAGAGAGAGTTGAAAACCGCCGTGCTTTCTTTAAATTACGCAGACAGCAACAGATAGAGAGAGAGTTAGATGGATATTTAGAATGGATATTAAAAGCAGGTATAACTTATATATAGTATAAAAGTTTATCACATGGATCCTTTTATTATTGCTTCATTGTGCTTGATTTTAATCATTTCCTTTTTGTAATTTTAAGCCATATATTTTTGTAAGCCTGTGTTTACAGCAACTGTTTCCATATCAGCATCATTTGTTCAGTTTAACATTTCATATAGGTTTTACAGTATGTAATATTTGAAGCTCAAATGTAAAACTTAGCAGAAACGTAACATTGGATAAGGGTCCATTTGAATAGTATGACAATAACTGAATAAGGGAAGAAACAAAGGCCTTTTGTTTTTTTACAATATTGTTAATTACAACTTTTAATCTTATAATGGCCATGAATATGGCACTTTTGTTGACTTGCTGTTTTAAAAAATTAGTCATATTTATTATTGAAAAAATAATCAGCTTAGAGAAACATTTCAAAGAGTTACGAAAATTTGGATTTGATGACTGAAGATATATATATATATATAAATAAAACAAGATGTGGGATATAAGTGATTGAGACAGCATAAACAAATTGGAAAAAAAAAAAAAAAATCATCACAAATTCAGCAATAAAAGATATAACTAGTATCAGCCATTGAAAAGTTTCCTGACTAAGGACAGACTGAAAACAAATAGAAATTATATATAGATGTATAATATGTACAGATTGGTATTCGTATAATTAAAAGGAGATATGTGGTATATATCAATTAGACAGCAACCCAACAACACAACTAATGGACATCTAGAGGTCAACATACAGTCTTCTTCAATAGATGGGTGTTTATACAATGTCAAGCACTAAATTACCTTGAGTGTAAAAAAGTTGTGAATAAATTAAACAGAAGTGATCTGCCTTCAATGACAAATTCTAAAACTAACAAAAATCAACAATAAGATACTACATGAAAACCACAGACAAAGAATCTCTAGTTGTTTGTTCCAACCACAGACAAGAATTTTCAAATTGTATTATATGGCCTTGTGTAAGTGTGCTGTCATATTTCATTCCTCAAAAATATGTCAATACAAAATTTGTTGAGAATAGTCCTTTCTAATATGTTTAACTGTATCATTAATTTGACATACCTGTATGGTATGTTAATTGTAATAATAAATTTCTATCTTTCTTCACGCTTCCTTAGAAGAGGGTATGTGATATAGCTGTAGTACACAGTATTTATATAAATATGTAGTGAAGTCTTCATATATTTGTAAACTATTCTTATCAGCCCTTATTTCATACTATGCTCAAACATTAGTATGAAAATATCTGACTTTGAATGACTGCATTATATTTTGACTGATTTATTTAGAAATATTTTGTTATGCCATTTTCTTAGTATGAATTTTAAAAGTTCAGAATACAAAAATTGGGCTTCCTTGTGTAAACTGTTTGAAAAAATTATACCATAATGGTATTACCACTGACCTGTTGCAAGAAAATTATGATAAATTTTTACCCATGTAAATTTGTGTGAAGGAATATATTATTTTTTTTAGGAAGAATAATCATAAAAGTTATTATAATCACTGCATCAATCATCTTACATTTTTTTAACTGCCTCAAAAACCATTAATCTAGATATTATACTTTGAGAGTCCTTTTGTATCAGGCAATGTCGTTTGTTACCAAAGGTGACTATACTTGAGCAGCTGATTCTCTGGCACATTTTTGGAATGAAACAAACTAGATGTAAATTGTCTTTGAGTTATTTTCTTTCAAAATTATATGCAATAGAAGCATTTACTGTCTTAATGTTGGGTCATCATACTTTTAATTGGCAGGGACATATTAAGTTGATTACTGGGGCTAATTAAACTAGTTTGGCAATAGTAGTTCTTAGGTCCTTGTTTGAAGGTTTAAACATGTATTAAAGCTATTTATCATCCAATATAATTAATTGTATTATATTGTGAAAGTGGCTTATTTGGAAAATTGTATCATTTTCAATGGCTGACTTAACTTTAAATTGCCATTGTTGGTTTTCTTTGACTAATGATGTTTAATTGTCCCTTTGAAATCTTCACTCTCTTTATAAAAGAGCATAAAAAACAGAGGATTGATTTTTTTTTTTACTTGGAACTTCAATTCATACCTTGTTCGTTGTAGCTTACATATGGTTTTTGCTATAGTCTTTGTTTTTTCTTTGTGATAGTTTATATATATATTTTATTGTAATACATTTTTATACCCCACTCCAAAGGCAGGGGTAATCTAGTAAACCTTTTGTTCAGATTTTTTTATGTTCTTAGTAATGATCTGATAAAACAATCCTTTTCCAACTGATATTTATAGTTCTTATGTTGTGCATATATAATTTCATAAAAGTATGAAATACCACCTAATTACATATCCTTTGCCTTGATGGACAAAAGTCAGAAACAAGTTTTGAAAAGCACTTTCTTAACACTGACTCGACAAATTAAGGATATTTGCTTATCTTGTTTTTGACTTTTTGTCAGATATTCAGAATTCTTGGATTTTATCCATCTAGTGCCATTCAATATTTGCCTGCTAACCCCTACTTTTCTTATTTAAGCCATTTTTGAAAATCTTATAAAGTCCTTTTTATTTTTTTTTAAAGAAAAAAGATGCCAGTGTTAAATGAATGAAAAATTTAGATATTATCATTTCCAGCCAAATTTTCAATGGCTGCTTTTTTTATTTCAGTTAATTATGTACTATATATATCAATTTATAACAGTCTTTCAAAAAGCTTGTTAATTTTTAGCAGAGCAGCGGCCATCCTTAATATTATGTTTTAGCACGACAGTTCTGATTAAAAGCAGGTCTTCATTAACTGATATGTTGCATGCAGATCAGATTATCTCAATAAGAGATAATTTTATAGAACCCTTTTTCATCCTGTCGGTAGCTGTACTACTCAGGTTTTTTACTGTGTGTTTTAGTTTTACGACATAGGGTGTAGATAGGTAAAAGGGAGGTTGTGTGCATATAAAACCCACCCCACTCCTGTTATGTGCCTGTATCAAATCAGATTATCTGGACCATGTGTTGTTCATTGTTGTTTGTCTTTGATTGTACACAGGTGGGTCTGTTGAACTGTCCATTGTACACGGGTGGGTCTGTTGAACTGTCCATTGTACACAGGTGGGTCTGTTGAACTGTCCATTGTATACAGGTGGGTCTGTTAAACTGTCCATTGAACACGGGTGGGTCTGTTGAACTGTCCATTGTACACGGGTGGGTCTGTTGTACTGTCCATTTTACACGGTGGGTCTGTTGAACTGTCCATTGTACACAGGTGGGTCTGTTGAACTGTCCATTGTACACGGGTGGGTCTGTTGAACTGTCCATTGTACACAGGTGGGTCTGTTGAACTGTCCATTGTATACAGGTGGGTCTGTTGAACTGTCCATTGTACACAGGTGGGTCTGTTGAACTGTCCATTGTATACAGGTGGGTCTGTTAAACTGTCCATTGTACACGGGTGGGTCTGTTAAACTGTCCATTGTACACGGATGGGTCTGTTGTACTGTCCATTGTACACAGGTGGGTCTGTTGTACTGTCCATTGTACACAGGTTGGTCTGTTGTACTGTCCATTGTACACAGGTGGGTCGGTGGGTCTGTTGTACTGTCTATTGTACACAGGTGGGTCTGTTGTACTGTCTATTATTTTTTGTGATATCCTTTTTATATTTTTGAAATTAGTTTTACTATTCAAACTTTTGGTGACTTGAATCCAAAGAAACTGAAAGAATTAGTTTTGTCTGCTTTGTTCAGTTATACATTCAATTAGTTACACCAATCATTAATTCCTCCATTTAAGGCATAAAAACATTTAATGGTGGAAGTACCTAAATCTGTGGAATAATTGTCCCTTACACATTTTTTTTAATTCATACACAACATCAGTAGTATATATCCATATATATATAGTAATTTTTACTAGTCTAGACCTTAGTGTCTATGGTCAGTAAATGTTACCCTCAAATTAACACAGGGAAAAGAAATGAGATCTAAGGTATTGTAGGCACAATCAAAATTTATAAGAGGAAGAAACTGGTAACTCCATGGGAAAAATAGTAAAACAAGGAAAAGACGAACAACAGTCTACAAAACATTTCATAGAAAATGCAAGGTTTTAAAATCTATACACAGTGTTCTGATTGTCTAAGTGAATGTGTTCCCTTATAGGTTTCACAATTTCTTCATTTGACAGATCAAGTTCAGTTAACAGAAACAAATGAGGTCAATAACTAAGAGTGATAGGGCAACAATATTTTAAGTTATTTATTTGTTGTAAGAGTATATGTTAATCTGCTGTGTAACATGACCTTTTCCATGTTTTCACTCGTGTGTTTAAAAATGATAAATTCTATCTTTATGCATCTTTAGATGAGGGTATGTGATATAGATGTAGAAAAACAGTATTTATATAAATGTGTAGTATCTATAGAAATATAACTATGTACAGTCCTTTTTCCATATTTGTTCCATATGAAGTGCCAAAATGGTTGACTGCATTTTAATATGCTTCAACAAGTTTAGTGCGACTATTGGAGTACCCTTGTCATCCATGTTTTTGCATGTGCCTCTGCATGTTAAGAGATAAGATATATATCAAAGTTCATCTCAGATACAATCAGGTAAAAGTTGTAAGATTATTTTATCTACCTATAGTTGCTACTTAATGAGAAAATCAGCTTCTCATTAAAACTAAGCACATGAATTTTGTTTGAATTAAAGATAAAATTTTATGGTGCACCATTTAACTTGCATGTAGGTTCCTTATTGAGTAGGTCAGCTTTGAGGTAAATAGATAAATTTGAGCACATGAAGATGCTTCATTGACGTAGGATTAAGTTTACCTCTAAGTTCATAACTTATGTAATAAAATACAAAGGATTTATTAACATGACATGGAGCACATCAATGAGTTAGTCTGAAATCAAGAAAATGAACCTTTATCAATCACTTTCTATGCTTCAAAGATTATTCAAAATTGCATTGAAGTTCCTATCTTGAGAAGTGTAAGATATAGATTAGATAAGGATCAAGGAAAAATAAAAGGTTTTGACTTATTTATCATTCCTTGGTCAGAGTTGACTTTTAGTCTTTAAATATGTGTTAATACTTTAGAATGTAGGATTTTAAAAATATTTTGTGAAATTGTGTCACAAAAAGTATGTCATCATTGAAGTTAAAATATGTCATTCACTAACCTATTCTTTGTGCCAAATTAGCATTGTTTGTAGGGTAGGGTAGATCAGATACTTATTTAAACAAGTGTATCTATAGGAACCTGTATCGCTTTCTCATTAGTTGATTCACTGTTACAAACTTACAATGCAAAAAGACAAGTTTTAGAGAAACCTCATTCTGTTGATTTAGCGCATATTCAATTCAGTTATAAGCTGTTTATGAAGTTACATTTCATAGTAATTCATACATCTGCTATAAATTTTTAATTTTTATGATTTCAATGTAACAATAGAATTTTGGATAGCTTCTAAAATTGATTAGTTTTGATTATTGTAATTGGATGAAATAATAAAAACATTACAAAAATGACTGAAATTACAATACTTATTTATATGAAGTATTTATGATAGGTTTTGATATTAAGAATGCCATTGCAATAGCATTCATACATTTCAGTTTTGATTTTGAGAAGGTTATTAGGCTTCACCTTATCACTCATGCAGCAGTCAGTTCAAAATTTGTACTTTCCTCAAATTATTAGTTTATGTTTAGATTTCAAGTTTTCAATGTTTATGAAGATTAAAGATGATATCTTCTTTTAGTACAATGTTTACACTCTGCAGTTGCATCTGTGAAATTAATTTCATGTAAATGGAATCATGAGATTTTACAGTTATGTATAATTTTCATTTTGGTTGCACAAAAAGTGATACGACCCAAACTGTATATAGAATTTTTGTTTTCAATTATACATGGTTTAATTAGATTATTTCTTTGTCCAATAGTCCTATAGAGCTGTACATCTATTTACCCTAGCTACCTGTTCACCAATATAAAATGAGTTGCTGATTGTTAATTTGATTAAAGTATCACATATTGTCATGCAAAGCAGTTGAGTATAGAATCTAAAAACTAAAAAAATTTCATGAGGTCTATTAAAGGAGATGTGACTTGATTTTAAGTTATTTATTTTTTGGAAATAAATCAATAAATATTAGTCGTATAACATGTTTCATGTAATTTTGTTGGTCAAAACCTGACCAATCAGTATTTTTAGGCCATAGAATCCAACTCGAACATATTGTGATTATGAAAAGTTAATCAAACCTGAAAACTTCTAATATTGTGTAAATTGATATGATAGGTCTACAAAAAATAATAAAATCTGTCTCTCAACAATATTATTGTCCTTATTATTGATAGAATTGACTACATAAACTATAAAATAAAAGATAAATTTCAGTCCTTTCAGTAATCAGGTCGATAGTTGCATTTTATGGAAATTTGATTCTGATTGTGGCAACTTAATTATCTAATATATTGATTTTCAATATAGATATTGCAGCAATGCCATTAAAAAAGTACTGAATACAACCTTATTACTGGTCCATTAATTTGTGCATGTTAAATAATTATCTTATAAATACAAAACATTGATGTGTGCATAGACTTTCAGTTTTCAAGGTTGTTTTATTCTTCTTATTGTACATTGGAATTATAGCCCTAAATCACAGAAAGATTACTACTGTCTTTATCTTATAAACTTTGTGTACCAATTTATTCATAATTAAAATTTCAGTATCACATGAATAAAATAGGTGATGTAAGTGTCTGTAAGACAGCAACCCAATACAATCAAACCAAAGAATCTGTATGAGTTCTGACGGTATTGACATACTTTTGTTAATTTGCTTAATCTTGACTTGAAGTTAGGGCTATTTATATCTAACTGTAAGGTGTTATTAATGCAGTTTATCATTGAATACCATTATGATGAAGAACAACAATACCAGTCTTGTTTCTTTGGTATATTATTTTTGTCTATGTTATGATATTGTTTTTGCCCAGTGTTTTATAAGATGATTTTCTCATGTACACTCTTTTTTTTCTTTTCAATATGTTGATTCTTAAAATAAAAAAAAGACCAAGTTTATTATATATACTGGGAAAGTTCTTTCATTCATGGATCCAATTTACATGTTTTTTGAAATACTTGACATTTATTAGTTCATGGTTTTAGATCCTGATTTTCATGTGTCAAATCAGTGGAAAATATGCAATTTTTTTGTTGGATATTATGATTTGTGTCATAGTTAATCATTCACTAAATCTTTGAAAATTAGTTTTTAAGAATATGAGTACTTTACACTAAAATGCCTAGATGTATTATTGAGATATTTTCCAAGTTGTCACCAGTACTTTTCTTGATATAAAATATGTATTCACAATTATTTATATTTGACACGATTGGTTTAAATCCTCAATTTAGTTTTAAATTTAGAAATATCCACTTTGACATGCCAGTTATATGTCTAACATTCATATGATTTCATTATGGCTTAGCTTTAAATTTGTCAATATAAATATTATAATTTGCAATTTTGTACTTGCTTAGGTATAGGTCTGTTACCCACTTCATTGCCCTTCAGTTCAGCTTTGGCCCATACAGCAAGTGCTACATTGATTTGTAAAAGCATCTTACTTTGCTTGTTCCTGAATCCTAGATATTTATTTCATGTTTATTATGTTGTTATGTGATGATTTATCAGAATTAATATTATTTGAATTAAGCTGCATTGGCCTTTAGTTTAACCTTGGACCAAAACAGCAAGTTTTAGACCAATATACTGCATTGGCCTTTAGTTTAACCCTGGACCAAAACAGCAAGTTTTAGACCAAGATACTGCATTGGCCTTCAGGTCAACATTGGACCAAAACAGCAAGTTTTAGACCAATATACTGCATTGGCCTTCAGGTCAATCTTGGGCCAAAACCTATTACATTTGCAGCTGCATTATCTCAAATTAAATGTGCCATTCAAGTGAAACTGACAGATGAAACAGTTAAATTGTCCCTTAGTTCAATCATTGACCAATACAGCAAGTCTACCAATTACATGGACCTCCAGCTCAGTCTTCCATCATGCAGCAAGACACAAAACTAACAAAAACATCTGGGTTCAATTCCAGGGTCTGGAAACTTCAATCTAATCTTTACCCAAGAAAACCTCTGATCATATCATAATTTGTGATACAATGTCTTTATTGTCACTTTACTTACCATGCTCACAGTTATAAGACTTTAAATTGATGCTTATTGTAAAAAGTGTAGGAGAAATTCAATACAGTATTTTTATAGTTATCATAAAACAGGTTCTCATTCTTCTTAAATAATATCCTTTATTGTATTATTTAAAAATAAGAATAAATAGTATTAACAATTTTATATATGTTTGTTTGCAGAAGAAGTAATGCTCAATGAAGAAAGAACAACAGATGAAGATAAATTAAAAATAATGGAAGGTAGTAAATATTTACAAAACATTTTACTCTTATTTAACTTTTTAGCGTTGTTATTGATAATTTTGTTTCACTTAACAAGATGTAGTAATTGATTGATTGATTGATTGTGGCAAAAAATTCTAGTGGCAGCAATTCTTTTTTAGACATATTTTGCAACTTTGCCAATGAAAAACATGATTTTTGCATTGAATAAAGATGGCTAGTTTTGAAAACTTTAAATATTTTGGAATTATTTATTTATATTTTCAACTTGTTTTGACAAAATAAATTAGTCGGAAAAAGAAAGACTCCTCAAATCGACGATGTATGGCTTTTTACTTTCTAATACAGTTTCACCACTTGATGAAACTATTTATCTCCTAAGCTTATGAGGGAGTGCATACAGTTCAGTTTTCTATTTCAGCGAGACGACGAGCTGCAGCAAAGAAAGTACGACAGTTAAAAGAAGGAACAGATGGGAGTGATGAAAATAATGATGATAATGATGATGATTTATTAGCAGATATGAATATACGTAAGATCATTTACTGCAATTAAAATGAAAAACAATCCAAACTATGTGGGAAAAAACAAACACCAAGATCATGGGTGAGGACATTTTGTTCATGTGATTTGGGAATGGCATTTAGGTTAAAGGTTCATGTTCACCCATGACAGAGAGGTAAAAAAGAGCCAGTTCTCACTTGGAATGTTAAGTAAAAGTAAATCAATACATATACTGCATTCATCCAATGAAAACCATTATGTCACTGGCTTGATAGCTATCTATTTTTCAGGCTTTTTCACTTCTTTTAAGATAAACCAAACATAGTGCATTGAGCATTACATCCCATATTTATCTATGAACATTTCAAGAAATTTATCAATGAAATCTATACACAGATATTCAATTTCCAAAATGATGTGTATGTGTATAACCATACTTGTTAAGAAAATTATGTTAATTGTGCATGGTGCATGAATCTAGTATCTGTTTTGATAATATCAATGATGTCATTGTTAAAGTAATATTTAAAATTTGAGTTATCTTCTTTTATCAAAATAAGGAGATGTGGTATGATTGCCAATGAGACAACTATCCACCTAACTTCAAATGAAGTGGATGTAAGCATTTATAGGCACCCATACGGCCTTCAACAATGAGAAAAACCCATACCGCCCATACCGTATAGTCGGCTATAAAAGGCCCTGACATGAAAAATATGAAACAATTCAATTGAGAAAACTAACTGCCTAATTTATAACAAAGCAATTTACGAAAAACAAATATGACACACACGAACCAACGACAACCACTGAACAACAGGCTTCTGACTTGTGACAGACACAAAAATATTGTGGCGGGGTTAAACATGTTTAGTAGTGCTCAACACTGCCTAACCTGGGACAGTGGTGTTACAGCACAACATAAGAACAAACTATAAAAATCAGTTGAAAATGGCTTAACTAAGATCCATACAAAGCAGAAAAACCTCTAACAAAAACACAGACCGGACACTTGTCCATAATTATAGTACATGTAGAACCAACAACAATAAAATATCTCCAATTCATGTTCATAGTACTGCTTTCGAATACTTACTACAATGCAATTTTTAGTACCCATTGAAAAATGAATGCAATCTTGAACCTTTGGTGCTTGCATGCACTTTTGTTATATTTGACCTTTTGACCGAGACATGAAAAAAAATCATCCTTCTTTCCGTATTACATTTTTTTCAGCAACTTCAAGCCACAGCTTCTTTAAAATATATGGCACTAAGGTTCATCTGGCTATGCCTTACTTTTTTACACATTGCCTGTCTAGTCAAACCTTCTTAATATATGACATGGTATAATAAGTGGGCAATAGCTCATAATACATCTTTTTCTGTTGCAGGAAATGGTTATGGTAGAAATTATTCAGGTCGTTGTGCCTCATTTTGGCAAGCAGAGAAAAAATTCAAGTAAGTTTTAAATCTTAATTCCCTGACAAATAATTTTGGTCATATGAAATGCTGTTTTTTTTTTTTGTATCTTTCAGGTTGCATATTAGGAGAAATATAAGTTATTATAAAAAATCTTGCTTTTGGTATTGCAGGATAGGCTTGCTGTCAAAGCTGTAAACAACAACAAAATAACTAGTACATGTATTTGTTACTGAATAGATATGAGGATTTTAGAATCAATGGTAGTATCCTATCTTAACTGTATTTGGTGACTCTTAACTGAGATGACAAACCTGCTTCAATGATTTTAGATACAGAACAAATCTTTAAATTTCTTACAAAATAATATGTAATCATTTGTACCAAAAGAAATTCTATTCTACTGACTGATTTGACAAGTTAATACCAGAATAATCAGAAATAAATTTCCCTTCTAATACTGATACTGTCTTCTATCTAATAGTAAACATTGATTGAAATAAATTGCAAAGCTTTATTTGAAAAAATTTTCATTATTATTATTATTATAACAAGGCATTTTTAATAGCAATACAATTACTCTAAGTGCTTTACATGTTAAAAAATATACACAAATTCATACATACATAAAACTGCAAAGTAAAAAATACATTTAAAAGCATACAAAATCAAATCAAATATAAACTAAAATAAGACTCTAAAAACTTCACCAAATTGGATAAAAAATGGTTTAAAAGAATTATCAATGAATTAGTAATAATCTCAAAAATTATTATACATTGTACCAAACTTAATAATATAAATGGACTTAGAATTTGAATAGTCATAGACTTATCTTTTGAAATTGCTGAATGCTACTACTTTGTATTTATAAAATTTGTTACTGAAAGACAACGACTCATAGTAAAAAGTTATATCCAAATATACAGAAACACAACAAATCAAATTAAAAAGTATAAAATATTATTGTAGCAAATCAACATAAGTCAAACATAATCACAGATCCATATTATAAAATACTCTTGAAATTCGAAGGCAATTTCCTCTATTTTACCTTTCAAACTTTAACTACCAAATGTAATGAACCAATGTATTGTTTCACAAGTGCTGATTAGACTTACATGTATGGCCCATTCACCTTCATCAAATTTAATGTTTGAGTGTCAGTCATAGAAATGCTTTGTTGAAAAGGCCTCTGATTTCACAATTGCAAATAATGGAAATTCAATAGAGGGAATTATTTTTGTAATTTTTTTTATTTTTTGAATCAAGGAGATCAAGAGCTATTTCCACAGATTATATTTAGTATGGAGAACTAATTGAAAAATTAATTTACAGTATCCATTTTACAGATTTAAAAAGCTGATAAAGTGAAATTCTTATTCTCCAAAAGGAGACCAACTTCCTTTTCAGGACACAAGTCTAAGAGATTTCAAATTGTTTTAAAATATGTAAAATGTCCTTTGAATGTGAAGCAAAAAACAATCAATCAATCAAAATATATAGAGACTTTCTCCAATATCTGAAGTATTGACATCTGCTTGCTATTTTGCCATTTCTAAAGTAATCTGTAATTAAAGAAAACCATGGTAATCCCTTAAAATATGTTGTAAATGACCCAAATCTTTGTGCAATCTGCCAGCCAACATTCATTTATTAACTTTTCAAGTATGTTAATTATCGATTCTCAGAAGAGAATGGTATTCAGTTGGAAATAAAAACATTTGATGTCATAATTAAAAGGTCATTGTTGCATGATGGCTGAATGTTATTTGGAAAGACAGATCTTGGGTCATTCAGAGCATATTCCCTCTTATACACAAAATAAAATCAGTGTATCACTTTCATTATTGTTTTAAAGGAATATTTCATACTGTTGGAAAAAAGATGACGATGGATCAGTGTTGTTTTGTCATCATTACTGAATAGCTATGAAATTATCATTTGTTTACTTGTTCACCATCCCCCTTTAAATTACTGGAATATTGAAGAGTTTAATGCTGAGAATGAATCTTGGTATTGTGAAATTACTCTTTTTAATTATAAAAAACCACTAACTGTCAAAAGATATATGAGATATAGATTTTAAATTTATTGCAGAATTTCAAAGTAATTGTTGAATTTTTTATTTATATTTGTTATATTATTAACTTTTTGTTCCTGTTTGTCATAACATCAATTTTATCAGTGCCAATCTTTACAGATCCAAAAATGATAGATATCGGTGAATACTTCTTTTATAATTATTAGATGCATGAATTTGTTATGACATGAAAATGAATTTAATAAGTTTTTAATAAACTGTCTGACATGGCAAGAAATGAATATAATGTTTACTTTTTTCTATCCTTTAACACATTATTTGTCACATGCTTATTCACTTATGAATGCAGTTGCATTATCCATCACCAGACCTCCATGTTTCACTTTGATTAGTGTAAATATCAATATATGTTAATGTTATAGAAACTTTATTCATTTCATATATTCATAAAAGCATGAAATTTTTTTTCACAGATAACCAAGTGTTTGTTTTTCTCTCTCACTGTCACCAAATGTTTTTTTTTGAAATAGTCATAGTATATTGTCTCTGGCTGGCAGTTAATTATTTGGGGGTGGTAAATGGTCAAATTACCTGAAGAATAAATTGTCGTTTTTATCCTCCCCTAACCCCCTGAATAAGAGATTGTACAATGTAAGGATTTACCTTTATCTATCCATCAAATTTTCTATAACTTTTTTTGACAAAAATGCACGTTTTTGCATCTGATACCATGGTTAGCTTTACTAAGTTGATCAAATTTAAAACTTGCCAGTCTACTTCCTGTTATCTGCATACATGTTTTTATTTTTATTGTTATGTTAATTTTTGTCTTATTTTTATAAGCCAATTTATGGGACATATTATGGTATACCGTTGTCCATCCGTCTGTCTGTCTGTCTGTCCGTCTATCCTTCGTCAACATGTCAGACAATAACTCAAAAATGCTTAAAACAATTTGCATGAAACTTTGGTGAATTGTTTATATCTATTGATGTGAGCTCCCTTTTGATTTTTAAAAATATTAGATTTTACTTGTCCGAGTTATGGGGTTTTATTCCTTTAAAAAGGGGGATTTTCCAGTTTTCGGACAATAACTTAAAAATTCTTTGAGCAGTTTTCATGAAACTTTGGTGAATTGGTTATATCTATCGACATGAGCTCACTTTCGATTTTTATAAATTTTAGATTTTACGTTTCTGAGTTATGGGGTTTTATTCATTAAAAAAGGGGGATTTTCCAGTTTTCCGACAATAACTCAAAAGTTCTTTGAGCAGTTTTCGTGAAACTTTGGTGATATCTATTAAAGTAACCTCCCTTTAGTTTTTAATAAATTTCTGATATATGACATTGAGGAGTTATGGAACTTTATTCTTTGAAAAAGCGACGGGTGTATCATGCGCTCATGGCGCATCTCTTTATTCTCAAATATACAATTAGAAACTTTCTTGGTATATAGAATATCATTTGAATACATTTACCAATATTGTGAGCTACTTTCAGACATGGCTTTTATCTACAACTTGTAATGATGAATTCATGTTTTCCATTGAAAGAAATGCCAGTTATTTATATATATTATATAAAAAAGACATTGGTTGGTTTTATCAAACATTTCTTAGAAAATTCAAAAAAACATTCTTAAAATTTGTTAATAAACTTTTTCGAGGTGATTGTGTAATGTGCATTATCAGGAACTTGGCTTTACTCTGAATAGAGAATGAAATACCCATATCTCTATGAAAATACAGATTTTTAAAATTACACACTCGCATTACAACATTCTAAAAGATTTTAACCTTAGCAAAACCTGAGTAATTATGATTTCAAATATTATTTGTAGGATTCCAGATTTCATTATGATTTCAAGCTTGCTACAATTACTGTATGAAATACCAGTTCAATAAAACACAAAAAATTGACAATCGTTATGACCAGTTGTTCATTTTAGTTACTCTGTGTTGATGGGAGATCAAGAACTCTCATAGGATTACTGCTGCAAAATTTGTTAATTGCATTTCTCTACCAACATCCTATTTCTCTATAATATAGTCAACCTAATAACACAATAATTATAAAGAAAAGAGGTTTCATTTTGAATAATTTTAATGTAATGTTTCTATCTTTCCAGAGTAACTGTTCGTCGTCTTGTAAAAAGTCAATTTTTTTACTGGCTAGTTATAGTATTAGTACTTCTCAACACAGTTTGTGTAGCATCAGAACATTATGGCCAACCATTGTGGCACACACAGTTTTTATGTAAGTATTCTGTAGAAAAAAGAAGTTTTAAAGATCAGACAGATCATTGAAATCATTTTAGAGAACAGAAAATCTATTTAATTTTGCCAGATTTCTGAGAAAAAAAGTTGTATGTACATGCCTTGATTTATTGAGATAGATTTCAGTCTTAATGTTTATTGAAGTTTGATTGATTAGAATAAAAGAAAAATTCCCCTGGAGCATGAGATTATTTTGTTCCAAGAAATTCTAACTTATTTGACACAAAGAAGAGAAAGAGGCTTTGAAATTGAAACAGAAAGATGTTAACATTTCTTTGAAGTCAATATTGATTGAAATATGAACAATAGAACTAGCTTGATATTTGAATATAGTGTAGTATTGAGGTCAGTTAACTTGATCTCCGCATGTATGAAGGTTATATTTCTATATTAGGTAGATTATCTTACATCAGTAGGGACAGGTGGCCAGACATAAAATTTCATGCTGTTCATTCATCAACCATGTTTAGTAAATGTTTTATATCAGATTTAAATGCAATATAAAAAGTCTGTAAGTTTAAATAGTATACAATTAGTCATCAGATAATAAAATATACAGTTTTATTGATGGTAATTCATGCGGTACTCATCTAGCCTAGTGAATATCAATTTTTCAATAAATAGATTAAACCAAACCTTCCATATGACATCAGTTGTTTTGAATCATGGTTTGAATAAAAAAAGATATGGTTTTTACAAAAGGGTATTTTTTATTCAAAATAGATTTTATTTGAACTATTGTAAATTAATACCAACATAAATAATGTTAATTGCAATCCTTAAAATTGCACAAATTGAACATTAAAGAAGAATACTGGTGCTATGTATTTGTTCCATTTTGCATTTCATTGGTGCCAAATAGAACTTTTATTTGCATCATAAAAAACTATATTACATTTGTGCCAAAATAAAATATTTCATTTGCACCAATAATATAGGTAAAAGTATAAATGAAAGTAATACATTTTTTCAGTTTGTATAATTAACCTCTTCCATTCTCTAGCATTACATGTTACCCTTGTCAACACTGAGAGGTGGAAGTAGGAGCAGGATAAGTTCCCAAAACATTGATTTTAGGGTTAAAGAATAATATCTACAGCTTTTGTTTGCAATAAAACAATGTGATTCCTCATCTGTTGTCACACGTATTCTTCTCTGCTTTTATATAATATAAAAATAAGAACACAATGAGATATGATTTCCGAATGAAACTACTATCCACCAGAGACCTAATGACATAGATGGAATTAACTATTGGCCCCCTTACGTCCTTCAACAATCAGTAAAATCGGTACTGTTTAGGATGATTACAAAATGTTAAATTATTCGAACAAGAAAATCAACTGCCTGATTAATGTACACGACTTGTCTCTATTCTTCAATACACTGTATTATCTGTACGTGTTATCATAAAAATACAGACTTATTTCCTTAGTTTATCTTGATTGAATGATGTCCATCTTATCACCTTGAATATGTCAACAGTTAAAATTTCATACTCAGGTGACTTTCAGTAATGTATGAGAAAAGAGTTTGAACTCACTGAGTTCTCATAGAGTACTTTACAAAATTTCTTTCATTGTAACTTTAATCTTCATCTATGTTACTTAAGTACCTGAAAAAAGCTCAAATGAGATATAACCTTTTGGCCTAAATGAAATAATGCATTTTTCAAAAATTGGCGCAAATGCAATGCGCCCAAGAATACATGCACTGGATAAGTCAGGGCTCGACAATAACGCTTGTCCGATTGTCCGGTACCAGAGGAAAAAAAGGTCGGACAAGTAAAAGCTAGATCAAGGTTGTCCGACGGGACAAGTAAAATCATTTTATAGAAAATAAATTAAATCCAACTTTGATGAACAAAGTAATAAACAAAAAACAAGAAAAGATAAAAACAAATATTAATTTGACATGTTTACTTGCAATCGATAATATAAAACTGGTTCTTTGACAGATACTTTATAACAGATAAAACGCGTAATATTCTCGGAAACCAGTCTTAGATGAAATCAAGAATGCCCTTTGTAGATAAGGTAACAAGACAGTTCGGCACCGGCACGGAAACCAATCCTTCCATGTTTAGTAGACAGTATGGCACCGTAGGAGACATTTCGGGACCAAGCCAACCAGTACCTCATTTCCCTACCTTATTCTGTTGCTTATAATAAATATGATAAATTTTATTTAATAAAAATATTTTTTAAAATAAAAAATGAAGAAATTATTGACCATAAAATTCACAGAATTGACATTGATGAAAACTAGAACCTAAGTCCTGTGACATGACTTGATTCAGTTGTTCTCGACTCATATTTTTGAAAAGGATATCAAGAGATATAAATCAAATTCTGTTCTTATGTTCATTGAATCAACTTAAAATGCAAAAAAGGTTAATATTAAGATTTTTGTTGGACAAGTTACAATTCCATTCGTACAAGTAAGTTTTGATGTGTACTTGTCCTATTGGGCAAGTTGAAAAAAAAGTTATTGTAGAGGCCAATAAGTACATGATGAGAGGACATCTATAAGCAATGTATGACTCTAAATCTATATGCTGTATGTATACAATTAGGGTTTATCATGTGATTTTATTTTTACAGATATTATGGAATTTGTGTTCCTTGGTTTATTTTTGTTTGAGATGTTAGTGAAAATGTATGGTCTAGGAGTGAGAATGTATTTCCAGTCTTCTTTTAATATATTTGATTGTGTGGTAAGTACTTGTTAGACCAAACACCAGAAGTCTTTAGAATTCCATAAAACTAGAGAAGACCCTTTTTTTATAACAGTAATAAGTTGAATGATATTTCAGATTATTTCTATTAAAGTATAATTTCTCTTTTTAATTTACGGAGTTCTCTTTAATCTAGGAAGTAAATTACTCAGTATACTATATTTCCAACTGAATGGTTTCAAAGGGAGGTACCACTGGACGTTAAGCAACTAACAATCAATCATTCAAAGGGAGGTTAGACAATAAGATCTCTGTCATAAAGAAAGAGGGAATGGATAATATCTGATTATCTCCCATGGAAACGTATTTTCAGGTTTTAATTCAAATTGAAGTCTGTTTCTTATAAAGATAAGTTACATTTTAAAAGAATGTAAGAAATCTTAAATTTATGAATAGCAATTCAAAAATGACTGCCCTTATCTTTCATATGATTTTTAATACGTGGAGTGAAACACTGAGAGTCAAGTCACTTGAAATATGGATAAATTTTGATAAAATTAATTTCTCAAAATTTGAAACAAAACATTGCAAAAGTCCAAAATTGCACCTTTTAACATAACAGTTTTCAACCAAGATGGCAGTTTAACATATCACAAAAAACAGATTCTTGATAAAATGATTATTTTTACCTTATTCATGATAATGCCAAGTACTATTTAGAAAATGTAGAAATACTTCAGCTGTTGAAAACAGTACTTAGATTATATCAATGTAAGTCTTTGGTTAGTCTTTGATGTGAAATTGTGTTAATTGTAAATGTGATTTTAACTGTAGGTGATTGTTGGAAGTATTGTAGAGGTCTTATGGTCAGAATACAAGGATGGTGATTCTTTTGGTATCAGTACACTCAGAGCTCTACGATTACTTAGAATATTCAAAGTTACCAGGTCAGTAATTATAAACATACTGTTAATTATATTTCTTAATCAAGATTTATATATCCATAATATTTTGCTGTATTTTAATAATGTGTTTTTTGTTTCACAATACAGAGAATATGATTTTTTATTAATGATAAATGTCTATACATTAGATCAAAAATATAAATATGTCATATTGCATTTATGTTGAATAGTTATTCTTATAAATATTCAATTCTGAGCGACAGTATGTCTCGCATTCATTGGGTACTGTTAAAATGTTTTACAAAAAACTCACTATTGCCATAAGGTCTCCAACAGTAAGTGAATATTTGATCAAATCATTTTTATTCTTACTTGTTCAGTGAGATATGCAAAACTGGGGAAACACTGCATGGTTCCTTACTCACGAAATTTGTTCTTTTTTAATTTCAGATACTGGTCTAATTTACGAAACCTTGTGGTCTCCTTACTTAGTAGTATGCGGTCCATTGTTAGTTTGCTGTTTTTGTTGTTTCTTTTTATACTTATATTTGCCCTTCTTGGTATGCAGCTATTTGGGGGAGAGTAAGTATAAAGTTTTGTATTATTTATTTCATTTATAACATTATTTATGTAAAAATATGTTGGTATGATTGCCAATGAGACAACTCTCCACCAGAGTATAAATGATGTGGATGTAAGCACCTATAGGTCTTAATACAGCCTTCAACAATGAGCAAAACCCATATCATATAGTATACTATAAAAGGCCCTGATGTGGCAAAATGTGAAACAATTCAAACAAGAAAACCAGTGACCAAATTTATGACAAAAATAAACCATAAACAAAAATAAAGGACAACAAATAACGACAACCACTGACTTTGAGTAGGCTCATTAAGAATGTGACAGGTTAATAATATTTGTAAGTTTACTTTGAACATAATATAAAAATTAAAAAAATGTGATATGATTGCAAATGACATAGAATTTTAAACTATTGGTCACTGTCTGGCCTTCAACAATGAGCAAAACCCATACCATAAGCCTTTATATTTAAGGTGTTTGTACTAACACTAACCAGTTATAACTGATTTTAACAGACTGTTACTGCAGTTTTATTTGAGTATGATACTATGTCCCTTAACACCAATGTCAGTAATTCACATAAATTGTCAGCAAACTTTTCTTCAGCCTAATGAAGAAAAAAAAACAACAGACACACACACAAAAATAATTTTGTCAATATAAATCCAAAATGATTGCAACCTGGCTTGTGCATTTTGATACATCAGTAATTTTAACTTAATCATATTATTGAATAAATAAAAATGTTCCATAACTAATTTTAAATATTTTTAGGATGAATTTCCCTGAAGGAAGACCTGCAGCACATTTTGATACATTCCCCATAGCTTTATTAACAGTGTTTCAGGTATAAACATTTTGATATATTCCCCATAGCTTAATTAACAGTGTTTCAGGTATAAACATTTTGATACATTCCCCATAGCTTTATTAACAGTGTTTCAGGTATAAACGTTTTGATACATTCCCCATAGCTTTATTAACAGTGTTTCAGATATAAACATTTTGATAGATCTCCCATACCTTTATTAACAGTGTTTCAGGTATAAACATTTTGATGCATTTCCCATAGCCTTATAAACAGTTTTTAAGGTATAAACATTTTGATACATTCCCCAAAGCTTTATTAACAGTGTTTCAGGTATTAACATTTTGATACATTCCCCATAGCTTTATTAACAGTGTTTCAGGTATTAACATTTTGATACGTTTCCCATAGCTTTATTAACAGTGTTTCAGGTATCAACTTTATTCAGTGCATTTACAACTTATTGGGACTACAAGTTAGAAATAAGGAGATGTGGTTTGATTGACTATGAGAGAGCTATGCACTTGAGACCAAATTATTTGGATATAAGCAACTATAGGTCACCGTTTGGCCTTCAACATTGGGCAAAACCCATACTGTATAGTAAACTTTGAAAGTTGACTATGTAAAACTTGCCTTTTAATATTTGTTTTGTGCCACTTTTCATTGTCGAAGGCCAAGTGTTTATTTTTGGTCACAATGAATGCACATTGAATTTGCATTATTAGTTTGCTGTCTCTGATATTTACACTATGTCTCCTTTTTATTTATAACATAACATATTTACATTAAGACCGTTTGAGCTGGATTCAATGAAGATTAGTCATATTAAAGCAAGTTCACTTTAAAAAGTATATAAACTGATTGCGATCAATCTTAATTGATTCAGCTGTTCTCATGTAAATCAATCACAATGGATTGTGTCATCCTCATTAAGACTAATCACTTTGGCTCCCAGTCAGTTTGGTTGATAAAGCTTTTCACACATTAAATGCTTGCATTATTAAAATGGTATGAACAGAAGTATTTAAATGTTTATTACATACTTCACCAATTTAATTTAGATTGATCTCAATTGATCTCTCCAATTAAAACTGATTGGAATCTATGGCAGTGGATCTTAATTTGGTTAGCATGAACAGGTTCTAAATTCAAATGATACGAATGTTTTGTGGGACATGTATCAGTACAAGACTGATCAGCTGTACTGTGTTATCAAGAGCTATACCTGATTGTTATAATAGTATTGCCTAATAAAGCCTTATGTACATATTGTGACATTGTTTATATAGACTAAAACTAGTAAATTATCTAACTTTCACTAGATATTGTCCTATTTTTGGGGGTAAAGACTTGTTGCACAATCAGCACGTGGCAATTGTTTATTTACCTTTTCTACATTTACACGTGATCATCTTAAAGGCGCTTTTTGATTGGGTGCAGCCAGCTACAACTGCGACCAATGGGATTCATTACCTAGTGGATCCGATATTCTATCTTAATCCACTAAGGGTGTAGAGGAGGGGACTGGATCGTAACCCTTGGCTAGCGAAGATGGGGGTTTGAGTGTTCAAGATGCTAAATCCAGAAAAGTACTTCGGACACACTAAATCTGTAAAATGTTTTTTCATTTTGAACAATTTCAGTACATGTTACTGGAATTATAATAGAGGTATATACCAATCAATATTTTTGTAAGGCTCAATTCTATTTATAATGCTGCAAACAGAATAGAAAAATAATATCTCTTGAAATGAAAGTTACTACTAGGTAAATCAGCAGTATTCTGGTAATTATTCTGGTATACTTTTCCAGAAAACTGACTATTTGGAAATAAAATAGGTGAAGAAATGAAGTAGGAAAATAACATAGTACCGGTATACATTATTGTTGAGCCTGAGGGATCCTAGTTTCTGTTGAAGTTGAGACAAATTATTGGTATGTTCTTTTCATTTCAGATATTGACTGGAGAAGATTGGAATGAAGTAATGTACAATGGTATAAGATCAAGAGGTGGAATTCAGGGTTATGGAATGTTATACTCAACATACTTTATAGTTTTAGTATTGTTTGGTAACTGTATCCTTTCCACAAAATGAAAAAGGGTTAGCTAAAGTCTCTTCTTGTAGGGAAAGTTCTTGCATGGTTTTGATGCTGTAGAAAAGAAATATCAACAATAGCAGTGACTCCACAATTCAGTACAGTTATAATTCATTTTGTTTTTATACGACTGCAAAATTTTTTTTTTGGTTTTCCACTCTAACTTTAGTTTAAGTGAATGGATCTCTATGAAATTTTACCATAAGGTTCAATACCACAAAAGGAAGGTTGGGATTGATTTTGGGGGTTATGGTACCAACAGTTACGGAATTAGGGGCCAAAAATAAGCATTTTTGTAACTTCCAGACATAACTTGTGTGTTAGTGTATGGATCTCTCTGAAATTGTACCACAAGGTTCCATATCACAAAGGGAATGCTGGGTTTGATTTTGGGGGTAATTGCCTCAAAATTTAAGAATAAGGGGCCAAAAACAAGCATTTTTCTAGTTTCATGACAATAACTTGTGTGTAAGTGTATGGATCTTTCTGAAATTGTACTACAATGTTCCATATCAAAAAGGGAAAGCTGGAATTGAGTTTGGGGGTAATTGCCCAAAACGTTTAGGAATAAGGGGCCAAAAAGGGGCCAAAAATAAGCATTTTTCTAGTTTCCAGACAATAACTTGTGTTCAAGTTTATGGATCTCTCTGAAATTGTACTGCAAGGTACCATACCACAAAGGGAAGGCTGGGATTGATTTTGGGGGTAATTGCCTCAAAATTTTAGGAATTAGGGGCCAAAAAGGGGCCAAAAAACAAGCATTTTTCTAGCTTCAGGACTATAACTTATGTGTAAGTGTATTGGTCTTTATGAAATTGTTCTACAAGGTTCCATATCACAAAGGGAAAGCTGGGTTTGAGTTTGGGGGTAATTGTCCTAAACGTGTAGGAATTTGGGGCCAAAAAACAAGCATTTTTCTAGTTTCCAGACAATAACTTGTGTTCAAGTGTACTGATCTCTCTGAAATTGTACTGCACGGTACCATACCACAAAGGGAAGGCTGGGATTGAGTTTGGGGGTGATGAATCATAAGGGGATTCAAAAAATTAGAGGGGGGATTTTTTTTCCCTTTTTTTTCTTTAAAATTTTCCATTTTAAATTGGTTATTTCTGATTTATATATAAAAGCAAATAATAATGATATGGTTTGAATAGGTAAATTAAAAATTTTTAAGTTCTTAGACCACATTCATTCTGTGTCAGAAACCTATGCTGTGTCAAATATTTAATCACAATCCAAATTCAGTGCTGTATCAAGCTTGAATGTTGTGTCCATACTTGCCCCAACTGTTCAGGGTTCGACCTCTGCGGTCGTATCAAGCTGCGCCTAGCGGAGCATTTTATTTTTCTATGTAGACATGTATTTTTTTTTTCTTAATATTTGATTTCTTTAACCATAACTCAGACACCCTACTGAATGTATTCTTGGCTATTGCTGTAGATAACTTAGCCAATGCTCAAGAACTGACAGCTGCTGAAGAAGACGAGGAGGATGCTAAAGCTATGGTATGATTATAGAATTCATTTTGGGAGTAGTAATACCATTTAGTCTCATTTTCACTACGGAAATTGGTTAAATACATGTAGCTCCATAGGCAAAAGAATTGTGCTAAATGTGTTGATTTTGTCATCAGCTATTTTATGATTTGTTTGAATGAAGTACATTACAATAAGTATATATCTTACAATCATCTTATTCATAATGATTTTAATACTTAGTCATTACGTGAGCATTTGATATTGTCAACTTAGATAAGTGGAAGACCATTTGATTTTCTGGGTTGGCCCAGGAGGATTTTGAAAATACCCTGGCCTGGTAATAACTAAAAATAAATTATTTGCCCAAGGCAGAATGAAAATGAATATTCTGCAGCAAAATGCAGGATATTTATGTGTTCTAAAGTGAAAATGAATTTCTAAAAAATTAGCATGCATAGCAACAGATAAAAAAAGTCAATCCACAAAATCCTCCTGGCCATAACCCCTCCCCCCACAGAATATCAAATGGCTGTCCACTAAGGGATAGTATGAATTTTATATGGATACAAACAGTTTCATTGAGTTCACGTGTACCTTTCGGTTAAAAATGTCCCTGTAAATACTTTTGCAATTTTGTGTTAAATAGGCATCCAGGCATATGGCATGGAATAAGAAAGGTGCCCCTAGACTGCTGAAAAGGATAGCCTCATTTAGAAATGTGAGATCTGGGATAAAGGGAATCTCCTCAGTCATATATCCTCCCATTTAATTTGAAATGGATATTAAGGCCTTACTTGCATTTATCTTCATAGAAATTTATATATATTGCAACAAGTTGACCAAAATTTGCCATCAATAAATTTATGTTTTGGCTTCATCCAGGCATACCTCAGTTTACATTTGTTGAAAGTATTGCAATTTTATTTTTTGTATGTATATGATTGCTATTTTGCTTATATTTTGAACAGTCATTTTTCAGTTATTGATTTATTGCTTTTATTTGTTTGTTTTTGAAGTAATTTGTATCTCTTGTATAAATGAGGATTTCTTTTCTTATGAATTTAGCCTGTTAGAACAAGAACTTGTTTTTGTGACTCATGTTAAAGCCATTGCCATTGTGATTGATCTATTACATGCATGAAAATATATTATTAAGTGTCCTTCTCTCATCCAATCCTCTGTTAAATTTAAACATTCTTATCTGCTTTGAAACTGCAGGGCCCTTATTTTGTTCCCTTAAATTGAAAAAAAAACATTGCTGCAAGAGGCAGTGCTAACTCTAATTGGTTAATTTTTGGCTTGAAGACCCTTTATAATGATTTCATTTCAAGCGGATCATGTGGCATACATGGCAGCAATGGTGCCCCATATTTTCCCCTCTTGAAGGAAATTATCATCATTTTCTCTTAAGTTGACCAGCACCTCAATCAAACCTGAACAAACTTAATGGAGACATTTCACTCCTCTTAGGTTTGAAAATTATGTATACATATTCTCAATAGATTTCCCAAATCTTCAATATTGTATTGTGTGTTTGACACTATTTTTTGGTTTCTGATTATTTGGTTGGAAGAAACAAGAGTGACAAGACTAATGTCTTCACTTTAGTAAATACATGACTGATACTATCAAATTTTAATAGATCAGCATCAATAAATAATTTCCAAAACTACTGAATATAAAAAAAACTATAGTTGTCAAATGGTGTTGTCAAGGATTGACTATACAACTCCTTGGTGTTGTGTTTTAATTTTTGATATTTGTATCCCTATTAACCTTAATGTTTTGCTTTTTAGTTATATATATATTGTCTTTTGCTGATTTGAACTGAGTAGCATATGCATGTACTGCTTATTTTTGTTACAGCTTAAAGAGGAAATGAAACAAGGCATTGCTGGTCAATATACTGATTCATCAAAACAGGTTACCTCCCTTTTCTTATAATTAATGTCACCACTGGTTCTCTGTTCATTAACTGTATCAGGATAACAGTAAAGTTTAGATTGAATTTAAGCATGTGTTTTATATACATGAATTCTTTTTCTTCTGGGTTCATATTAAAATTTTCATTGCAATGAAATAATAAAAAAGATTAAAAAAAGATTTGGAAAAGTAAATAATATGAATTAGTCACAATTTATCTGTTATCTTGTATCAGCAGTAACATTGAACTAAAAAGGTAGACTGAATCTTGCAAATGAAAAAAATACTATTGATTTGAATTACCAAATTGCTGTGAATTTTTTATCTGGTTACTTTGTTAAATTTCAGATCTTATTTTTAATTGTTCCATTCAATCAATGGTTAATTGGTCAAAATGCTGATCACTTAATAACTCTTTGAATCCTAGAAAAAATAGAACAATGCCCAACTGAGATGAAAATTTATGAAAGTATTGCAATTGCTACCAAACTTGATCTATTAAACACAGTTGAACCTCGATAAGTCTAAAATAGATGGCACTTGACATAACTTTTAAGATTTATCAACCGTTCATGTCATTCAAGGTTGTAAGTTAAATCTTGTTTTTTTTCTTTTTAAATGTTGTCAGCCTAGTATGTTAATGCAAAAAACATGTTTTAAATTCCAATTATTTTGATAATATTGAAAAAAAGGTTATTTGATAAAAAAAAAAAATCCCAAAAAACATGTACACATCTAATGTTTACAACGATAGATCAATATTAATCAAGATCTCGTGTAAAGAAACAGTATGTATTTAACTCAACCTAATTTTGCACTTGATCAATGATAAAAAATTATTAGAATGATCATAATACAAACAAAATTACTTAAAGAAACTTATTTAAAATTTAAACTTTTTATTCAATATTTCAAACGTCAAAAGTGTTCTTTTTCTTCCAAATAGTCTTGTTCTTTGAACTTTGACATCAAGTTATATAGTTTGAGAAGACTTCAAAATGCACTTGAGTTAGCAAAGATTTTCGAATCAACCAAATTTGACTCATCTATACATATGTATTAAAACTGCATTGAACTAACAGGAATTTTTCTTAAATATATTTTCTTCGAATGAGTTTGACCCAAAGAGGTTCAACTGTATCATACTTGTTCAAAATAAATAATTTTATAATGTGTGACATGCAGCTTTTTGACCAGATACTCATTGACAACTTAAATATACTTGTTTTTATTTATTTTTTTTAATTTGAAATAGCTTTTTTTTAAAGTATTTAAAAGAACTGATCAGTTTACATATTATATGTGAAGTTAATATAATTCTATTCTAAAATTATATAATTTGTCCTAAAAAGTCTCCCTATTTTTGTTTAGCTTGCATGTTTGATATGCAGTAATTTGAATAGTTAGTACCGTAGTATAATGTTGTGAATGAAAAATATAAATTCTCTATCCAATTCTTAAAATGTATTGTTAATTTTTAAATGGAATTTATTAAACAGAAAACAACTTTTCAGTTTTATTCATTTGAGTTTTCATTGTCTTATCCAGATATTGAAACTTCAGCAGGATGAAATGTTAGCTGCAGGAAATGGTGGAGGAATGCCAGGGATCAACATCTGTCCCCCATCACCACAGAATAATGAGCCAGATAAAACCGGAAATTTTCCATAGTAAGTATAAAACACCTTTATTCATTATAACATTACAGCCGAAAAAAGATAAGTAATTTTATTTACACAGTCCAAAACAGACAACTCCAGTTTTTGTTATTAGTGAACAAATGTATTAATCTTTAAATCTGTGTTCATATATACTGCACAATTTGAGTAAAAATCTTTACTAAGGATTATCATTTTAACACTTGGTGTTTTGACTGTCATATTCATGACATAGTACAGGCACAAACTAGTGTAATGAACTATCACATCTCCTTTTGAAAGTGTGCACGCTGAAAAAAGTGTAATATTGACAGCACATAAATGGAAGATTTTACATTACATTTGATATAATGTTGATATGTATATACTTTTGTTGGTCCCTTGCTGCTAAGCAGAGTTTTGAATATGTAAATTTTGATGTCTGTCTGACAAATGTCAAAAGTTTTCAATACATCAATATCTTGGCCAAGTTGTACAATTAAGACTGATTGATGATTTTGTGGGGGAGTTTTACTCCTGGGAAATATAAATGATAATGAAAATCAATGTTGTAAATGCATTTGTCACTGGAGTGTAATTAAATTTTCATCAAAGATTTAAATCTGCAATAAATCACCAACAGATTGTTTGTTGGAGAGTTATGCCCCTTGGAAATGTGACCATTTAAGGAAACAACATTGTAAACGCTCTCACTTCTATATTTCTCATTAGAGTTAAAATGATTTTATGTCAAAGGTTAACTGCAGCAATATCTTGGAATGTAAAAAATATCAGCACCGATCAAATAATTTTTTGAGGTATATATAACCTTGGAAATTGATGATATTGAAAGTCAACTTTGTAGGTGCTCTAGCACTTAAATGAAAATTAGCATCTATCAAAATATTTTTTGAGGAATAATGCTGTTCTGCTTTGAATTATAAATAATATTGAAAATCAACATTGTAAGTGCTCCTGCACCTACAGTTTCCATTTGAGTTAAACAAATTTATGTCAAAGGTTTTCATCAGCAATATCTTGGAAGAGTTTGAAAAACTGTGTTGATTGATTATTTTTATGAGAGTTATTCCCCTTGGAAATGTAAGTGAATCAGAAAGTATCAGTACATTACCTTGTCTGTAGCAATCATAAATACATAAAATTAATAAGTCTGCTCACTCTGCTGTGTATTCATTGAAACAAAGAGGTCTATAATTCTACATCTAATGTTTTGCAAAACTATACTTACACTGTTAACTAGAAAAAAGTATTTAATATGTGTTTTGTACATTTTATACAATAACTTCCGTTATCTATGGATTATATCTTAAATTTATATTTAAAGAGTGATACAAAATGTTTTTTGGAAGGTTGTTTTAAGAACATTTTCAGTTAAGTGATATTGTTTGCAACTTCTTAAAACTTGAATTAGAACAAGCCACAAATCCAAGATGGCCATCCTGTAGATGATCACTTTGTTTATGTTTAGTTCAATAGTGTCTATCAACCTTAAGGTACAGAACAATGATGTTATAAAAGTACAAAAAATGAAATGAAACACTGGACAAAATTGAAATAACACATTAATGATTTTATGTACACATTATTTTTATACATATGTTCATGTTATATTATCACATTTTTCACCCATCTGGGTAAATATTTCATTTGCAGTATCTGTTTTAGCAAAACACAAGAGAATATTATAAATCAAAACAATCTGGTAGATAAGAAAACTGTAGCAGTCAACATAGATACACAACAGACCAAAACAGATAAAGATAGTCCTAATTCTGGTGAGAATCATTTTCATTGTTATTTCGTGTCTTGACAATTTTAAAGTACATCAAAACTATTTTTACAGTCTAATTAAATCAATGCTTGATATCTTTTTATTTGTTACTATGTAAAATATAACAAGTTAAAGGATGATATACTGTGTTTGTCTTCATATTTTGAAAGTTGTTTTTGTTTTAAAATTCTGTACTAACAACAGAGAGGAGCAGAAAATGGATCACTATTTATGATTTTCATAAAAGTATGAAATATTAAATCAAGTTAATTGTTGAATACCAATTGAAGAGTATTCTGGAAATCCAAAATAAGGCAAAGCCAAGGTTAGCTTTGGCTTACCAGGGGTAATAATCTACTCTTATCACCCTCTCAAATATGTACTATTTATATATCATGAAACTCTCTCTTTTTTTTAAATGACTTATTCATGTTCTAACATATCCCTTTTGTTGTAAGTTTTTTTTTGTAATAGTTCGCTAATTTCCAAATATAGTTTAAGTTTTCACAGACATATCTATTATATGATAAAGATTTTATGAGCAATGAAAGGAAAGAAATGACATCAAAATATTTTAATTTGATAACACAAGTTCTTTTCTCCAGGTGATATTTATAACTATTTTAACTGTTTTCAGCTGATAAGAAGCATAAAAAAACAGGTGAGATCACCTGGTGGCCACTCACTTTATTGTTAGTACGATTCTGCACAGTCTTTTCAGAGAGAATATTTTCACAAAGCTCACAAACACATTTTCGTAAATTCTAGGATAAGTTTTGCACTTGTATTTAAGTCTTTTAAATGAAGTTTAAGGAGACTCATTAAACCTGCAAACATAGTTTATGGGGGTGCATAGGAATCACCCTGTCTGCCTAAGGGCAATTCCTCCTAAACAGCTAAATGGGTATAAATTAAACTTAACAGTTGTAGAACACTACTTGATGATGTACTGTGCATGGCTAGAAGTTCTCATGTTTTACTTATATCTTGTATACAGGCAGATTGATAGCAATACAATCCCCTTCCCCTTGGTACTCCTATTTATCTCTTCAAAACAATAAGCCTTAGTTATATCAACATCTGTTCAGTTTCCTACTTCAGAACTATAGATATACCTTTATTCCTACGGATGAATATAATAAATGTATTCATGTCTGGTTTCTGAACTGCAATCAGTTATGCACTGGCTCAAACCTTGTGGGAGACTTTATAATAGGCAGATTGTAACTTATTGTGTTAGATATTCATTCAAAACAATCTCTTGACTCGTTTAATTTAGGTAAATAACTTCTGAGAACCTGCTAATGATAAAAACCTTTTTTTCACAAAATATATGCAGCTTGAGCACATAGATTTTTTCCATCTTTTATTTTGTTTAACATAAATTTATAAAAGATTCTCTGTAGTGCAGAGATTTAATTTTAATTAGATTGAGTGGAAGATCAAAGAAATATCTTTAGAGCTATCCAGATACTCCTTTCTGGAACAATTTTAAGCCAATTATATAGAAATTGTATTATTTAAACCATTCCTGTCTCATATTATTCTTAATATCACATAATATTAAGGTGTACGTTTAAGAAAAACTAAATCGGTAGTATGAAAATTATATAAATTATACATATATTTACTTTATTATCAGACAATAGTAGCTTGGGTCTGGCTGATGAAGAAAAGAAGAAAGAAGCTGGAGGCTTTGGTGTTCCTAAACCTATGCTTCCTTACAGTTCCATGTTCATATTTGGTCCAACTAATCCGTAAGTACCACAATTCATACATAATATACTGATTACTCTCACAATCCTGCTCATCTACACCTTTACATTTAATTATGAAATATTACAGAGTAAACCCTTTTTACAAATAAAGCAAAATAGATTGTTCCAAACATCTTTGTTTTGTTATAAACTAAATAACAATGATAAAAACTTCAAAACATTTACTTACAAATTGAAATTGAATTTCATATTAAGCTTTGTACAAATGTATTATATTTAAGAAAAATTAGTGATTAATGCTTAAACTATTTATTTTCAGAGTTCGTCGCTTCTGCCATTTTGTCGTCAACCTTCGATATTTTGACTTATTTATCATGATTGTTATTTGTGCCAGTAGTATTGCCTTGGCAACAGAAGAGCCTGTGAAAGAAGATGCCTTCCGAAATAAAATCTTAAATTATTTTGATTATGTGTTCACAGTGGTTTTCACAATAGAAATGATACTAAAGGTTAGTCTTGACAAAATATGCTTCTAATTAATACACATGAAGACATCCGTTGATAGATTTTTGCAAAGAACATTAAACTAAAACAGTCTGTTTGAAGTTTTCTTGTCCTCCATAGGCCATGTAAACCTATCAAATCCCTTGTCCTCTATAGGCCATGTAAACCTATCAAATCCCTTGTCCTCCATAGGCCGTGTAAACCTATGAAATCCCTTGTCCTCCATAGGCCGTGTAAACCTATGAAATCCCTTGTCCTCCATAGGCCGTGTAAACCTATCAAATCCCTTGTCCACCATAGGCCGTGTAAACCTATCAAATCCCTTGTCCTCCATAGGCCGTGTAAACCTATCAAATCCCTTGTCCTCCATAGGCCGTGTAAACCTATCAAATCCCTTGTCCTCCATAGGCAGTGTAAACCTATCAAATCCCTTGTCCTCCATAGGCCGTGTAAACCTATCAAATCCCTTGTCCTCCATAGGCAGTGTAAACCTATCAAATCTCTTGTCCTCCATAGGCCGTGTAAACCTATCAAATCAGGCCGTGTAAACCTATCAAATCCCTTGTCCTCCATAGTCCATGTAAACCTATCAAATCCCTTGTCCTCCATAGGCCATGTAAACCTATCAAATACCTTGTCCTCCATAGGCCATGTAAACCTATCAAATCCCTTGTCCTCCATAGGCCGTGTAAACCTATCAAATCCCTTGTCCTCCATAGGCCGTGTAAACCTATCAAATCCCTGAATGTCTGTTATGTCATCAGTAGTAAGCTTTTTTTGTTAAAATCTCTCTTGAATTTACTGTTTAAATTAATAAAAATCATAAGGGTTTTAATTTGTTTTAAATCCTATTTTTTTTATCTTTTCAATTTAAAGCTATTTGATGTAGTGTTATTCTTGGAATTTCTTTTGAATATCTGCTTGGAATTGTCAATTAGGTTAATATATCTCTTTCTGAGTTATAAGAAAACAGACCAAACCAAAAGGTTGAAAATTGTACTTGTTCATGGCACAAAGGAGTTTATACCTATCATTAGATTTTACTTTTGCTTTTAATTATGTGATTGTCATATTATGCTTCTCTCAGCATTTTTCTTATCCATGTATGTTATTATATTACAGATAATTGACATGGGTATCATCCTACATCCCGGAGCTTACTGTAGAGATCTGTGGAATATCTTAGATGCCTCTGTTGTCATTTGTGCTCTTGTTGCTTTCTTTTTCACGTAAGTATACCAACCTTATAAACACCAACATAGATTAATTGGGCTTTTAGAGATTGATACATGAAAACTTAATTGACATGGATTTTATGTTTAGAAGTTGATTTTTGTTTTGTATTTAGAGTAATTATATATAATAGTGTTCAATTTATGTACTCTAGTTTTTTATTTTGCATTTCTATTATATCGCAACTATACTTGAACAAGTTTGTAATTTATTTTATAATTGTTTTCCCAGTGACAGATTCATGTTTATGATCATATAACAAGCATAACAAGTAGATAAATACATTGATATTTGATCAGCAGAAACGAATTTATATATAACCTTGTGCAATTTAAGTGTACATTGTATAATACACATTAAAGTTATTACCTGAAAAAGTGGAGTTAATCCATAATGTTAGATGATTTTCTGACTTGTTGGAGAAAGGGGGACAATCCATGATGTAAGATGAATTTTTGGACAGTCATTGTGTATGAGAAAGAAGAAGGTTCATTTTGACCCATTTGATTGATTAAAATTGAAAGGAAATGGATAATACAATTACATTGCATTTGTTAAATTTTTAATCTGCTGAATATAGACCTTAATGGGAATGTAAAAATAAGGTTAAGTCTTCTTTTGACAGACTTCATAGTGTCGATTAATTTTAATATTGTAGCCTAATTTTTGGTGAATTAGTTTAGAGCACAAATGTGGCCCAAAATATCTACTATTACACCTCTTAACACCTAAACAAATTGTTTCAAGAAAATTGAATGATTTAGAACTAAACTGTAAAATTTAATTTACTTCTGACATGGCATTTTTTTTTTAATTATGACCACTCTGTAGTGGGTGAGTATATTGCAATTTGAAATGCCAAAACTATATGTTGTTTACTGAGAGAAACTCTTCATTATCATGAAATGACATTTTATAATCATTGTTTGTCTTTGCATGTTTTCCTGTTAATCTTCTAATTTATCACTTGTTCATCCTGAGCCCAAACAAGACACTCATGAAAAAAATCTTGTGTCATTTTTGTGTTGCCTGCAACGAAAGTCGTGGAAGGCAAGACATAGGTGTTGCTTTTCTGGGGGCAGCAATGAAGGCGCCTTCAACAATTGTTAAGTTTTCTGCTTAAGTCATTTTGATAGGAACTATCAATGATATTTTCTCTAAAGTTGCATTATTATTAGTATTTATCAGTTTGACGACTATTTCTAGGCCCAGTCCCTGTAGGTCATGGTCTAGTGACTTTCAATTAATTGCCAATTATCAATGTTAAGTTTTCTGCTGCATTTAGTTTGATAGGAACTACTTATGATAGACAATGATTTTTATGCCCCCACCATAGCAGATGAGGCATTAAGTTTTACCCTTGTCCGTCTGTATGTCCGTCCTTACGTCCCAAATTGGTTTCTGTTCTCTAACTTTAGTTTGCCTCAACCAAATGTTATGAAACTTATACACAATCCTTATTACCACAAAACTCAGATCAAGTACGAATTTGGGTAGCGTCACTTTTACTGTTCTTGAGTTATGTCCCTTTATAAAGTTATATGCAAGCTGGGCATCCATGGGACACATTCCCCATTTATTTCTTTAAAGTAGCATTACAATCAGTACATCTCAGTTTGTCGATCATTTCCCTTTATGTCATGTTCCAGCAACTTTGAATTAATTAACAATGATACTGTCCATCAGATTGTCTTTTTCTGAATTTTCTGCCGACAGGCGAGACATATCTCTGTATCAACAGTTTATTTTGAACATTTTCTTATTATTGCTCTTTTCAATTTTCTGTACATATATGTATCAACTATTTCTGATCAAACAAGACACAACTACAGCAACAGGCACATATATATTTATGACATTTATTGATCTACAAGCAAAATATGTGCAGCAGTTTTATGTTAGAGATTGTCATCATTGTAATTGTCTTACTGTGTACATTTGTTCCTCTGTCAGTCTGCACTTTGTAACCAAACTCTCTCTTAAAACAGCATCTGGATTTCAGTGAAAATTTCAGATACCTGTTAAAGTATTTTTTAGGCTTCCCAAAGTAAAACATTAACTTTGACTTATCTAAAAAGTTGGTAGGCACCTTGTATCTGTGATTCATCCTAAACCATAAACTTACATTTCAATGATATTCTTTATAACAAAAACCATAATGGCATTGTAAAGTCATTAATCTTATTTTGGATTGTTAGTGACTGGAATTGAATTAAACATTCACAGATTCTTCAATACCTTATGGCATTGTGTGCCCCCTGTTTTATTGATTGATTTAAATGTTCTTTGGACTTTTTTCCATAGCATATATGGACTTGACCATATCTATTAAAATAAAATATGGTATTAGTGATATGAATTTAGGAGCTCTGGAGAAAATCATTTAATGGTAAATTTTTTAAAGAAATTCTCAATGACAGATAATTTGCCTTTGCATTATATAACATTATAAATATTAACTGTGTATTTAGTATGTTCAACACGTGAGTACTAAATAAGGGGAAGGTAGTGTGATTGGTTTTATGGAGAGTGATCACTGTATTCAACATCCAGGATATAATTATCAGTTATCATTATACATTTGTACTTTCTGGTTTGAGTAATATATTATGATATTGTTTTGTCAAATGGATGTGGTTGTGAACTTCCCAAAAAGAAACATATTCTATTCTATTGTATATTTAAAGCATTAATTATTTAACTGGATGTTGAGATATCAGTGCATTACCTCTGCTTTGTCCATGCCTCAATCCTTTTTATAGAAGCCTTTCTACAAAACCTATTTTAGGTTATACCAATATTCCTGACAAATGGTTAGTTTGGAATTAGGACTGCAATTCTGTCACACTTTTAAAAGTACTTTTTCAATGTGAATTTTCTGTCAAATATTTTGCAATTGTAGTTTAACTAGGATGCAACTTGTCTGTTCTTTAAAATTAGTTTGTAGTTGTTGAGAAGTAACATTCAGCACCTATTTTCCCTGGTTTATATGAAGATCTGAGAAAATCCTATTATAAGTTCTGTTTAGATGACTTTGGTACCATATACTGTTCCAAACCCAAAGTTATTCTGTATTTTGAATTTCCATAATTACACATCAAATCAAGAGAAATGTTGATTTATACATGATACATTTTCACTGGTTCAGCCCCCCCCCCCCCCCCCCAAAAAAAAAAGTTAACTGTAACACTTGACATTTGCCAGATAGTGAAGTCAAATGGGGTTTCCCCAGATCTTCATGTGAAATGACATTAAATTGCAGCAACTGGTGATCAGATTTTATTCACATTGATACAAACTAAAATCACATTGGAAATACAATTTAAATCTTTATTATATTACAATAGTTGGATATTTTTATTGGTGTTTATAAGAGGAGGCCATCATATGTTGGGTGTACATCAATGAGACAGCAACCCCACATTGTGTGATAGTTAAAAGGATGTAATGTTTACTAGAAAATCAACAGAGTTTAAAGTGTGTTAAGACTTTTTATTTACTTGTTGCCATGTTCCTAGCAGAAATGTATACACTAAATACTGTGTAGTTCATTGATTTAATTCTCCTAGAAGAACTTATAATACACACTTAATACTTAAGTCTATTGATTTCATTTTATCTCATTATCTGTGGAGGAAAGATATAATAGTGAAAAATAATTTGTTATTAGTAAAACACAAAAATAACAGTGATAGGCCAATGAAAAAGTCGATATCAGTCAGGTTTTTTTTCTAAAATTATAAAACATGTATCTTGTCATTCTTGTGTATTACATTATACAATTACACTACAGCAAACATCACAGAATTGAAGTGTTTTTTTTTAGTATGATGACATGATTTATGAAAATATGAATAGCTTAAGGTGGTACCAAACACCTTGACTAAAATTGATTTAGCTCGTTTATTTTTTATAAAATTTTGACATATTATTAACTTTGACCTTTTGACAAAAATATAAAAATTAAAAAAAACTTGAACCACACACTTTATCGGAAAAATTTCATTGGATATATAGCAGTTTGACAGACACTTATTTTGATCATTGAGAAGCTTAATGTTTCCTTAACAATAGAACGTGATTAAATCGTTCAGCTGATTTTACAGAGTTATCTCCCTGTAGTGTTATGTACCACCTTAAAATGACTTTGTACAGTATAATTTAAAGCTTTATTTGTAGATTAGTTTTAAAGATAAAATATTTTATTTCTTAGATATTCCTTTGTTGAAAAAATATTTTAATTGCATATTTAAAATTCTAAATGGAATAAAGTAAATGTTTCATAGCCAGCAATCATCAATTTTAGTGATGGAAAGTGTTTGTTAAATTGTTTAGAAGCAGCAAAGGAGGATGTTTTCTTGTCTAGAAAATTGGGAGGCTTTATCATAGACTATAGGGGTTTATCATATGTCCTTTGTGAATTCCTTTCTATTTTAGCTATTGACAATGTTGACCATACTAATAAAGTTTGACCTTATATTTTTGTGTCTGTACCATTTTGTTGTTTGATATTAGTGAATTTTAATATGACATTAATGTAAGGGTTGATATAATTGATGTAAGTTTTCAGCTAACACGAAGAATGTTTATCTTTTGTAAATTGTGATTATTTCTTTGTTTTAACTGAGTTTTATGATTTTGTGCAGAAAAGGCAGGCAAGTTTGAATATTTCTTACCACTTATTGTTACCACACTGAATGCATTGGAAATGAGATTTTTTTAGCTCCAAATTTGGTTTTGTTAGATTTTTATGTTGTCTAGTGGAAATTTTGCCAAATGTTTTTTCAGAAAGAATTGGGAAAGCTTGAACAAAATAAATATTAAAGTGTTTTCAAAGAAAATGTTTAAATTGAATATAAAGATCTTGTGATACTTAAATTGCAAGCTTTTTATGATTACTTAATCAAGAGGAAATGATTAAAGTAAAAAAAAACTGTTAATACTGTTCTGTATTGCTGTGATTTCTCAGATATTTTTCTCCTTATTTTGTGATGGTTGTGACATTGTTTTATAATTAACCAATTCATTTATCCATTTGATTGAATAAACAACAGGGAATGTTATTACTAAGCACTGGCTTATCATGAATTTGTTTTGTAGTTAAATTTTGGGAAAGATTTAAATTTCTTATTTGATTTGATTTGATTTTTGTTTTGCCTGCAAGGAAAGTCGCAGAATGCGAGACATAGGTATTGCAATCCGGCGGCGCTGGCGATGGTGTACACTATTTGTATAACGCTTTATATTTCAGAAGCTAGAAGACCTGAATGTTTACCAGATACCTTTTATTACGAAGTTTCCGTCTGTCATATGCCCTTTGTCCTTGAACTCATTTTCATGGTTTAGTGACTGCTTGAAAAAATATTACTTTTTTTTTTTTTAAAGTGAAATACTCTCTTATTATGAGTAATACGATAACTATATTTGGTATATGGCTTCCTTGCAAGGTCTATGTGTCTGTCAGTAGGATTCAGCTGACCTTTACCTCATTTCATGGATCAGTGATCAAGGTTAAAGTTACGTGGTCAAGTCCGTATCTCAGATACTATAAGCAGCAGGTCAAGTATATTTGGTGTATGGAATGATTGTAAAGTGTACATGTCAGACCGTTAGGTTTCATCTGACCTTGACCTCATTTTCATGGTTCATTGGACAATGCTCAGTTTTTGTATTTGGTCTATTTCTCACATACTATAAGCAATATATCAAGTATATTTGGTGTATGGAATAACTGTAAGGGGTAGATGTCTGTCTGGCAGGTTTCATATGACCTTGACCTCATTTTTATGGTTCATTGGTCAATGATAGGTTTTTTGTGTTAATCAGTTACTATAAATAACAGGTCAACTATATTTGGTGTATGGAATGATTATAAGGTGTACATGTCTGTCGAGCAGGGTTCATATTAAGTAGACCTCATTTTCATGGTTCATTGTTAACATTTGTGGTTTGATCTGTTTCTCAGGTACTATAAGCGATAGAACAACTATATTTGGTGTTTGGTAAAATTGTTAGGTGTACATGTCTGTTTGGCATGGTTCATCTGATTGTGACTTCTTTTTCATGGATCATTGATAATGTTAAGTGTATGTGATACTTGTTGAAAAACCTTCATATTATAGACTTTCAACATGAATATAATCATAAGTAAAACAGGTGAGACATTTCAGCATTAGCAATCTTGTTTTAAACACAATAGACAATTTAAGATTTTTCCAGTGTTGACATATTTATCTCTGTGACAGTATTTTTTGTAAAATTTACAGAGCTATAACATATGTTGATTGAATTATGTATTTTATATTTGTAAGGGGAATTTATTTTAGAAGTTATCTTTCAGTAATGTATGCTATGAGGGTTGTTTCTATGTTACAAGGAACACTTTCATTTATAAAATGAACCACAATTATTTTGTTCTAATTCTTGCATTGTTTATTGGTAATTGGTTTTTGACACTATGTTTGGTCACACTAGTATAAGATAGCTAAAAAATCAATAAAATAGCGTCCTTTGAAAAAGCTGCACTCTCCAGGTAGTTTAAAAGAGTTCACTTCCTCTTTTATTGGTCTTAGTTGACTATTCTAGTAAAATCTTAATGGGTTCAATACCATCTGTATCTCTATATAAGGGCAACTCCCCCTAATCAGATAGACGGATATTGATGAAACTTTACACAGTTGAAAAACACTACATCAGGACAGACAATCAAATTTACTTACTTCAGTGTGGCAATACTTTCTTTTAAGGGCAACTCCTAAACAGCTAGAAGAATATTAAAACTTTGCACACTTGTAGAGCACTATCAGAGGTCAACCAGTCTTGAGTTTGAGGCTTCTGAGTTCCTCAAACTCAGCCTTACTCAGGACATTTCTTATGTCAAAACAATGTTATTCTTTTTAGTAATTACAAATATTCAACTACCATTTTGATTTATATGGCCTGGTTATCTAGAGATATTTTTTATTATTACTCTCTTAAACAGATAATGTGCAGTTATTGAAATAAAAATCATAAAAACACAAATCATGTTAGCCATAATCTTTACATTGAAAACTTATAATAGAAATAAAGTTAAATAAACCACAGACTCTATTGAAGCATGTTTGATTTTTTACTTCAACCTCTTGCTTGCATTTGCACTCTTAAGACAGCACATGGTTTTGCATGGACTTAATTTATCAAAAATCCTAAATCTTTCCACATTTTTTTTAAATTGTCTACAAATGTTGCGTGAGTTTTGTTTATAATCCCTTTTCTACCAACTTTACAAGATGTTAAAGTAAAACACTTCTTAAGTATCATGAAATAAACTTTATAAAATGTATTGTAGTATTATTTTTTGAACTATTATGATATAGCTTTAATTTCACTAGCTACATGATGTATATAGATGCATTTTTTTTTAGTAATATTTACCTATTTTTTCAGGAAAACTTTATATTTTAGGCTTTTAAATTTTTCAAGTTTTTGAAGTTTAAGTGCGTTATGATTGTAAAGAGAGTACTGTTTCCTTTTCTTATACCCCTGTTTGTACAATAGTGTTTGATTTTAAGAGAGACAATTTTATATATTATTGTTGGTAGTTCCACTGTCCTGAAAGATTTCATATTGTATATTAGATTCTGTGGAAACATTTCTCGATAGAATTTATTGTTGGATCACAAAATTGACCATATATGTAAAATGTAATTCACTGTTTATTAAAATCTTCATATTTTCAAGCTGCTATATTTGTTTTAAATTAAAGAATAGTTTCATGTAAACAATACCTGTAGAAAATCAGATGGTATATTTCCTATTTACTTAGATATCATTCAGGACAGTGTATCACTAGACAGCATTAGTTGCTGAAGGGACAGGGATCACCTTTTATTTGAGGAAAAATTTAATGAAGTAATATTGTTTAATTTCTTTGTAGTGAAAGTGCAGGGAAAAATCTGAATACAATCAAATCGCTGAGAGTGTTTAGAGTACTTCGACCACTTAAAACCATTAATAGAATTCCAAAGTTAAAGGTGAGAAAATATTCTCAGTAACTACCTGATGATAAACCCCAAGAAAAGAAGTATGTTTCTGTATAAGTTGTGTCTTCTCACATAACTGTTGTTATCATTGTTATTTTGCTTAGTTTCTTCTGTTACCTATTCAAACATCAGACTCATACTTCTTTTAAACTGAGTTTTTCTGTGCGTATTGATGTGTGTTTGTTTATTCTACATTAGCTAGAGGTATAGGGGGAGGGTTGAGATCTCACAAAACATATTTAATCCCGCCGTATTTTTGCGCCAGTCCCAAGACAGGAACCTCTGGCCTTTGTTAGTCTTGTATTTTTTTTTTAATTTCGGTTCATTTATATGTTTTGGAGTTTAGTGTGACGTCCCTTTTCTATGAACTAGTACAAATTTTTTTTCACGGGCCAGCTGAAGCCCGCCTCCAGGTGCGGGATTCTTGCTGTGTTGAAGACCCATTGGTTGCCTTGGGCTGTTTTTTGCTCTTTGGTGGAGTTGTTGTCTCTTTGACACATTCCCCGTTTCCATTTTTAATTTTATTAGTCCAAAAAGACATTAATTAAGTTCAAAATTTTGTAGTTTCATGTAATGGCTGTGATTTCATTTCATATACTTAATGTTGAAATAAGTTTTTGAAATTGCAAAATATCCAGGTGAAAATTTCATCCCTGTAGTACCTATTTAATTTCCTTTATTTCTTTTTCATTTCAATTACAGTTAAAAAAAAACAATAATGATAATATCACTGTATTTTCATTAGCAAATAAAGACTAATTTACACAAAAGTTTTTCTTTCTTCAGAGTTAGGTGTATTCTTTGAAATCTGAGGGACTATGATTTTTAGCTCACCTTGCCCATAGGGTTTACTGTCCCTCTAAAACCAATAGGTATTCTGGAACCCAAACTAGGTGGGAATGATATTTATTAGTTTCTTATAATTATTCCTCAGCCTTCAGTTTGGTGGTGGTAAAACAACTGTCGTCCAGAGGCAATCTAAATTCTGATTGGCCAACTTTTAAAAATCTTACCCTCTTATCTAAAAGGTCAACACTATTGTTTTGAAACTAATTGGGATTGCTGAATCAAACCCATCTGGAGCTTAATTTGCCATAAGATAACTTATTATAAGTTAGAGCTAATTTAGAGTTTACCATGTGAGCAATTTAGGCACCTTGGAATTATAGTTAATATGACAAGATACTTGACTGTTGCCAATCTTGTTTTAAATTTTTACCATATGATCATGGATTTTAAAATCAGCTATAAACTTGGCTTTTTTTTCAATTTGAATGCATTTTTGTTAAGTTTATTACATAAAAAAAACTGTTTTTTTATTTTAGGCTGTGTTTGATTGTGTGGTGAATTCCTTGAAGAATGTGTTCAACATCCTTATTGTATACATGTTGTTCCAGTTTATTTTTGGTGTGATTGCTGTACAGTTATTTAAAGGGAAATTTTTCTTTTGTACTGATGAATCAAAAGAGACCAAGGAAGAATGTCAGTGAGTACACTTAAGAAACAAGTTTAGTGATATTCAAAATTGTTTGGCATGAATTAATGATCTAATCATACCAAAAGCAGACATAAACTACAACATCATAGATCTATCCACTTATTTACACATTATCAGTGATGACAACTCTTAATAGTGACATTATTTCCTGTGAACCATATAACAGCAGATTTTACACTTCACTGTATTATTTTCATGATATTACTTGTCCTCAAAACACCATGCTTGTTGGCAAAACATGTACAATGCTATTTGATAATTGTTTGCTCCTTAAGTCATTTCTCTTGGTGTTATATTAATAAAATGCATGGACTTCTCAGACAAACAGAATTACCAGACTTTTCTATTATACATCAGAAAAGCAAACCTATTGTCAGGTTTAAATGTTTTTAAGATAACTCTATAAAGATCTGCATTGACTTTCTACCTCATCTGAAATTTCAAATGTTCAATCTTTTTAGGGGTCAGTTTTTCTCTTACGAAGATGGATCTGAGACACCTACAGTTGAGGATAGAGTGTGGGACAGGAGAGATTTCCATTATGACAACATTGTTTATGCCATGTTAACACTGTTTACTGTTACAACAGGAGAAGGATGGCCTCAGTGAGTTTTATTGTAATTTTTATATACATATAGGGAGAATGGTCTCAGTGAGTATAATTATATTAGATTTAACCCGCAGAGGGGCTGGTTTCAGTGATTATTATTGTATAGTTTATACATATCAGAAGATTGGTCTCAGCGAGTATTAATGTATAGTTTACTAGTATCAGAAGACTGGTCTTAGTGAGTATTATTGTATAGTTTACTAGTATTAGAAGACTGGCCTCAGTGAGTATTATTGTATAGTTTATACATATCAGGAGACTGGTCTCAGTGAGTATTATTGTATAGTTTATACTTATCAGAAGACTGGTTTCAGTGAGTTTTATGGTATAGTTTATACTTATCAGGAGACTGGTTTCAGTGAGTTTTATGGTATAGTTTATATATATCAGAAGTCTTGTCTCAGTGAGTATTATAGTATAGTTTATGCATATCAGAAGACTGGCCTCAGTGAGTATTTGTGTAGTTTATACATATCAGGGGACTGGTCTCAGTGAGTATTTGTATAGTTTATACATATCAGGAGACTGGTCTCGGTGAGTTTTATTGTATAGTTTATACATATTAGAAGACTGATCTCAGTGAGTATTATTGTAAAGTTTATACATATCAGGAGACTGGTCTCAGTGAGTTTTATTGTGTTGTTTATACATATCAGAAGACTGATCTCAGTGAGTATTATTGTGTAGTTTATACATATCAGGAGACTGGTTTCAGTGAGTTTTATTGTATAGTGTATACATATCAGGAGACTGGTTTCAGTGAGTTTTATTGTATAGTTTATATATATCAGAAGACTGGCCTCAGTAAGTATTATTGTATAGTTTATACATATGAGGAGACTGGTCTCAGCAAGTATTATTGTATAGTTTATACATATGAGGAGACTGGTCTCAGTGAGTATTATTGTATAGTTTATACATATGAGGAGACTGGTCTCAGCAAGTATTATTGTATAGTTTATACATATCAGGAGACTGGTCTCAGCGAGTATTATTGTATAGTTTATACATATCAGGAGACTGGTCTCAGCGAGTATTATTGTATAGTTTATATATATCAGGAGACTGGTTTCAGTGAGTATTATTATGTATATGTATAAAAGGAGATGTTGGTGAATACAATATATTAAACTCTAAATCATCCAACAGACTGTCAAAGATCTGCCATCAATACAAAACTCTCCAAATGACAAAAAATTAAGATACAACTAAATGAATGACAGTTGAGGCTACTGACTTGGGACAGACACAAGAATGTAACAGGATTAAATAAGGTTTTTTTTGTTTTATGTTTCAACCCCTCCCCGTTTCAATGTCAATCAATGGACTAACATAAAGTACATAGAACTTAAAATGAACATCTGTACAAATCTTCTAATAATACTGGTGTATGATAAACAAATGAATGTTTGCTCTTCATCCCAATATGGTCATGTGATGTAAGACATGCTTCCAATATAGAATAGAGAATGGAATTGTGTCAAAGAGACAACAACCTGACCAAAGAGTCTATACTTAATTTAAGTTTTGTCCGTTTTTACCCATTTCGACTTACATAGTGCTATTATGCTAGAATGAAATCTATCATAATATAGTATATCCAAATAGTGAGTTATAATTGTATATTTCAGAATATTGAAAAATTCAATGGAAGCAACAAAAGAAGACCATGGACCTAAACAAGCTTATAGAATGGAGATGGCTATTTACTATGTTGTGTTTTTCATTGTCTTTCCATTTTTCTTTGTAAACATTTTTGTGGCCTTAATCATTATAACATTTCAAGAACAAGGAGAGAGTGATTTAGGTGATCAAGATTTAGACAAAAATCAGGTACTTTTGTTTTAAGATTTAATATGAAAATACATAGAACTAAGATAGGATGTAACTCTAAATAGGGTCTACACAGACTGAGTATAGGATATTGACATAAAAAATGAGACCTGCATATTTCTAAGTCTGAGACAAACTGATTGACAAAATCACCATTACATCTGCCTATTTCAACCAATAGATAAACCATGTTTTCCCAGACTTAAAAAAATGAAAACAACACGTTATAAATTTTATGCGTCCAAAGCACTTTTCTGGATTTACCTTCATCAGGAACATTCAAAGCCGAATTTTTGAAAGCCAAGGATGTACAAGAATCGAAACAGTTGAAGAGCTATATTACCAAAAAGGACCTAAAAAAAATAGCCAAATCCATCTAAGGTCAACTTTGACTGAGGGAGTTGAAACCTGAGTTATTTATAATTTCAAAATTTATTAAATTGTCAATTTTAGAAAGGTTTGTTATAAATCATGTCATTACGAAGTACTGACTACTGGGCTTATGATACCCTCGGGGACTAACAGTCCACCAGCAGAGGTATCGACCCAATGCTGTAAAAAATGAAAACAACACGTTATAAATTTTATGCATCCGAAGTGGTAAGTTATCTATCCCTACAAATAAAAGCTTCATAAACAGCATGAGAAAAGCATGGCCTTGTGCATTGCCAAAGTAATTGTATTGATTGGATGTGTTCATAACTGTCAAACAGTACATATTTAGTTATGTACATTCCCTTGAATAATATTGACAAGGACATTTTACACTTTAGTATTTATTCATTTATGCCCCTTGATTTATCCGAAAAATTGCTGACTTTGTATCTTTATACAGCTTTTATCAAATGTTATAAACTTTTAATTAAACATTATTGGCCATTTAGCGAATAAATGAACGCTGAAATTCACCATATTTTTCATGGTATCATCAAAGAGTTGTGCAATCTTTTTCAGAAACAATGTATAGATTTTGCTGTTAATGCTAGACCTGTTTGTCGATATATGCCGCAGAATAAAGATTCTATAAAATACAAGATTTGGAAGATTGTAGTGTCTCCCAAGTTTGAATACTTGGTAATGACTCTCATAGCTTTAAATACAATTGTACTTATGATGAAGGTAAGTCTTATGACCAGTGCATAAATGGAATACAAATAAAAATATTATCAACATGTACATTGTAATTCAAGTCAGATGATTTTTTTCACAGATATAAATGATTTCTATACTTAAAATGGTCTTCACAGCTGGTTAAGGGTTAATGATATTTTCTATATTCATTCCAATATAAAAAGCAAACTCCTAGGAAATGCCTAAAACTGTTTTAAAAGGAAGTTCATCTCTGCATTTTACAGCTTGAATTATTGTACCTATGATTATTCCATTTTATGACAGAGACCTTATGGAATGTGTTTTATGATATATTTACTGATGTTATTGTTTGTTTATTGCTACAGTTTGATGATATGAGTGATAAATACAAGAACATATTGATGTACATGAACATGAGCTTTACGTTCTTGTTCACAATAGAATGTACCCTCAAGTTACTCGGGTTTGGATTGGTAAGGCTTTTCAGCCTGCTATATGGTGTTGGTTATACACAGAATTCAGATTTCTAATGATTGTAGTGTTGCCATAGAAATAATTCAGTTAGACTATAATAAGAATTATTCTTTTTGAGTTGAATTAAAAAAGTATATAGTGATTCAGCACCCTATGATTTTGGTCAAAGAAGCTAATGAAAACCCTTATAAAAGTAGCAAAAACTGTTTTTGCCAATGTTTTCAAAATTTAAAGTATAGACTTTATTATTTCAATGGACACAGCAAAAGAGCAAGCACTTAACATGGGAGTAGATTAGAATTTTATCAATACTAACTCTTCATTAAAAAAGAAGTGCATTTTGTCAGATATCAGAACACAGAGATGGACTATTAAGAGTAGCATATATCTACCAACAATGATAATGTCAGTTGATAAATCTTTGACGGGAATTCTATGTTTGAAAAAGTGAAAAATGAAAATAACTTTGCCTAATAATTACCATGGGTAGGGGTTCAGACTTAATCTTTTTTCCCCCCGTTCAAATAATGTTCAATCTGTGTTTTGATTTGGTTTATTTTACACTAGCTTGCATTTTATGCATGCCCAGTCATAGGAATTGATAATTACAATAATTTGAGGGTTTGGAGGATTCTCAAGAATATAGTCTCACTTCTACAGTGCAAAGTAATATTTCTTCTTTTATATAATAATATTGGAAAAGCCATTCATAGAATTTCTAACAGACTATCTTCAGTATTTTAAAGGCACGCCAGTGAGATATTGTTCTTTGAGAAGTTACAACTATAATCAAATCATAAAGTATGCATTTTCGTTATACACAAGAATGGCTTATGTGTTTTCCCTCCTTTTCTTTGTTTTGCCCTTCTTAATTATGGATATTTTTATTACCAAAATAATCTTATTTCAAGGTTGCCTAATTTTTAGGTGAAAAAGATTCTGTCTGTGTGTATTGTTACAAAAATCTGTTTTAAAAGGACATCGTGCAGACAGATATTTCTAAAGTTATCAATTTTGATAGTGTAAAAGGTTAAATAATAGGACATAAGAAAAAGGAGATTCTGAATTAAGTTTTTGAAAGACATAAGACACTTGAAGAAAATGCATATTTTCTCACATATTTCCAGGATTTTGTGTTAATGCAGTGATTTTAAGGTGTCTGTCACAGTGATTCAAAAGTGACATGATGATTCAATTCTAAAATGACATGATATTATAATAAATAAATTTACAAAAGTAAAAAAATGTAACAAATTTTAAAACAAAATATGAAGGAAATAATTAAAAAACAAACTTTTGTCACTTTTGAATCGCTGTAGATACTGTTTAAATTTTTTTTTCACATTTCACTTCTTCATCTAAATTTGAGTGCATCAAGACACAACTCACGGAAAAGCTTCATGGGAAGATGTACAAGGCATCTTTGGTTCTTTTTTCTATAAAAACATATATTTTCATTCTGACATGCTTGAAATTTCAGGAAGACAATTCACAGGACAATACACAGATGAACAATAGCCAATCAAAGGCCAAAACACAGGAAGATGTCCTCATTTACATCAATATAACTTTCACGATCTTGTTCTCAATTGAATGTTTTCTAAAGCTATTGGCTTTTGGAATCAAGGTTTGCCAAAGATAAATTAACCAATGTTGTTATACCTCCCTGAGTAGTGTGTTTGCATGGTTAGCTTGTAACCTGAAGATGTTGTGACTTCAGTGTTCTTCCTCTTTCACAAATATCTGACTTATTTTGTTTCTAGTATGATTAAAACAGATATTTTACTCAGATTCTATTCCTCTAAAAAATGTATGAAGAAAAATTCAGAATATTTATTTTTTTGGCAACATATCTATCCAAAGATAAATTTTCTACAGTTTAAAACCATGAATAACTTAAATGGTTGCAAAGCTTTTCACCAATAATTAGTATATAGAAGATTTTAGAAGATTCAATGATACCACTCACTCAATTTTTTAACAACAAATAGCATAACTGTTTTATAAATACATATATTTTGCATCAAATTAAACATATATTGAAGGAGAGGGTACCAATTTGGGCCATAAAAAGACAGTAAATTAAGAAAAATGGTGAAATTGTAAAAAAATCATGACCATTTAACTCACAGATGCTAAAAATTGTATATAGCACAACCCTTACCCAAAAATATATTTACACAGGAAATGTATTTCGTGTTTATGTACTTCCTGATAAAAAAATCAGTTTCTTCTATACTTTTATTCCATACTGATTTAGCTGAATACTTCTGAAATTATTCTTTTTTGTCTTGAGTGAACTAAGTAAAAAAAGCGAGACGTAGGTGTGTTGTTTCCAGCGGCAGTGGTGTCAACAAAGTATTAGTTTGTGATTAAGTTAGTTTAGGGGGAACCACTAGTGTTAGGTCAGTGATATTTGGTATGCAATTGTATTAGCATTGGTACATTTTATTTCCATGGAGATTATTTGGCCCCACCCCTCAGTCATGGTCTATTGACTTTGATACTTGCTTAGTTTACATGCATAAGTTTGTCATAAATATATAAAAATAAGGAGATGTGGTATGATTGCCAATGAGACAACTATCCACCAAAGTTCAAATGATGTGGATGTAAGCAATTATAGACAACTGTACGGCCTTCAACAATGAGAAAAACCCATACTGTATGGTCGACTATAAAAGGCCCCGACATGAAAAATATGAAACAATTCAATTGAGAAAACTAACGGGCTAATTTATAACAAAACAATTTACGAAAAACAAATATGGCAGACATGAACCAACAACAACCATTGAACTACAGGCCCCTGACTTGGGACAGGCACATAAAGAATGTGGCAGGGTTAAACATGTTTGTAAGTGCTCAACCCTCCCCCTAACCTGGGACAGTGGTGTTACAGTACAACATAAGAACAAACTATGAAAATTAGTTGAAAAAGGCTTAACTCATCAGATGGATACAAATAGAAATACATCTAAAAAAAACACAGGGTGGATGTGGACAGGTATAAGGTCAGTTTAAGGGGAACAGGTCCATGATATTTAGTATGTAGATGTATAAGCATTGGCACATCTCTATTCCATGGAGATTATTTGGCCCCACGGCCTCATTCATGGTCTATTGTCTTTGAATGGTGCATAGTTTACATGTTAAAGTTTGTGTTTAGGTTTGTTTAAAGGACACGACTTAGGATATTTACATTATACTATCAAAATTACAGAACGTGAGACATATCTCTGTGTCAACAGCTAATTATTTTTTTTGCTTTGATCAGGTAATGCAGTCATGAAAAGACAATCAATTAAGTAACATGGTGAAATTGCAAAAAATCATGACCTTAAAATGATATGTAGCACAACCCTCAAAGCAAAAGTTATCAGTTCTATAAATCTTTGGCCAGACTGCTTCTTTTTTTTTGCCATTTTTTTTTATGTTCTTCCGATCAAGATGAATAAACGCTATCATGTTTGTCCAAAACAAATGATCCCAAGATAATAACTTTTATTTGCTTTAAGCAATGTTCTTCTTTTGCATAAGTACTACTGAATATTTTAACTATGATGGCCGTCACTGTTCCGGAATTAAGACTATTCAGATGTACTAACTTAGATAAATGTAGATTTTAGGTATAACGACTTTTCATAAGCTTTCACTAAAATCCATTGATATTTTATAGAATAACTAATACACTATAACTTTGATTTTAACTGGATTCTTAAGACACATTTTAATCTCCATGGTGTAAATTCTGTATATATCAGTCACTATAACAAAAACATATTTTGGTGGTCTTGGCATTTCTAAGATTTAAATTTCTAATGTTATTATGAAATAAGGGTCCAGTTTGATTTTTAGTATCTTATATGAATAAGAAGATGTGGTATGAGTGCCAATGAGACAACTCTCCATCCAAGTCACAATGTATAAAAAGTTAACAATTATAGGTCAAAGTACAGCCTTCAACACGGAGCCTTGGCTTACACTGAACAGCAAGCTATAAAGGGCCCCAAAAGACAAGTGTAAAACAATTCAAACAGAAAAACCAATAAATAGCCTTTAAAATGATAGACAGCCTTTTAGAAAAATGGAGTTAGCAAAATTGTTGGTTTCTTGTTTGCTTTGATATTAATCAATTTTTATCCTGATTGCTTTTACCATTCAAGACTTACCGCTCTTGAAAATTGTAATATTGAGCAAAATTTTATGACGGCTTTCATTTGTTTTGAAATAGAGACTTGATAGTTACGGAAATATTTAAAATAATAAAAAATCTGATTATGCAAAATCATCAGCATGGCAGTGATACCATTGAAAAAGTGAACTTCAGCAGAATTTATGGACATAACTAAAATTTGCTCAATACACTTTAAAATCCATTTTTAAATATGGAATTTCACCTGTCACAAGTTCTGCTACTTTCTTGACAAGTGTCCGAATCAGTACTTTAATTAACATCAATCCAATCATTAACTAATACTTATTATGCTATTTGCTAAAAGAAAGTTTTTTCGATGAGTTTAGTTACTTTAAAAAATAAACTCCATTAATTTTTTTACTTAATAACGTGTAAGTGTATTATTGCCTATGTCAAATTTGAGGAGAATCTGTTGACTTTGCCAACCTTTGACCTGTTATGTGAATAGCCTTAGCTTGAACTTAAATTTGAGTCCTCACAATGGTAACTACCACTTATTACCAATTAGACTATATTAGTTGGAGCTAAAATACAACTTACTTCTTTCTAACTTTCTAAGATAAAAAATCTTTTCTCTAGAAGTCAACTGTTGTATGTAATACTGTTTTTATTGTGTTAATGGTGCTGAAGATTGTAACATTTATAATGTAAAAAGAATATAAGTTGTTCCTTAAAGGGGAAAATATAACACAAATAGTTCAACAATAAAGGACAGAAACCAAATCACTGCACCAATACAAAAATTTTGCTTACAACATTGTTACACGTAAAGCACCTGCTATTTTCTAACTGATCTGTGATGTATAGAGAATTGGGATGTTGGTAGAATTATCTTGAGTGAGTATGCTGCTTCATTTTATCAAAAATAAGTTCCATGTACAATAAAAATAAATTATTTGATATATGCATGTATTCATTTAACTGAAGTCCTCCAGATTAGGTTTGAAAATAAATAATAACTTGTTTATGGCGTATCTATCATATTTATGGTCTTGTTGACTACATACCATGAATTGAATACATGAATAAAAACTAAGTTCTATATGTATGAATAAGCTAAAACCAAAATTTATTATTGGGTAGTCATTTTTGTCGAGGCTGCAACATTTATGCTGCGAAAGCGAGACATAGCGTTCCTAGATTCCGTAGTTAGCAGCATCAATATTTAGGTTCAGTCTGTGGTTATATTTTTTAGCTCACCAGGGCCCGAAGGGCCCCATGTGAGCTTATGCCCTCACTTGGCGTACGTCGTCGTCGTCGTCGTAAACTATTTCAAAAATCTTCTCCTCTGAAACTACTGGGCCAAATACCTTCAAACTTTAACTAAATGTTCCTTAGGGTATCTTGTTTATAAATTGTATCCGAAGTTTTGATCCATTGACAAACATGGCCGCCATGGCTAAAAATAGAACATAGGGGTCAAATACAGTTTTTGGCTTATATCTCAAAAACTAAAGGTTTTAGAGCAAATCTGACATGGGATAAAATTGTTCAATTGGTCAAGATCTATCTGCTCTGAAATTTTCAGACGAATCGAACAACTCATTGATGGATTGCTGCCACCGAATTGGTAGTTTTAACAAAATTTTGCAGTTTTTTGTTATTATTTTGAATATTATTATAGATATATATAAACTGCAAGCAGCAATAATGTTCAGCAAAGTAAGATCTACAAAAAAGTTAATATGACCATAATTGTCAATTGACCCCTTAAGGAGTTATTGCCCTTTAAAGACAATTTTACACAATTTGTTCATCAAGTTTGCTAACATTTAAAAATCTTCTCCTCTGAAACTACTGGGCCAATTACCTTCTAACTTTAACTAAATGTTCCTTAGGGTATCTTGTTTATAAATTGTATCCGAAGTTTGTATCCATCGACAAACATGGCCACCATGGCTAAAAATAGAACATAAGGGTCAAATGCAGTTTTTGGCTTATATCTCAAAAACTAAATCTTTTAGAGCAAATGTGACATCGGGATAATTTGTTTAATTGGTCAAGATCTATCTGCCCTGAATTATTCAGACGAATCGAACAACCCATTGTTGGGTTGCTGCCACCGAATTGGTAGTTTTCACAAAATTTTGCAGTTTTTTGTTATTATTTTGAATATTATTATAGATATATATAAACTGTAAGCAGCAATAATGTTCAGCAAAGTAAGATCTACAAAAAAGTTATATGACCAAAATTGTCAATTGACCCCTTAAGGAGTTATTGCCTTTTAAAGACAATTTTACATAATTTGTTCATCAAGTTTGCTAACATTTAAAAATCTTCTCTTCTGAAATACAGGTGAGCGATTCAGGCTCTTGAGAGCCTCTTGTTTTAACCATCAATAATTTTGTCAAACCTTCATGGAATTTTATGAAATTTGGACAGAAGCTTGTTTATGATGAAAATACAGTATCCAGAGCAAAATTTTGAAAAATTTCATTTCCTTTTTTCTGTATTTTACTGATAAATCAGACTTAGTTTTTTTACAGTTAACATTTAGATTCAGTCTGAGGTTAAATTTTTACAGTCATCAATAACTTTGTCAAACCTTTATGGAATCTTATGAAATTTGGACAGAAGCTTGTTTATGACCAAAATACAATATTCAGAGCAAAATTTTGAAAATATTTATTTTCATTTTTCATTTTTCTGTATTTTACTTTAGCTTTTTTATGATTAATTTATTGAGATAATGTCTGAAGCAAACTTTTGAAAATATATTTTCATTTTCAGTATTTTTCTAATAGATGGAGTTTTTTACAGTTAACATTTACAGACAATCTGGGATTTTTTTTTTTGTCATGATAAATTAGAGAACCTTCATGGATTGTTATGAAACTTGGACAGAAGCTTATCTTCAAGACCAAGAAATAGCATCTAAAGAAAAAGTTTGATTTATTTTTTCAGTTATGTATTTTACTGATAAATGGACTCACTTTTTAAGTCAACATTACACTTTTACACTGACAGCAGCAATCGTAGGCGAGACACAGGGTTCGTTGGAATCCCTTACGATTTTTCTTAGATTTATCTGTCAAAAATGAACTGAAATTGCCTAACACTTATAAAATTTCTCTTGACAAAAAGATGTGAAGTTGTTTAATTTTAAGTTTTATCATTGCTTATGTACAGATGTTTTTTGGCGTCTTTTTTCTTATTATTTAGGCTCTGTTGCTCTTCAGTGTTCCTGTACTTTTGGAATCAAAATATGTTTCCAACACAACAAATTAGAAAAAAATTTCAAAGTGACAGATGTAGCATCAAATTAGCCTCAATATCTTTTTTGGGGTTGTTATTATTCGAACACTATAAATAGACCAAAATCCCCCCCACTTTTCCATATAATTTTCTGAAATGATGAAGCCAAGCAAGCACTTTTGTATAATTTATAGACCCAATTCAAAGTTTTAATCTATTATGAGACTTTCAAACTTAGTAGTAACTTTAAAGTAAGGAGTGTTTGTTTCATTATGTTAATTTCATTTTGAAATATACTAAACAACTGTAAACAAAGTATTTTAAGCCTTTGTAAATGTTAAGATTCTCGCACCAACCAACCTTTTATATTACTTTCAAAATCGGCATCATACCACATAAGATTTATATTCATTGTATACATAAAAAAGAGTAATATTCAGTTCAATGACTATTAATTTATCATAAAGTGCATTAGTCCACAAGTCATCTGTTACATGAAATAAATCCTCCCTTCATTATTTAAGTAGGTGAATGAGAATGTAGTTATTTACAGGCCTAACAAGGTGGTTTACTTTTTGAAAATTACATGCAGCATGTTGAATAGCTTTTCCCACCAGCTTTTAAACTGCTTTAGATATTTCCCATTTAGCTTTGTCTGTTTTTAGCATGAACTACAAGTCATCTTTGAGCTTAAGTGTTTTTCAATACAGCTCTTTGCGTTTGATTGACCTTGTATATATTGCTAGTGTACCATTAGTTTGCAACATCACAGTATATCCTAATATGTAATTTATATAATCAAGTCTATTTTTATGTATTTTTATTGTGATTTTCCATTTATATTTCCATGTATTTCAATGCCTTGTTTTATTACAGAAATCATTTTTTTACAGTTTTAAGAACGGTTCTATAACTTTTAAATGCCTGAATATTGTGATATTTATATTTTTCAACTTGAATTAAGGGAGATAATTAGGAAAAACAAAAATGAAATAATGTGTTACAATTGAGTTTTACCTCAATATATAATTTATATGTGTAGTAAATAAAAAGATATACTTTGTTAAACTTGCAGGAAAATTATTTAAAATGAAGTAAAAAAATATTTAGAATTTTCCTTCTTTACTTGTGTGATTTTTTAACTATATAATTTCTTCTGAACAAAGCTACAGGCTTGTGATTAACTTGTATACATGATAGATTTTTAAGGTCTCATGCTATTCACACAAGTATTGAAAGCAGGGAGAAATGTGTTTTTTTTTTTTTTCAGAATTATTTCCGAGATCCATGGAACGTATTTGATTTCATCACGGTTGTTGGTAGTATAGTAGATGTTTTAATTAGCCTCATTAATATAGGGGTTAGTATACAGACTTATACAAACAATTGTCACTCTACACAGTTATTTTCATTATGATTATGATAATAAATAACTGGTTTTACACATTGTGCAATCTAACTATTAGATTTGTTTAAACATATTGTTTTGTTACATTCAAAGGAAACAAAGTACCAGTACAATTTTGTTCAGAGTTGAATGACAATGACACACAGATACAAATGATTGAAAAATCATGTAGAACCAATCAAGCAAACTTTATAGCTTGTGAAAGACAATTTTATGTCTAATCAACACAGTATCAGCTTCTTTAGGCATGACAGTCATATAGAAAAAGTAGACAAGGTCCAGAATGACACCCCAAGCTTGTTAGTAGACATACTTTCAACAGGCTTACAAAAAATTGAAGGAGGGTTAAGTAATTTAAAATGGTCTGATGAGTAGAAACCAAGGATGACATCAGCTTTGTTTACGCTATCAGAATCAGCAAATATTTGACATACGATTTATTTTTGTGCAATAGATCATGGGCGAGGTAAAGTATTTCATCACAGTTTATAGGGCAAAATTCTCTATTATTAGTAGATGTAAAAGTGGAAATTTTTCCGTAATCATAATTTTTTCTGCATCATATACACAAGTTTGGTGTATCATTGGCATTTTCCATTTCTGTTTATAAAATTTCCACTTTTTGCAAAACTTCAATACTGCTTTTTTATATTATATCATATAGAAGAATGACAATACTGTTGGCTTTACATGTTAATTATGCAATGTTCGGAGTCTTAACTCTTCTGATACCGGGAATATGTTTATATTTCCTTCTAGTTTGCCTCACACCTTGTAAAAAAATCATTCTAACTTATATTGCTATGACTTCATGCATGCATGATTTCATTTTGTTTTCATTTTTGGATGCAGTTGAAGAGAAACATTCATATAAAAATGCACATTGTCCATCACATTCACCTGTTTGCTGTATTTGTAAAGCAGTTAGACCCTTGCTACTCACACAAGTGTTGTTGTTATCCCTTTAATAGAAGTATACACAGGATAGACACAAGAATCATCACATTTATATGTTATTTTTGACAAAGCTGACAAGGAAAAGTGCTATGTTGGTAATATCTGTTTATATTAATGTCTGGCCTGAAATAATGGAACAGGAACCACATCATTGAAGACATTATTTCCTATGAAGACATCATCAACAGTGAAATATATTTTTGTATTATGTATTTGTTTCAGAAGAAAGAGTTCATTGATATTTTGTATGCTGGTTCATAAGAATTTATTGATCTTAGTTTTAAGGAAATATATTTGTTCAGTTTTTTTTAAACATTAAGGATAGTTATCTTTATTGATAATGATAAAGGATGTAAACTCTTTACATGTAGCATAACAGCATTTTGTTTTTGATACTGTCTTTATCAGCAAGAATATCAAGGGTCGAAGCTAGTGCAAGTTGGTATTCAAATTGATGAAGTCAGTATAAAATAAAATGCCATTATTCTTTTTATCAGCAATTTGTCTTCATGTGTGTCTCTTGGGACAGAATATGAAATTACATGAAGAAGTTAATAAAACTCTATTTACACATAAAAAACATTTAGATAGTTGTCCTGTTGTATGAATGACATGGCTTGCATTTCATTGATAATTTGTTATGGAAAAACATAAAAAAGTGATGTTACAGCATTGCAAAGTGACATCATTGCCTAATATTTTCAAGTATCACGTCCTGTCCTTGGTCTGAAAACATTTTTGGTTGTAGGATCAAATGTCAATTAGATATTAACCCAATGACACAAAAAAAAACAAAAAAAAACAAACTTTTAAGAGGTCAACAATCTCAACAGTCTTTAACAATAGCTTTAAATTGCTCACATTCTAAAATGATTTAAATACATTAAACAGAGGCCATCACACATAAAATCAACATTAAAATCACCAAAATTTTTAGACGAGATTGTTTAAATTGTCAGTTTGCTGTCACATTGACATTTATGACACATCTCCTTTTATTGTCATGCTCAATATATACTCAAGCATCTTATTTTTTTTGTACAAATTTTTGATAACTTTATGGATGCATCTTCCTAGAAGTTATATACTTTTAATGTTTTTTTATGCACATTTCTCAAACATTTTGCTTTCTTTAGGATTTTTATTATACCCCGCTCTAGGAGTAGGGACTATATTGCATTCACATTGTCCGTCCGTTCATCAAATTTTCCTGTCACACTTTTCTCAAGTGCTTTTGAACACCAAATTGACTCCATATTTGGTCAGCAGCTTGACAGTTGTAATATGTGACCACTGATTGGTTCTGTTGGACACCTACTTCCTGCTTGACAATACTTTGAATTTTCAAGAAGTTGAATGAACTCTTACTTTTCATCACACCTTTCTCAGAAATTACTGATAAGAATGTCTTCATATTTGGTCAGCAGCTCAACAGTGATGAATTCAACATGTGTGCACTTTTCAAATCTGTGGGACACCTTCTTCCTGTTTTTCAATACTTTGATTTACAAGTGACAGTATGCTGAACACAACAACATGAGCATTCTTGTTTATGTCAAATTTTCAGAACATACAACAAAATGGAAAACTTCATAGAATATTTGGCATTATTAAAGAATGCTTCCCCTATATGGTACCTAAATTTTTTTTTGAAATTGCTCATGAAGCATGATAAAGGAAAGAAAGCCTGTTTTTGATGACTAATTTACATATGGCATGGTATTTTGAAATAGTATTAATTTTTGAAAAGGCATGCCTTTTGTGTGTACAATTCGTCAGTTTTTGTTCAATATTAACTGTGATGTTTTACAAGCATCCAAACTGTTTTACTTTTTCCGTTCAAACATTTGAGATTCCTAGTTATATATTTCATCGGAACTTACTTAACCATACTGCCTTCAGTGATTATTTATTGCTTATGCACTTAATTATTACAGAATAGCTATGCAAGCTTCAATATTGGTGTCTTCCGGCTATTCCGAGCAGCCAGATTGATAAAACTTCTGCGGCAGGGGTACACTGTAAGACTGTTACTGTGGACATTCCTCCAGTCATTTAAGGTAAGATCTAACATATCTTGTCTTTGTTAAGTTTGAAAATTAGGGCTTATTATGATTTGTTATGACTATGTTCCTCATAAATGTAAATAATATGGAAAGTCAACAATGCAAATTGGGAAAAAAATTTGGGGAGTTACCCATACCATTTGATATAAAAATAAGAAGATGTGATATGATTGCCAATGAGACAAATATCCACCAGAGACCTAATAATTTAGATGCAAACAACTATAGGTTTCCATACAGCCTTCAACAATGCAAAAACAGTACTGTATAGTAAGCTTTAAAAAGGCCCAGACATTACAAGATGTAATACAGGTCAAATAAGAGAAACAACTGCCCGATTTATGTACATAACAATAAATAATTTAATTTTGGATGTAACACTTCTTCTGATTAACTGAAAGTTTTTTGTCTATCAGCTCAAAGACATAATTTTGTCATGTGACTGTGACATCATCGATGTTTTTTCATGATTTACTCCTTAAAAATGGAATTTAGAATTATAATATATGTTTATTTAAGATGATGTTTATGTTTCAGTCCATACCATATGTCTATTTTACCTGTTTATTTAAGATGATGTTTATGTTTCAGTCCATATCATATGTCTATTTTACCTGTTTATTTAAGATGATGTTTATCTTTCAGGCCTTACCATTCAAAATGATGTTTATTTTTCAGGCCTCATCAATTATAATGAAATTTATCTTTCAGGGTATACCATTTATAATGATGTTTATCTTTCAGGCCATACCATTTATGATGTTCATCTTTCAGGCCATACCATTTATTATGATGTTTATCTTTCCGGCCATACCATTTATTATGATGTTCATCTTTCAGGCCATACCATTTATTATGATGTTTATCTTTCTGGCCATACCATTTATGATGTTCATCTTTCAGGCCATACCATTTATAATGATGTTTATCTTTCAGGCCATACCATTTATAATGATGTTTATCTTTCAGGCCATACCATTTATAATGATGTTTATCTTTCAGGCCATACTACCATTTATAATGATGTTTATCTTTCAGGCCTTACCATATGTATGCTTGTTGATCCTAATGCTGTTTTTCATCTATGCTATCATTGGAATGCAAGTAAGTTCTGATAAAATTATACATCATATAACAGTTTATAATGGTAACCTTTCTGCCATCCCAAGATGTAAACCATGGGTAAAATTGGTTTCCCCATGGAAATTTTTATAGGCACCTTTTCATGATATCCTGATATTTTTAATGTATTCTGATCAATGGACATAAAATACCCATACATCATAGTAGCTAGTAAGCAATTATTATATGCCCGTTTACAGGACGTATTATGGTATACTGTTGTCCGTTTTCATCAACATGTCCAACAATAATTCAAAATTCCTTTAACCAATTTGCATGAAACTTTGGTGAATTGTATATATCTATTGATGTAAGCTCTCTTTCGATTTTTATAAATTTTAGATATTACGTTTCCGAGTTGTGGGGTTTTATTCATTAAAAAAGGGTGATTTTCCAGTTTTTGGACAATAACTCAATAAAGCTTTAACCAATTTGCATGAAACTTTGGTGAATTGTTTATATCTATTGACATAAGCTTCCTTTCGATTTTTATGAATTTTAGATTATAAGTTTCAGAGTTATGGAATTTTATTCATAAAAAAGGGGGGATTTTCCAGTTTCCGGATAATAACTCAAAAGTGCTTTGAGAAGTTTTCATGAAACTGTGGTGACTGGTTTATATCTATTAGAATAACTCCCTTTAGTTTTTTATAATTTTTTTTAAAAATGAAATTGAGGAGTTATGGAACTTTATTTGTTGAAAAAGCAACAGGCATATCATGTGCTCATGGCACAGCTCTTTATTTCATCTGTAGTGTAGCCACTTTCTGTTTTCCGATAGTTTGAAATTTTGCAATGCTCATTGAACCAAGAAAATTTTCGTCAAAGTTTTCTTGACATCTATTAAAGGGAATGATTTATTGTAATATTTGGTCTGTAGCTTGATAATGTTGAGTTGTAGCAATTGAGCAAGTTTCACATCTGCTGTGTAGTCATTTCCTGTTTGCCGATTGTTTGAAATTTTACAATACTCAATGTACAAGCAGCCTTCACGCTTAACTTTTGAGCCCACAAGCCAGTAGCTCAATTTTTAAATTTTTTTAGATGGATTCTGTTGGCTAGTAGAGAAGAATTTTACAAGTCCGAAAGCAATTTTACAAGCCAATGCTGTAGGACTTGTGGTTAAGCATGAAGACTGTACAAGGACATTTTTTGTCAAACTTTTCTTGGCTCCTTGAATGAAGAGAATGATTTTAATATTTTGTCTAGGTATTAACAGTTATGCTCCGGTATACATGTTACCTCAATCACTTGCATGCAGTGGCACAGGTCCAGACCCGGTATTTGGTCTTGTTCTTTTAGACCTGGAAATATTTACCATTTAAAGAACAGAAAGAGAGGCTTATGATCAATGGTGAACTGATGAAGAATATGGGTTTTACTCATTGTTGAAGGTCCTTCAGTATCCTTTAGTTGTTTACACGTTCATTCTTAGGTCTCTCTTGGATAGTCGTTTCATTGGCAATCATACCACATCTCTTTATTTTTATATTGATACCAGAAATTTGATCATTGGTACTGAGGTGCAAGGGAAAATTAATGTGTATGATGAAAACATCAGTGTTCTTTTAAATAATGACTAATACTTTTTTTATTATAGGTGTTTGGAAACATTAAGTTAGATTCACATACAGCCATTACAAGACATAATAATTTTAGACATTTTTTCCAAGCTTTAATGTTGCTCTTTCGGTAAGTATAAAGTGTGTGTTTATTACATACACAGCTATTCTCCATGTTTTTTTCTGTGAAATGTCTTATTGCCAGTAGGGATAACCTCTTTAGAATTAAATTTCTTTACAATATGATTAATTATCTAACATAAGGTTTTAAACAAATTTAAATGAAAAAATTGAGAGCACTGGTTTCAGAGGGTGAAAAATATGTTAGTGAAATAATATCCCTCATTAAAGAGATTGCTACTCATTTTGGGAACTATTCACCTATAGGTTGGATGTACCCAACTTGTTAGTGACAATGGATGTAAAAAAAGTGTATTGGACTAAGTGTACACATAATTTTGTGATGATAAATGGTTTTTTTTCATCTTTAAGGTGTGCTACTGGAGAAAGTTGGCAACAGATTATGTTGTCATGTCTAGGTGGACAAGAATGTGATCCGGAGTCAGGATTAACAGGCAAATCATGTGGATTAGATATCGCCTATCCTTACTTTATGACTTTTATATTCCTGTGTTCTTTTCTTGTAAGTCTTAAAAACAACATTGGTCACTCTATTATATTAATGCTCTTGCAAATTTACTTATTTCCAGACCCTATTTGAACTGCTTGGCTATTTGATGTATGTATAGAAGACATAAAAATTAAAAGACTATATTTTGAAAGGATAATTTTGTTATTGTCTGTGATTAAGGTGCAAAAAGAATTGTATGGTCATGAAATCTTTTGAATGCCTACTGATGAAAAAAGAAACATTTTATACAAGTATTTGATATGAAATAGATTTCTTGATAATATTTTGTTGTGTGGATTTTTTACAAAGGAAATTGAAATAAAGATAAGTATCAAAACAGTACCAATTATATTCTGATGTTTACAAATTCGTAAGCAAAAAATGAATATAATTAAAGAAAGGTATTTGATATTAGGTATCTATACTTTGGTTGTATTTGATACCTGAACAAAATATATGATAGTTTTTGAAGATATCACAAATTCATGTTGACAAGATTGATATTTATAATTATTTCATATTATTACATGCTTATGTTTCTGAAGTTATTATTATTAAAGAATTTTATTGAGTGGAATATTTTGTTTGTTACAGATGTTAAATTTGTTTGTTGCTGTTATTATGGATAATTTTGATTATTTAACGAGAGACAGTTCCATACTGGGACCTCATCATTTAGATGAGTATACACGGGTTTGGGCTGACTATGATCCTGGTGCTACGTAAGTCAATTATTTTATTTGGATTAATTTATCCTACAGTGGTCCAAACATTATAAGAAATCCAAGGCAAAACTAATTATAAAGGCCAACATGGAAAAGTGAAACATTCAAAAATAGGCTTTTATTGAGTAATTTTAATTAAACAAGATGTAGCACATAATGTGTTCTTATAATAGATTGAGACATTAACAAAACATTGCAATGTAAAAAGAAATTACATGTAGCCTTTTTTGGTAGTCATAAGAGGAGATATTAATTTGACTTCTTTTTTATACAAAGTAGGTATACTGAAAGGCAATGAGTTGAATGGTAAACATTTTGAGTAATTGCCATAAATGCATTGTTGATATATATATCAACTTCAGATACCATAGAAACTATGTTATGAGATCAAAGATAAACATGTGGTATACATATATATTCTGCCACTCCTTCAAGTATGATATGATATTTCTAAACTCAAAACAGTTAAATTTTAATATTGAAAATGTGAGGCTTGTCGAGCTTTTGAATACTTAAAATTTAACTGTAGAGAGTGGAGAAATATAGTATTGCACAAGATTCTATGGTGAAATCTGTTTCACTAATGATTGTTAGACGAAATTTTGACAATCTTTATCCTACTTTATTTATCACTGATCTGCAAAAAATGTGGTCTTTCTAAATGACTTCATCAGACATTGTCAACTTTTTTCATGAGGTTACATAAGGAAATTCAGAGGTAAGCAAGAAAATATTACATCATAATTGAAATTTGACCAATGAAAAACTGAGATCAAATGATCCAAATGTTGATTATTAAAAAATACACAGGTTTAAATGTTTTAATAGGCGCCAACCTTCACCCTAACCTGAAACAATAGTGTAACATCATAACATAGAAAGACACACTATAAAATATCAATTGCAATGGCTTAACTCAATCAAAAGACATATTAACAAAAACAAGTGAACATACACTGAACAAATGAATGTGATCTATGACACAATGTAAATACAAAATTAATAAAACAAGAAAGCATAATTGGTTAAGAATTAGAGAATAGAGTATTATACATTTCTCTCTACATATTTACTATATGTAGTATTTTTCATATAATTTTTATCAAACTTATAGGTTTGAATAATGAATATATAAGATTGTTTATTTTTACAGAGGAAGAATACAGTACACAGACATGTATGATATGTTAAGAAACATGGAGCCACCTGTTGGCTTTGGTAAAAAGTGCCCAACACGACTTGCCTACAGGAAGTTAATACGGATGAATATGCCAGTATATCCAGATTCAACTGTCCATTTTACAACTACTCTATTTGCTCTTATAAGAGAATCTTTAGGAATCAAAATGTCTACAAGTAAGCTGGCAATTCTTTAAGAAGGATTTATGGTTTAATGTTTCAGTATATACTCAGTGCTCATATAGCTTTTAAGTTCATCTGGCCCAATGTGCCATTTGAACTATTTGCATCGCTTGGCATTTGTCGTTGTCATCTGGTTTTTGCCATCTGCCAGTGACATAAATTTTCCTAAAATTGTGTTCTCTAAACCCTTGCACCATTTTCAACCAAATTTCATAAACTTTTTTCCTCTAACCAACATGGTCACCATGGCAAAAAATTGAACATACGGTAAAATCCAAGTAATTGTCTAATATCTGGAAAACAATAACAGATATAAAAAAATCTGACAGTGGTAAACAGCAAAAATAATCATCAATACAAATTTTTATAGAAGTTTTAGTACTTTGAAATTTTGCCTATTATCTTGAAAACTATAAAGCAAGACAAACTGAAAAAACAGCATTTATTTACATGTGAGCCAATTTTCATGTATTTAGGGAAAACATTTATTTTCATGGTTGTAATATATATCTACCCTGAGAACGTATATAAATATAAGAAGATATTTATAGGTTTCATAACAAGCAAAGACGAGTTTATCATTACTATTTTGATTAAATGATAAGAGTTGATATCAAGTGATATGCAATTCTCACAAGTTGTTAAACCTATTTCTCTAATAGTCAACACTCTCATTGTTTTAAATAAAAAATTCTGTGAATCGTTGATCTAGTCTTTTGCACATAACAGTCCGGCGACAAACTTTAACATCCGACATTTTAAAACTTTGTGTACGCTTCAGAATGTAATGAGATTTGACAAAAAGAATATTTTCAGGTGAAAAGTGTGAGTTTTTTGTATATATCTTTGCCATAAACAATGTACATCTTAACCATTGAAAGTCATCAATGACCTAACAAATAGCCAATGGAAATGTTGTAATATTGTCTCTTCATGCAAGAAATAAATTACAGGGTACAAACATAAGAGAAAAGAGCATATGTGACTTTGAGATGAAGAACAGCAATAAAAGCACTGTTCCTTTGCTTTTGTGTGTTTTTTTGCTGTGCATGTACTGATTTTGTGTCGTGGATGGATACCCCATATCCATTGCTTTTCTATTAAATATATTAATGAGACAGCAAAATAACCAAAAGACATCTCCGGGGTCATCACTTAAACTTGACCTTATAGAGCAACATTCATCTTATGTATTTTGAGAAAAGTCTAAAATTTACATTAATTCTGTTTATGATGGATACAAATGCATAATTATCTTGTGATCTGATGCAACTGAAACACTATTAAAGTCATATTTGAAGAAGAAAAAAAATCAAATTTTATATTTTCTCCAAACCCACACAAGTTTTAGAATTTAAACATTTCAAATGGTCCTTGAAAAAAGTGTTTTAATTGTAACTTTCTACTTTGTATTTATAGCTGATGAGATGGATAAGAAGGATGGAGAGATGAGGGAAGTAATCAAAAAGGTTTGGCCTGCTCAGGCAAGAAAAATGTTAGATCATCTGCTTCCACCCAATGCTGGTAGGTTTTCTAAATACAAAAGTTTATTTAAAGGAAAAAGGTTTGTTCGGTACATGTGTTTTCAATTCTATCATTCCACACTGTTGTCTGGAGTTTTCTTGTTACAGATATTGAGATGATTTTGTACATAGTTTATTTGTTTTTTGTTTTTGTTTATAGATGTTACAGCTTGCCGAAATACTTGTGAAGTCTTATGACTATTGAACATTGAAAAATCTTGAAAATGTATTTTTTGGGACATGTTTTGTCCTGCATATATTTACTAGGTTCTACAAATTGAATAGGCTTTTCATTTCAGATGACTAAATTTTGACTGAATTATGGCCCTTGATCCTTGATGCACAATAAGCAGACTACATTCAAATGTATCATTTACATATATTATAAACTACCACCTTTTCTTCAAGACACTTTTAATTTCTTGTAACAGAAGTTACTGAACTCGGCATACATTTTATACAGTTATTAATTTCTTTTACAGAACTAAATGGTTTTAATCTGAGTGTTGGGAAGATTTATGCTGGTTTAATGGTTGCTGAAAATTGGAAAGCATACAAAGCTAGTCAGTCAAAAGGTGGAAATTATAGAATGGTAAGACCTGCATCATGTCTTTTTTTAAACTAAGAATGGTTCTCAAAGGACAATTGAGGCCAACTAAAATGCAGTTTTTGTATGTATTTAGAATGAATATGGTGGACAGGGGTCAAGATAAGAGGGAAGAGTTTTGAAGGAAGTGTGAGTACTGGTGGAGGATTCTTGGAAATTTTGATCCAATCTGCTTACATCATGCCAAAACTTATTTCAATTGTATTGTGTCCTATAGTCCAATGGAAGCAGGTTTATGCTTGTCTTGGAAGCAATTGCATATCACAACTCCTTATTCAAGCAGAAATGTGCAATAGGCAGTATTCATTTACAATACATGAATAATTTTCAGATTCATATTTCATCGGACTTTTTAAGCTATGAAGACCTCAAGGTGACATTTAAAGAATGAGATCCAAAGGGAAAAGTCGACTAGGGATTTTAATTTGTATCTTGAGAATGTCATTGCTTTGAAAATGCAAGAAAAGATTAAAAGAAAATGGGATTGAGAAAAACATTTATTGAAAAATTCCTATTCCAGATTTAATTTCAATTTTGAACATGGCAAACATTCATTGACCTTGGACTTTTACTTTCAGGAGGAAAATAAGGAGGAGGTTAGTAGTGGTCGTCGTGGACGAGTCAACCTTGGTTACAAAGATGACCTTGACCCACATTGTGACACTGAATGCTAGCCTTTTATTCTATTTTTAATATTATTGCACTTGCCTCTTAACTTGCCATTTTAAACTTACTAATGCACTTATGAAGCAATTTCTTGCACAAGGAATATTTAGGTTTACTTAATATGTGCAACTAAAAACTGTTTGAATACCTTGTGAAATATGCCTCTTTAAAAAATCTGGTCACAATTTCATGAGAAATGTGTACGTCTTTCAATTTTGATTGAAAAAAAGGGATAATAGTTAACCATTTTCAAATGTCCATTGTAACAATATCTATATATCTCAATAGTTTTTGTACTGGGGGGATTTGTAAATTAAGTCTGTTATCTTCAAATGGTTAAATGAGGGGTTATCTTGTCAAATTCAGTCATTATTGAAATCATGAAAATATTGAATAAGATCAAGGTTAAATGCTTGTGCACTTCATTGACATGTTAATAACATTTATCTCCATGTACTTGATATGCATGCTTTTTACATATGGCACTTTTGACTTTGACACTTTATATCTTGCTTATGTGTAATTAGCATGTGCAAACTTTGCACAGTTGCTGCTCTTGTTGCAATTCTTTTTTTTTTAATGTACTTTTTTTTATTTACAAAAATGCCAAACCTTTCACTGAATTACTGTAGTCTGACTAGATTGGGTATGTGAAAATTAGTGCTTTGAACTTTTATATTTGGTATACAACACTAAGTTTTAATACTCAATCTTGGTAGAGTACAATAACTCTTAGTATTGGTTTCTATTAATTCACATTGACAAATTGATATTGATGCAATTTTATAGGCTACAATTTCATGGTAAGGTGTATGGATGTCAGTAAAATTTGCATATATCACCTTCTTTCATTCTGGGTGCTTTTAAAGCAGTTCTGACAAGTTAATCAAATATTAGATAAAACTACACACTGACTAGGTTGTTGCATTCGATGTTCAACTAAATCTTTTCTGATTATAATGCTCAGAGTTTTTTCTTTAAAACCATTATTGAAACAGATTTGACCACTTATTTAATTTTTATGTTTTTTACTATCTATAGAAAAATTTTCAACCTGCATTTTAAATTTCAAAACCATCTCCATTGAATAAATAATGGGGCTTGCTGTATTGTAAAAACATCCGTCTATTGTAACTAACCAATTGAATTTTGGTTATTTATGTTGTTAGGTTGCTGTCTCAATGACAAATAACCCTCATGTCTCTTTATTCGTAATCGATGGGGATAATGGTAAAATCTATGGCCGATATCTATTTGCACCAAAAATGAAATCATTTGTGCCACAACTTATTTGCGCCAATGCTGCTTCTGGGCCACTTCATTTTGGAAACGATAGGTTTCATTTGCACCTATAAAACAATTATACAATTGTGCCAATTTTATCAATTTATTCATTTTTACTTATATATATATATCAACTAAACGATTGACTTCCCTCCTCTTTTATACATTTAACCATTTACTAATGTCAGTTCCATTTTTGTTGTATTCTCTTGCAAGACCCGAATTTTGTATTTTCTCCACAAACCCTGACCAAGATGGAATCTACAAGACTTTATGACGACATTTGGAAACATGTCTCTAACTGTTTTATGCATTTGTTCTTTAAAATCTAGATGAATGGTGTTAATGTTCAAGGTTAAGTTAAACTTCTGGCAACTTTAATCAAGTAAGAAAAACATTTTTTGTAACAAGCCTCTAATTTTGATGGTAACAGACAAAATACTGATGGAAAATAATGTCCATTCTTAAAGCCATGTATAGTATAGAGTTGTTTGAAATATTTTGGATAATATTTATAAGTACATGTATAATATAGGTAAAAAATGTACAGGTAAATATGGGGCAATTTGATTCCCTTTATTGGTGCAATTAATACCATCAGAAAAATAAAGAGTGGCACAATTGATACCTTTTGAAAACTGTAATTGGTGCAAATTGATTCTGGCCAAATCTATAAGCTAGTCATTCATGGGATATGCATCAAATTGATTTCATACTATCTTGCACATCTTCCACTTGTAGCTGATACTACAAATGTCAAACTTTTATTTTTTTTAAATACAAATGTTATATAATTAGTGTTTAAAATACACTACAATACACTACAAGGCTTAAATGTTTACCGGTATTTTCTACTGTTATGAATTCACAATACACTACAAGGCTAAATTGTTTATTTCTACTTTTATGAATTTACAATACACTACAAGGCTAAATTGTTTATTTCTACTTTTATGAATTCACAATACACTACAAGGCTAAATTGTTTATTTCTACTGTTATGAATTCACAATACAATACAAGGCTAAATTGTTTATTTCTACTGTTATGAATTCACAATACAATACAAGGCTAAATTGTTTATTTCTAAGGAGTAAATACTGACAGTGAAGTTCATTATATTAATTTTGTATTAGTCAAAATTCTCTCACTGAATCTTGGCTTTAGGTATCTTTCTAAGGAGTAAATACGAACAGTGAAATTCATTTTATTAGTCTAGTATAACATATTAGTCAAAACTCGCACTCAATCTTGGCTTTAGGTATCTTTAGTAAAGACATAGAGCATCTTTGACAACATAAAACTAAAAATTAACATTGGTGTTAGGGATACATGATTAAAGTAATCAATTTTCTGCTATTTACTAAATAATAACAATAACAATACTAACAAGGGTCACAAAAGGTCGAAAACAAGGAATGCAGAAACCTCCAGAACAGGTAATTCAATATAATATTTATAGAGAAAACCAAAATTAACTTGTTCATATCATATATATACATACATATATATTTATATATATGTAGCTGGTATTAAATTTAAAAATTCCATTGTTCAGTGGAGGAGGTTACGTGTGACAAAAGTCATTTTTGTCCTACAAAATAACCTTAAAAAATTGTCAAAATTATGTTAATTTTATTATCTATATACCTGGCCATGTTAAAGCAAAGAGTATCTCAAACTACCAGCAACTCAACAACATATGAAACCAAAAGACATCTAGCTGTATCCAGAAAGATAATTGAATATGTTAATTATCTTGTTGTAATGTTTCTGTTGGATAAGGATGTTTACAGCTTGTCGTACAGTTTGAGAGCTTGTCCATTGTTAAAGCTGTATGAATTAAGATGTCAATTTTGCTAAACTAGTTAGGTTGTTGTTTACTGAGATTATCCCCAAGTCTCCTTTAATTTACAAATATTGATTTCTGACAAACTGTTGTCATAGGTCATCTAAAATTTCACAATTGATAGATTCATAACATTTGTGACTTTCCAATTCAAAGGACTAAAAGGGACTTATCAGAAATACTGTAGCTCTGTGGTTATATAATTTAACTAATTCATTAAAATATGTTGTAAGGAAAACTAACAAAACAAATAATCAAATAAAACAATCTCATAAACTTGTATGTCATCTTATTTAGCATTAATTTTTAGGATGCATCATCTTATTTTTTAGATAATTGCATTTCTTCTCTGAGTTGATATATTTATTTTTTGCAGAGGCCGCCATCTTTTTTTCAAAGATTTATGGGTAAACTGACTTTAGATCATTCATCAGACCAGTCTTCTGAAGATGATATTGATGGTCATAGGTCAGTATTTATTCTTTGCTATCCCTTACATGGGTAAAGATAACAGATTATTATCTTTGTGATCTCTTCATTATCAATTTACCTGATGTTATATTGATTTGTCCAAAAAACTGTGTTGAATAACTGGTTACCTGTATCTTATTACACTCAATAAACAGCATGTGTATAACTATCTTTTGTAACCTTGATCTATAAATAAATTACCTTAAAACAAGCACAAAAGGTTGTAAGGTGAATTTGTCAGGGTTCATATTACCTTAACTGTGACCTCATTTACCTGATCCGAAGGGTCACATGAGCTATTCTCATCACTTGGGGTTCGTCATCGACCTTAATCCCTTAACTTTTACAAATATCTTCTCTTGAAACTACTGGGCCATTTCGAGACCAAATTTGGCGACATTATTGTAGAATCTATTTTACAAATAGTGTCTGAAGATAATGAGTAATATAATCGTAGTGAATTTGGGCCAAGAGACTTTAGAATATAATGTTATGTAATTGTTTCCCGGACTTTCGAGCACACTATTGTAATGTAACTTAACACTATTGTTACGTATCTATAGAATCATAAAACATCTCAACTAGCAAGACATTATTTTCTTTACACAAGTTTAACAAGTTAGTAACCTTCAATGTATTGGTGCCGTGACCAGGATATGGGCCAAGAGACTTTAGAACGTAATGTTATGTAATTGTTTCCCAGACTTTCGTGCACGCTATTGTTGGGTATCCACGAATCTATAGAATCATAAAACATCTCAACTAGCAAGACGTTATTTTCTTTAAACAAGTCTAACAAGTTGATAACTCTCAAGATAATTATCATAGGGTCACTGACTTTCATTTTGGTATATTAACCAATCAGTTACCTAATTGGTATTGAAAACATCAAAATTAACATTTTTAGCATACAATGCAATGAAGTTACACTTATTTCCATGTTTTGTTTTATTTTTTCACCTGGAACACCCTTTGAATGATGGATACTGTAAAAACAAAGTCTGTGACCTTTTTTTTTTTATTTATTAATTTACATCTCTAAAATAGGAAATTTAAGTATCAACAACATATCAATGAATTTGAAATTGGAGATCTCATGATTTTCAGACAAATTTTAAGAAAGTTTTTTGATGATTGTGTGTACTTTCTATACAAATGTTCGCCTATTTTGAAAGAATTCCATCTGTAATATTTCATAAAACAAAAGAAATAAATACATTATTTTTTCGATTTTCAGTTATAGTTCGACAAGTCAAAGTTGTATGCAAAATTTAGCCAAATTCTGTGACATATAAATAAGATGTGGTACGAGTGCCAATGAGACAACTATCCATCCAAGTCACAATGTGTAAAAAGTAAACAATTATAGGTCAAAGTACGACCTTCAAAACAGAGCTTATTTACTATACCTTGACCTTAATGACAATTTTTATCAAATTTTTGCATTATTTGCCTATTATTTTGAAAACTTGATGAAAATTTAAATAGCAAAAATGATCAGCAAGACAAAATCTACATATAGATCAATATTGCCCAAATTGTCTGTCAATTATTGCCCTTAAATGAAAATCTTTACAAATTTTGGCATTTTGCCTTTTATCTTGAAAACTATAATAGATGGTTAGAAACTTTAAAAAGCAAAAAAATAAAGTCAGCAGGACATGATCTACAATATGTCAAGCTGGCCAGAATTGTCAATCAACTCTTTAAAGGAGTTATTGCCCTTTAATGATGATTTTTACCCATTTTTTAATTTATGGGGGAAACTTTGGTGAATTAAGAGTAACTGTAAACAGCTAAAATAAGATATCAGCAAGACAATATTGACAAATAGATGATCATAGCCCAAATTGTCAGTCGACCCCTTATAGGAGTTATTTACCATAAATGATGAATGATTTTTATCCATTTTTGTATTTTGGGCAACAACTGTAGTAGATAGAGAGAGACTGTAAACTTTTAAAATGATCAGCAAGACATGATCAACAAAAAAAAAAGATTTTATTCATGAATTATATTATAGTCTACAATGTAAGAGAGTGGCCAAAGTTAAAAATACCCATAGATCAAGGTGAGCGACACAGGCTCCTTAGAACCGCTAGTTATAGTCCATTGGTAATGTTAAGTTTTCGTGATAACTGAAGCAAGACTTTAATCTCACAGTCTTTCAGCATAATATTCTTGTATCTCGTAATGATACAAGCATTTGAAAAAGGTTGAATTCTGGTGGGAAAAAGATGACTCTGGATTTTTCCTGTAAAATGAATAGGAAAAAATGAATTATGTTTTAGAAATAACAAGAATATGAAAATATTTTGTCAGATTTGAAATTTTCTTCTTAGCATATATTAGTGCTCATCAGTTAGCTATCGAGAAAGGTTGATATAAAAGAATTGATAAAGATAAAAGATTTTGTGAGCAGTGTAAAATTATGCATGTTGAAGACAAGTTTCATTTTTTAATGGCATGCACTGCATAAGAAAAGGAAAGGAATTTTATTCTTGAGGAAGCATGTATTCAATGTAAAAACTTCCCTTATATTTCAAAGTTAGAATAGTTTATTTGATTGTCGTCCAGTTAGTCTGAAAGTGTTAATATATCAGTGTCAAGATTTATTGGTACTTGATTTGAAATAATAGAAAATTTGCATTCCAGTGACTAAATATACATGCAGTAAGGATTTAGTTTATGTTTTATGTATTACAAAGGGTAAATATTCTATTGATTTATTTTTAAACACCATCTTGTATGGAGGATAGTTATTTATTCATTTATTTTCAATGTAATATATCTTAAAAGTTACTGTTTAATATATATTATATATATATATGTATATGCTCGGAAATGGGCCCTTTGATTTGATTTGATAAAGTATTTGTATTCATATATCAACAAGTCAATGGGTTGTGGGCAAAATATTGTCATGCATAGCCTCAAAAAAGCCGCAGTAAGTAAGTAATTTTAATTGAGAAACGGCAGATATATACAATCAACAATGAACATGAGCTTAAGAAAGCTCTTACAACCGACTTTAATTCTAGTTATTATAAAATATTACAAAAGTTGAAAATATGAAAAGCCAACATCACTAAACTTTTTTTCCCATAAGAAATAAAAAGTAAATTGTTAGATGTTTGAATTTTTCTGTTAACAGTATAGATAAACATCCTTGGCAGAGATCATTTAGTTTTCTTAGAAGAGGCAGTAGTAAAAGAAAGAAAGAAGCCCAACATCATCAACAGTCTGATGTCAGTAGTTTACATGTAAGTGTACTGTATATAATACAATATATCACAGGAGTCTACGTTATTTGGTAGATGAAACTAAACACCAAATGGTGGGAATCTTGATATGAGTTGTTGCCTCTGAGAAGTGTAGTCTTTATCGTCAGAAGAAAACACTCAATGTTCAGTAAGGTTATTTTATGTAAATTGAATTGAACAATAACAGTCAAATTCAAACATGTGCAAAAATAAATTGTTTCATATTTTTCATGTCAGGGCCTTTTATAGCCTACTATACGGTATGGGTTTTTCTCATTGTTGAAGGCCGTACAGTTGCCTATAATTGCTTACATCCACTTCATTTGAACTTCGGTGGATAGTTGTCTCATTGGCAATCATACCACATCTCTTGTACCCAAGGGTCATATTGTTTTGTTATTGGATCTAATTCCAGGCATAAATATTTAAGCCTTAATTTAATACTGGACTGAATAATTGAATGTATATATATATTTTTTTTTACTTGTAAGTTTAGAATATATTACTTTATTTTGCATTACCCGGGTAGTTACTTCTTCTCTTCTGCAGAATAAAGGTGTGTCATGACTAAATGAAATAAATTTTAGGTTCACAACCCAGAACTTGGTTGTTACATAAATTCCTCTTTTTCATTGGAGGAAGAGAGTGATGATGTCATATCCTCTGTGTCATCACCGATTAGTCGTAAGAAAGTCCATTTTCATGGACCATACTTCAGACATAGGAAGGTAACCAAAGTTTTGGTGATGGAATAGGGTGAAGCTTGGTTATAGGATGTTTTCTTTTGTTTTGGGTTTTTTAGGTTTGTTTTACATAATTCTCCTTGCAACTGCCATCCCATTAACAAATATAAGCTTCACAAGATCATATACCATTTAAACTTATTTAACCTTTTAATATGAATTGTTTGGATATAAACTTTGACCTGATAAATTTGGATAAATCTATTGACAAGTCAGTTGACGGTTTGATGAATGATATAATGATTTTTAATGAAAAGACTCAACAGTCCCCTAGAATGATGATTTTTATGCCCCTGCCACTAGACGAAGGGGGCATTAAGTGTTACCCTTAACCCTCCGTCCCAAAAGTATTTTCACATATTATAAGCAAGCTTGAGCGGAGGCATTTGTGTCCTCAGACACGTTCTTCTTTTATTTATTGATGTTCTTCATTTTACAGTTGTTTCAAGTTTATCTATGACAAACAAAAGAACTTACTTAAACTTAGACTTCATCTTCATTATTCATCCTTCTTTTTTGTATATACCCAACACTGATTTATGAAAAATAATAAACTCTAAATAAAAATAGCATGACAGTTTGACCTATAAAATTTGGGTAAAGTTTTGAATTATTCAATCATTTCTGCCAGTAGATACAGGGCATTAGGATTTGCTGCATATTTCATTTTTCACCCTTTTCAGTGTCTGAAATATGAAAGGCATGCCTACTAAGACAGCTACAATTACCAGCATAAGACTAGTAGATAATTTTTAGCACTTCTGTTACACAATTTTACTTTATAAAGTTCTACCCTCATGAAGTAAAATAATCATTTTGTAAGACTTATAGCTTTGGTGCAGGGAAAATGCTTATATTCCTCTACCTACTGTTTGGGAGATTTACATATTTTAATTGGTGTTTGTACCATATCAAGATGACAGGACTATCCTTGTTTTACAACATAAAGGATATTATTTTAGAGAATATAGAAAGTAAAAATATGTTTTTTTCTTGAAATTTGATATGCATGTATATATATGTGTGTGTGTGTGTGTGTGTGTTATACAGTTTAAACTATATAATATATTATATTATAATAAATTGTTCAGAATTCTGTATCTTTGAAAATTTTTGAATCACTTAATTACATTTGGATTTAATAATAACTAAAATAATAGAAAAAAAATAAAATTGAACGCATTACAAAATGTTCATGGTGAAATTATATACATTGATTATTTTATCACGTTGATTGCCATTATGATAAAGAATAAATAACCTTTGTAATGACCCCAGAAAGATTTCATTTTTAATTCATTAGAATCAATTTGTCTTTCTAGTCTATGGATCGGCAGGACTTCTCCAGTGGTCTGAAACCGGAACATGCATCTGGTCAAGGGCAGAGAAATGAAGCTTCCAGCAGGCCTGGTAATAAAACTCCTTCAGTTCCCACGACACCTGTCTCACAAAGATCTCCTATCCATTCAATGATGCCTTATCACAGTCCATTTGGATCACCCACAAATTCTCCAATGTTACAGAGAAGGTCACCTTCACCACGTCGTAATGAATTTGGATTTGCTTCTGCAGTTTCTAATTTAGTTGATCAGGCTCATTCTATAGCTGAAATGGATCGACGAAAACATTATGGTAATTGTATCTGTTTATGATTGGCCGGATAATAACGACACTGTTTTAAATTTTCCTAAATGAATTTTTATGAAAAATTATTCATTATATTAGAAAATAAAGCTCCAGGACTTCAGATTCTACCAAAAACTGTACAAGAGTAGAACTGTGTCTTTTTGGGTTTTTTTTTGTTGTGCCTTCATTACAATATGCAAAAGAAACTAATCATCCTCTCAAAGTTATTTTAAATGAAGAATTTAAGTTTATTAGATACAGCTTAAATGATAGTTATGAAATTATGAAGTAAACAACTGAATGCCTTCAATGGGATTAACAGAAATAGTAAATCAATTATATAGCAAATCCAAGGTTACTACTAATTTGAAAAGTTGCAAGAGACATAGCAAAGCAAGTATCAAGGTTTTTTTATGCATGGCATCTTCTATTTTGTAACTGCATGGTACAGTTCTAAAAAGGGTTGGTTTTCAATTGTCAATACTTATCTGAAAAAATAATATGCATTTTGTTGCTTTTCATTGGTTGCTTCATATTGATTAAGCAAAATTCTTCTTTCAAGGTTTTATATGGATGTAAATGACATATTAGAATAAGTTATTGATATATACATATATACTATGACTAATAATATATACTGCATCATGCTTTATCTAATACCATCAATATTTGATGCAAATGAATTTCCCTCCTGGGATTAAGTATTAAAAACCACACCGTAAAAAGTTGAGTATGAAACACACTTTATAATAGTCTACAAGTTAAATTTTGTGTTTAGGTTAGTTTGAAGGGAAGCATATATGATAAGTAAATGGTATTTAGTATTCAATTTTATAAGCACTGACATTTTTCATTTCCATGGAAATTATTTGACCCTGCATCTTTCAGTCATGGTTCATTGACACAGGCACTTGTCTCTGATTTTTTCCCCCCTATATATATATATAGGGGAAAAATTTCAGAGACAAGTGCCTGTGTTCATTGACCTTATATGTTTTGCATAGTTTACATGTTTAAATATTGCCATTCTAATTTCAACATTTGCATTATAATACCAAAATTACAAAAAGGTGAAACATATCTCTGTGTCAACAGTTTATTTACTTCATTTCTGTAAATTCAGAAATTTTTGTGATATTTATTATATATTGCAAAAAATTCAATGGGATTCATATCTAATAAAATTTGGATTGTAAGCAGCATTTCTTAAAATTGCATTAATCAATGTCAAATGTTTTGTTCCCTGATCAAAATCAACAATCGCAATAATAAATGAACACAGTAATTTCTGAATTTTCACTAATTGTTTTACCTTTTTATGTTTTACTTTTTCAATCTATTTCATAATTAATATTCTCTACCATCTTGACAGGTTTTAAACCAGATGAAAGTTTAAGTCTACCAAATTCTCCACAACAAAGAAAATCTAGGAGTGTGAGAAGACCACCATTACAGCCACAATCCAATGTAATTGGATCTCCACTTCCTAGTCCACAGCCACTGAGAAAAAGGGATTCAGCATTTTATAGGTCAACTTCACTAGAAACTAGGTCACGATCTCCTTCTCCTTCAACTACAACACCATCACAGACACCTCAGGCAGAATATTATGGAACTGCAAACTTAACTGATAGATCTCGAAGTCCTAGCCCTGTATCAACACCTCCTAAAAAACAGAAACAGGGGAGAAAACTCCCCCCAGTTCCTTTACCACCAGCTTTAAAACCATCAACATTGAATCTTTCAACACCAAAACTCAAAGACAAAAACTTGCCACGTGTTATGCCATCACCAACAATACCACAACCACCAAGAAGTCCAGGAAATATTAATTTTCCTCGATTAAATCAATCACCATCACATGCCCCTAGAAACTTTCCTTCATCTGGATCATCCAATTATAATTTACATTTAGGTAAATTTGGAAAACCAGAACCTTATAGTCCAACAGAAAGAAATAATTTAAACAAACCAACAGTATCAGTGCATTCACGAACATTGCCAAATATAGGTAGAACTAATAGAGACCAAGATATATGGATGCGTGAAAAATCAAACATTAGACATGATCCAAGATCAAGTAGTCAATCACCAGATATAAATAAAAATAGCAGTGATAGAACTAAAATATTAGCTGGTGATTTCAATGAACCTTCGTCAAGCTCAATCAGAGGTAGTGGATCTAGGACCTCCAAGACTGTGCCTAATGGCTTTAAACCAAAAGGGAGGAAAAAGAAAGCTGAGAAAATGGAAATGAGAAGCGATAGCAATATACCTCTAAATATAGACTCGGATGAGGATGAATCTGATTGGTGTTGATAAACTGAATTTCTTTTTAATTTATATATACATGTATATGAGGATATTTTTAATATTCACTTTTATTTCACAATACAGACGTGAAGAGAGTAGGTAATTTGGCATTCTAGAAATTTATTTTAGTACCTATTAGTAAAACCATGAAGTGCATTTCCTTTTTTTCACTGTTAGTAGAATTTTAAAGAATCATTGTACAATTAAAACAACAGGATATGATGTATTGTATGTTTACAGTGCTATAATGAGTTGTTTTGAGATTGGTCTACTAGATTTAATGTGTTATAAATGATGTGTTAAAATATTTGTCAGAATTTTGAAAATAATAATACCCTTCACTGCCATTAAATGGTTTTTTCTTCCTTTAATGTGAATTCATTGTAGTTAATATTATGTACATTTTATTTTTAAAAACAATATTGAATATTGTTCATTGCCCATTTAAAAATTTGTCATTTGTGGTGATTGGTAATACATTTTTATTATGTCTCTCCCAACTAAATTCAACTATGTGATTATATCCCTCCTCATATTGAAAATGTTGAGAGTAGAAAAACATTGTTATAATAAAGACCATGTCTTATCCTGTTTTAGAGATTTCATCAAAAGAAAAACATTAACAACATCCTCTGCAAAATCAAAGCATTATACAATAAAGATTGAAAGTGATAAATTTTAAATTGAGCTCCTAAAAATACCCCATAAATGTGGCACTGTCCATAACAATCTGTTTAATATTTACAGTACCTTATTGAGCACCCTTTACCTTCTTGATAAAAATGGAATCATTCAACAGCACATACAAAAAATGCAGATATTTCATTCACATACAGAAGTATTATGTGAGATGTGATATGGCACTTGTCCCTCGTCTTGATCTACAAAGCAGACATTTCATTCACATACACCAGTATTGTGTGAGATGTGATATGGCACTTGTCTCACTTCTTGATCCACAAGCTTTAATCACAGATAGCATTATAGTACATGTATCCACATTCTCAAAGCATCACCCACTTGCAAAGAAATTATTGTTATTTATTAATGATGTATTTATTCTGTTGTATTATGAAACCATTCCAGTAACTTTTTGGGTGAAGATAATTAATCCACAACCATTTATCAACTGAATTAATTGATAAAGGCCAGTCAATTTTTTTGTTTATACTATTCAGGATAATTTGTGTTTGAAGTACAAAATAATTAATGCATACCACACATCTCTTTATTCATTCAACACTTTACACTAGTTTTGATTGAAAAAGCTTCCTGTTTCGTCCTTTGCTTCCATTTCAGTCAGGTATATAAATTTGTTTAAAAAGTCATCGCTAGCTCAACATTTAAATACTTCCATTAAAAAAATATTTACAGTGCAACAAAAACGCATGAAACAATTGAAGACACCAGCCTTAATTGTATATTTGTTTAAAAATATATTGCCTGTTATTTCTCCTCTGTTATAGTTTATGACAAATTATTCCCAAAGTTTCCTGTGATATATCTCCAGTTGTAAGTATGTATGTTAAATGTTACTTATTTGATTGTGTACTTTTTATATTTTATTTAAGGGGCTGGCCCCACTTTGTATTACTGTTTCTGACCATTTACAAGTATAGCTTGTTTCTATGTGTTCATGTTGTTTTATACTTGTTCATTCCAGTCACTAGCTTTATAGAACTTGCCAGAACTTTATTCTGTTTGTATATTCCAGTAGGTGATTCATTGTAGATAAACAATTTATAACACTTACTCCATTATATTTTGCACCTTTTAAAGAATTAATAGGTTTATTAAATTTTGTAAGTTTGTGTTATTAAAGTTATGTAAATAGTTATTTTATACAAAATTTGTAGATATGACATATAAAATTGTATGTTTCATTTGTCTTCAGATTATTTGTGTAACTGATAAATTTTTAACATGGCACTAATACTTTTTACCGTGGACAGTCTAAAAAAATTCTGGAAAATATTTCTAGTAATTACAAGTTTCTATGGGATATTTCAGCCACAACTTGCAGGTCCAAAATAGGCCATTTTCACAGTTTTCCGGTATAGTTTTAACAGTCATTCATTTGTTATTAAGCAGCCAGTATTAATGGGTAAAGTCACTTTAAAGTAGAAATAAATACATATACAAAGAAACACAATAACATATAATTATAATTTGAAGTAAAATTCAACCAGACCAGGAAGAAACAGGCTGCTTTTAAAAGAACATTATAATTGAACATAAATTATATTATTTGTTTGTGAATCTTTTTTTTTAACTAAAGTATATATAATCAATCTTTGGCTCTATAGATTCTTTTTAAAAATGTTGTTATTCATATTATTGTAGTTATGAATGTTTATTTTTGTTATATTACTCTCAAATATTTTATTCTTGGGCCACACCAATTTAGTTTTCAGTTCCTTGGATTTTCAGAAGACAGGAGAAAAAGTGCAGTCAGGCTTCTTTTCAGTAGATTTTTATAACTACGAAAACAATTCAAAACAGTAGTTGTTAAAACATGACATTATACTCGTCTGGAAAATTTCTCTGCTTTTTTAAAATAAAATATTTTCTCTAATTACAGAAGAAGCTATTTATGTTGTGGAATTTTCAAAAGTAGAATTTTTTGATAATTTAGTATTTTTTCACTATATGGAACCAACATTTTTTATCACTAAAATATTGATTACCGGTAGTGACATATTCATTTTTTTGAAAATCCGAAGAACAAAACATTTAGTGTGGCCTTACTTGTTATGGGTTTTATGATAAATATTTTCAGGGATTCTTTTAAGTTGAAAAGAAAATCTTCCTGTTATTCAATGAGTATTGTTACACTTTAATGTAGTATACTGGTTAGTTTATTTATGACCAGTGTTTATGTGTTTTTATGCAGATCAACTGTATGCTTTTGTTTTATTAGATAACATATTGACAATGAAGTTAGAAATAATCCATAGTATATACTATATTGTAACAAATGAAATTATTGCCATCTATCTATTATTCAAATCTGGGATTTCAAATTTTGAGAGACTTTTGAAACATCTTGCATTGATAGAGTATGAACTAAACTTCTACTAAATCTTATACAGCATCAGTGAAAATATAGAATTTTTGTTAATTAAATGACTTTCAAGTGATAGCACAATACAATAAAATATGTTGAAGAAATATCTTGTTCATTATTCATGAACTATTGACAAAGCATTCCAAATTAAAGCACATCAATGTCCCTATCAAACAAGTGCAATAAATATGTATTTTCAAATGCTCATATCATGTAAGAATCAAACAAATATAATTATCATAGTATTGAATGTGTGTTGTGTATGAAAATTTCACACATCATTATTTATTATATTAAGAATGTGGACAATTGATGTACATGTATGAAGAGTGAATTACTTCTATGATTTTTTTATTTCATTGCTTGATAAACAATAAATAATTTAAAAACATTCTCAGGTTCTGTATTTGCTTTGACATCCATTATTATGTGTTTCTGTTATGACATGTGGTCTAGATGTGTAAGGGAGACGTTTGTGCACACTTCAAACAGGATTAACCTCAACACTTTAGTGTCTGTACCATGTCAGCTATTGACACCTGGTGTTGTTTCTTTTTGAATATTCAGTATTTCAATGTTTTCTACAGTTGCTTTATTGCTCTAAAATCATTTGGTTGTTACTATAAGAATAAAGAGATGTGGTTTGATTACCAAAGAAATACCTATCCATAATGCACAAGGGACAAAGATGTGAACAATACCACTCATCACACACCTTCAACAATGAGAAAAACCCATACTGTATGTGAAGGCCCAGTTTATGACAAAATGTGAAACAATGCAAAAAAGAAAACCAATAGCCTGATTTATACTAAAACAATGAATAAAGAAACAAATATAGCAGACAGCAACCAAAGTCATTTATTAGATTACAGTTCCAAACCATTGGACAGGCACATAAAGAATGGGACTAGAATTAACATGTTTGTGACAGTGGTGTAACCTTAGAGGGGGCAACTTCAATACCAAATTGATAGGGATGCTGCTGGGGTTCTGTTACCCCACCCTTTTCATATAATTTAGATTTTAAAACATATACCTTCTCATATATTGCGTAGGTAAAAATGTAACCTTTTCCTATATTGGTTGCTGTTTCATGTGGTGTGTTGGAAAAGTGGAATACCAAAGTGTCAAAAGAGGGAAAATTTGTGGATAAAAACAGTCGGGAACACCTAGAAAGATGACTTTATTGACCTTATCATATATTTCTGATCGTTTTCCCCACCTATTCACATATTTTCAAGCTGAAAAATGTTACTTATTCCAGCGGCACGTCCTATCCCTTGTATATAGGAAGTGGCATCCTGAGGATGTAGCATCACAACATAACAACAAACTGAATAACAGTTGGAAAGGGTTTGACTTGACAGATTGGTACTATGCACATAAACAACAGACAGGAACAAAAATTACAGATCTAATATTACTTCCCTTTACCGAAAAACTAGTTCAAGCCCAAATTTCAGCTAATAAATAAACAATGATCTCCGAGACAAGAATGTCATTCCGTCAACTGATGGATTGAGAGTAAAGCAGTACAAGAAATGCAAGACCTTTTAAGTCCTTGTTTGGCTTTCAATAGAAAAGCAAGGATATAGTTTACCAGTTCATAACACAAGACCACTACATGCACATGAAAATAAATTCACAGTAAGGCCTTCAACATGTATCAATAAAAAGTTGTGCCATGAGCACATGATACACCTATCGCTTTTTCAACAAATAGAGTTCCATAACTCCTCTATGTCATATCAGAAATTTATAAAATAACCTGTTAACACAGAGATATGTCTCGTCTATTTTTGTTATTTTGATAATGCAAATGTTGAATTTAAAATAGCAATACTTTAACATGTAAGTTATGCAAATATTCGAAGTCAATGAACCATGACTGAAGTTACAGGGCTAAACCATCTCCATAGAAATGAGATGTGCCAATGCTAATACAACTGCATACCAAATACCATTGACTTTTCATAAGTTGTTCCCTTTAAACAAAGCTAAACACAAACATTAACTTGTAAACTATGTAAAAGTCGATGAACCATAATGAGGGGGTGGGGTTATATAATCTCCATGGAAATGAAACTTGCAAATTCTAATATCATTGACTTAACATTAGAGGTTCATCTTTAACTGACCTAATCACAAACTAATACATGTAAACTAAGCAAAAGTTTTAGTCAATAGACCATGACTGAGGGGTAAGGACCAAATATTCTCAATGGAGATGAGATGTGCTAATTCTTATACATCATTGACCTACCACTAATGGTTCCCCTTAAACTGACCTAATCACAAACTAATACCTGAAAACTAAGCAAAAGTTTCAGTCAATAGAGCATGACTGAGGGGTAAGGACCAAATATTCTCCATGGAAATGAGATGTGCCAATGTTTATACAAATGCATACCAAAAATCATTGACCTACCACTAGTGGTTCCCCTTAAACTGACCTAATCACAAACTAATACATGAAAACTAAGCAAAAGTTTCAGTCAATAGACCATGACTGAGGGGTAAGGACCAAATATTCTCCATGGAAATGAGATGTGCCAATGTTTATACAAATGCATAACAAAAATCATTGACCTACCACTAGTGGTTCCCCTTAAACTGACCTAATCACAAACATATACATTAAAACTAAGCAAAAGTTTCAGTCAATAGACCATGACTGAGGGGTGAGGACCAAATATTCTCCATGGAAATGAGATGTGCCAATGTTTATACAAATGCACACCAAAAATCATTGACCTACCACTAGTGATTCCCCATAAACTGATCTAATTACAAACTAATACATGTAAACTAAGCAGAGTTTCAAAGTCAATAGAGCATGACTGAGGGGGTGGGGCCAAATAATCTCCAAGGTAATGAGATGTGCCAATGCTAATACAACTGCATACCAAATATCATTGACCTACCACTAGTGGTTCACCATAAACTAGACCTAATCACAAACTAATACATTGTTGACGCTGTCATTGCCACTGGAAACAGCATACCTATGTCTCGCTTTTTGACTCTGTCAAGACGAGACATAAACTAAACGGAGCTTAATCTCATAGATATAAGCCAGTCACCAAAGTTTCATGAAAACTGCTCAAAGCTTTTTTGAGCTATTGTCCAAAGACTGGAAAATCCCCCTTTTTTATGAATAAACTCCATTAACTCGGAAACGTAAAATCTAAAATTTATAAAAATCGAAAGGGAGCTAAATTCAATAGATATAAAGTTGATATCTATTGAATTTAGCTAATTTTCAGCTAAAGTTTGGCCCTCAAAACTTTTTTTCATTGTTTGTGTTAAGGAATTATATAGTTAAGCTTCATCAAGTTGATGTCATGATAGTTTAACTTCACACTACCCATTTATGAAGGATTGGAGCTTAACATCATCATAACTTTAAAACTTATAAATTTCTTTATTCACAATGTATAGAGCATGGAATGCTAAAAGTATTATTATCAAAAATAAATTGCAATATATTTTTTTTGGTATGTTCAAAGACAGTTAATATCCTTAAGGTAACATTCTTATATAATTTTGTATTCAATTGGTAATTTATTCCTATTTTTAATACTAGATAATATTTTAGGAGCACAAATTTGTAATAAGCTAAAACAGGGGATGTAACTCCAAAATTAATTTCTAACACGTTCACTGTTTGCTTGTCGCTCACAAGTTGAGATGGACGGCGTTTCTGTGAAGGCATAGTTGTATTTTGATGACTTAAATTCTATTCTAAAGTCATGAAAGTCTTCATTTATACACTCTTCTTGGAGATCGAAAATGCCGACCCAAGCTTAAAAACCCAAGCTTAAAACACTCGCTGACACATTCATCAAATTTATGACAAAAAGGTACATTGTCTTAATCAAATTACCTAGTTATTAACACCTTTGAAGTCTTATCCACTGTAATTGATTGTAATGACATGATTAACCTGGGGGCAATCACCTTGTGTCATATATGTAATTTAACTTTGTGATAAGAAATCGATGAAACAAAAGGCAATTTTACCAAAACGGCACAAGGGTTTTTGTGAAAAAGGCGTCAGGGCAGAAGGGCGCGGATGAAGGCACTCAGGGCGCGGCTGAGGGCACCCAGGGCGCAGCGCCCTTCTATTTTGGGCTAACGAGACCACTGTAAACAATTCACCTAAGTTTCATGAAAACTGGTTAAAGCGTTTTTGATTTATTGTCCGACATGTTGACGACTGAAGGATGGACAGACAACGGTATACAATAATATGTTCCATAAACAGGCCAATAAAAACTGTCACCTCACTTCAAGATAAAGACTGCCCCTAGCACTGGTTTAAGCTGAATTCATTATGAATATGTTGTCTACATTCAAATATGGACACCACCCTTATTTTAAATAGCAACTTTGAACTGCAATAGTTCAACAAAACAATAAAAAACAAGTCACTTTTAATGTTTTACTTATTTGGCTTCCCTCACTTTTGGTCTCAATTTAAGAGACAGCTTTCCAAGCCTACTTCTGGATGTCTTAAACGTTGAACTTAACATGAAGAACAACCAAAGGAGGAGGAAAGATTAGCCTTAAATGTCATAACTAGATGTGTCGGAACAACACGAATGGCCCCGTCTCAAAAAGTTGAAAAATCTGCAATTTCAACAACACATGTGGACACAAACATTGTGAATTGGATGGAGAGTTGTCTCATTGGCACTCATACCACATCTTCTTATATCTACATACATGCATGGATAGTATCCAGCTCTCAAGACCAATACTAGTTTGATGAAAGATTTCCTTGATCAATGAGAAGTTATATTAGTACTGCAGATCTTACAAGATGTGTTGAAACGAGATTAAAATAAGGCATAGCGGAACGAAACATAAACTTGATCTGTAACTCATCATGGTAAATATTTTCAATCAGCGCAAAATCTGAAGGTGTATAGAAAAAAAGTCCATATAACTGTGATTTTCAACATTTTTCAAAGTCCAAAACCCGTAATTTCAACAAAAATCAGCAGAACGGTACGAAATTTAAACTTGATCTGTAACACATCATGGTTAACTCACATACCAAAACTCAGCCCAATATCTGAAGGCGTTTAGAAAAAATAGTCCGGATAACTGTGATTTTCAACAATTTATCAAAGTCCAAAGCCCGTAATTTCGACAAAAAATAGCAGAGCGGAACACAACTTAAACTTGATCTGTAACTCATCATGGTTAACTCACAAACCAAAAATAAGCCCAATATCTGAAGGCGTTTAGAAAAAAATTGCATATAATGGTTTGTTGCGGAATGACGGACAAAGGTAAAACTATATGGCCCCAACAACTTTGTTACGTGGGCCATAAAAAGTCAATAGGCTGTTCAGACCTCAACATTTTTTTTTGGTTTCAAGACAAATTTTTTCAGCCATACTATATCATTACCAAAATGCTATGATAATTCCCTATGGGATGAGTTAAAAGCGGCAGTTGTGCAGGTGGCTGTGGTCATCAACAAAAATTCTGAAAGAAGTATATTGAAATATTTTTAAAAAGTTAAGAAGCAAATGTTTCTTTTTGTTATTTTCAGAATTATTTTCATTGAATTTGAAGACAGCTTGGTAGCAATTGGTCATTCATAGATTTTTTTTCAGAATCAATCATCTTTAAAGGCAGATATGATCAACAATTCTTTAATAAAAGAGCTCTTAAAGAGGACCACATCTGTTGTGGTCTCTTACAGGATTTTTCAATTGTTGACTTCATCTCATGTTTTATTTTTACAATAGAAACCATATTGGTTTAACAACCGGATCATGGCACATTTCTTACAAAAGACTAAAAATAATCCAGGTGAAAATAAGTCCCAATTTGTATAGCAGTTTAAGAGAGGTTTTGAAAAAACAGTTATATTGTAATTTTGTCAAAGTTGCTATTAAAAATACTGGTATTAGTCATGTTTTGAAAGAGGATGGATCATCAACCACAATGCTTGAAGAGAATTTAACTACATTATATCACTTTAAAGTCACTAAGGTAAAAATTAAAAAAACAATCATTATATTCTTCAATGTGATAATTTCAATGATAAATGAATATGATAGTGAAATCTTGAAAATACAATGCAAAAAATACAATGACTTTAAGGTGACATTATTCACATACCAAAATTGGGTCATTCTGGCCTTACATTTATAGAATATCTAACTTACTCATCAGTTTTACCCAAACAAGTAAATGTAGTTGATTCCATCACTTATGGAAAAATAATACATATTTTCTTTTCTGATAATTAATGAACTCATATCACTGTTAAGATGACAAATTTGTGACCTGGATTTAAATATCAATTGGATTGTCACATTTTTAATCTGCTATTCTGGTGGTTGTTTATGAAAATGCATGTGACAAATCAATTTGGAAAAAAATGCATTACAATGTACAAGCAAAAATCCATGCACAGAACACAAATGAATAACATCCTTGCTATGCTTACAAGATATTAAATAGTACATGTTCATCATATTTGAAAATATTGTTATTAACAGTTTTAATAACACAGTTGCAAAATACAATATGAAGTATTTTTACTAAATTATGCCTATTTTCAGTCTTATGTATAATATAAATGTGTTTAACAGCAGAGTCATTTTAAACTGTCCTACTGCTAGTAATAGAGTAGTGTTAGACAGTTGATCAAATTTCAACATTAGTACCAGAAGGCATCAAGACAGGCATGGATTGACTTGTGCATGATGAAGATGTTATAACAATCAATGGCACATAATGGTCTTTATATGAGCTCCTTCTAGTCCTTAGTTTTTCTTTGTTTAAATAGTCTTCTTCGTGAGTTCAATGCTATATTATTTTAATAGCTGTTATTTGCTTGAAATTAAGTCCATTTGGTTTTCCATTTTACCATTACTATTGCAAATTTTAAAACATTTATCATCAGTTAGAACTCAGTTTATTGTACAACACTTGGTTTATGATAAGACATTATCTCCTCATGTGCTTCTTAAATTTTTCGTAATGAAAATCATCTGTTGCTTTTTCTGTTGAGCTCTTCTTCTTCCCTGTTAATATAACAGAATAATAATTGCATAAGCTACCATTTAAAAAAATACAATGGATGAAGGCTATAATTGCATTGGATGTAAAGATAGCAACGGATTTCAAAATTTAGGATTTTTGTTGTTTTAAAATTCATATTTTTCTATTTACACATTACAATGGAAGGTAGGGTGCCAAATACAGTATGATATAATTTTTTCAAGAGAAACATAATATTTACAGATAAGATGCTGATCACATCTGGTTTTTATAAGCAGGACAAGTCATCATTTCTACCAGTTTCCATGCCTTCCACAAATATTCATTTTCTTTCTATGGATCATGTTGTACTATCACACAGAAAACAGAAATAATTGTTTACATAAAGGTCTGTAGTCTATGGTATAAAAATATTATAATGGTATAGTGAATCCACACTTCATACAAACAAGGCTTGTGTCTGTTTAAGGATATATAAGTTCATATTGTTTTGTATTATCTTTACATGTAAAAAAACAGGTAAAAACAATATAATTACTTTGTGATGAATTTTGAATTGCATAAAAAAATCTCACCTGAAATTTCAGACAATTTCTCAGCATCACCTACTCTCAATGGTTCTGGTTTTGGCTCCTCTACCTTCTTTAGGATTGGTGCTGTATCTTCAATATTAACTGTAAACAGATTTTAAATCACTTTTGTTCTATTTCAAATGTTATTTTGAATAATAATATTTGTCAATGATTACAATATCTATGTTGTGTTAAGATGAGGGGTGATAGAATTCTTTCATGATCTATACAGTTCTTGTAAAGATGGTAATAACAAAAGTAAGACAGGAGTTTAAAACTTCACAAAAATACATAGGCTGATCAAAGATTTTGGACACGCTGCAATAATGTATACATTGATTGTTTAAATCGGAACAATTACACACCTCAAGTACAGATCAAGTATAAAATTATGTTTGGTATTTCCATTCTTTAAATATTAAATATCATAATTTTCAGTCGATGAAGACATTTATATTTTGGCCAGAAATGATTTTTCTTATGTATTTTAATGCCGATTTATGATTCTGTGAAGAGACACATCACTCATGATGTACATATAAATTAATATCACATGGCCATCAAATTAGGAAAATATGCAATCAAAGTAACTCATTCAAACAATAATTCTCAGAGCATTATTGAACATTCACAATATGCTTGCTGGCTGTTTAAAATATTTTCCTGACTCTATCTGGAATCAATGTACAGATATTCTACATATAGTTATACTTTTCCTCTGCTCCACAACTCAGTGTACGTACTACTCGGGGGGGGGGGGCACTTACTATGTAATGAGTGGTAGGGATGAGCCGCTGGAATAGGTCACTATTTCATGCTCCATGATATATGAAAAGGGTGAGAAATTCAGATTAAATATATCATTAGGTTGATATTATCACTTGCTTGATTATATCAGTATCTGAAACTAATCAGATGCCAGTTTTTTTTTTTGATGGGTTAAGCCACAGTCGTAAATGCATCAGCTATTTGTCAAACCAATTAATCTCTATTTATCTTCCAATGTGGTATTTCCACTGATGCTACTTATAGATGCTATAAATCCAAATATTTTGACATTTGCACCTAATTTACATTCAAAGGTTTATATAATAACTATTAAAAGAAATTCCACAGTGTCAGCGTCCTTTAAGAGGGGAATGGCAATGTAACTTTTTATCAGTTTTTCATTTATATAGGTGCTTGTAAATACATTTTATCATAACAATGTTCATTGTTGTAGTATTTTTCTTTATTAAAGACAGAGATTGGCAAATTTTGTCACTGTTTAATTGTTTTATGACATATTTTGAATGCTTGAGATTTGTAAGGTTGTTGGCATAAATGTTTTTTTCTGTTAAACGGATGCTTATCAGGTTTCATAAGTATTCTAAAATAGGGAAGTATATCTATAGGTCTGTTTTTTGTTAATTGATATATGACAGGGTATATATTTTTGATAAACAAAATATATGAAAAGGGTGGGATACTTGATGTCTCAGCTGCCCACCCCTACAAAAGAAAGATTGAAGTGCCCCCCACTCCCGAGACGTACTATATGATAAACAATCACTAATTTTTATTTTTTTAAGATTGAAGAGCAAATGGATCTTTCTTTAACACATTGTTTGAAATATTTTCTAAACGTGGAGTCTTGTTCATCTTATTTCTTGAAATAGCATTTGATATTTTTGTAAAAAAAATTATGATAACTTACACCTGTTGTGTTGTATATAATTAGCAGCCATATTTGTTGGTACAAAATCAGACACTTCGTTATCCCTCTTTTTCAATCTCTCTTGTATAAGTTTCTGTTTAGCATCCTCTGTTGCCTCTATGTTCTTAATTTTTGCTCTGAATAAAATAACACAAGAAGTTATTGTTACAAGTACATCTACTAACTTTTCTCTTTCTTCATTAATTAAAGATCTAAACTTAAGAAATAATTCATGGGGGCTTGAATTTATACTGATTTTACATCGGGTTGGCCCTTTATGCTAAATATTTTACCACGAGTGATAACAAGGGGTAAAATATCGGCATAAAGGGCAAACACGTGGTAAAATCAGTATAAATTCAAACCCACGTGAATTACTTCTATTCTAATAGGACAAATACGGCAATTCTTTTGGAATGAAGTGCTCTAGGTGAAGACAAACATTTGCCGTTCCCGTAATTATACACACTATAAATATTGACGTAAAAGAATGGAGAAAACTGAACTAGTGACAATCATGCTTAAACTATTTACAATAACGTAGTTGGATAGGTTTCGATGAATTTAAATGATAATCTTATTTATATGTAAAAAATTGGCTTTAAAAAATTTTATCAACATTTATGTTTCCTTGTTTTGATGACTTTCAGTTTCACAACCGTGCATTTTCCAGTAAAATGCTTATATTCTTACGTCATCGTTCAATGACATCATTTACACCGATTGACCTCGGGTAGCTCATTCTTAAAAAAGCATATCATGTGGGACTATGATCGGAACAGCCCAAACAAATCATGACTTCGCCGATCAGCTGACATACAATACATTCATATTTTACCACGGGTGTGTACTCAAAGCGTTTGAAGAACATCATGTTAGAAATTGCAATAGTTTAATAAAATGCTCCGCAGGGCGCAGCTTGATACGACCGCAGAGGTCGAACCCTGAACAGTTGGGGCAAGTATGGACACAACATTCAAGCTTGATACAGCTCTGAATTTGGATTGTGATTAAATATTTGACACAGCATAGGTTACTGACACAGAATGAATGTGGTCTAAGAACTTAAAAATTTTAAATTGGACATTCACCTATTATGGTCCAATATCAAAAATCTAAATCACGGTTAGATTCAGCATATCAAAGAACCCCAAGAATTCAATTTTTGATGAAATCAAACAAAGTTTAATTTTGGACCCTTTTGACCTCAATGTGGACAAAGTTGATAACGGGGCCCAAAAAGCCAAAATCTAAATACATGGTTAGATTCAGCATATCAAAGAACCCCATATATTCAATATTTGTTGAAATCATACAAAGTTTAATTTTGGACCCCGATTTGGACCAACTTGAAAACTGGGCCCATAATCAAAAATCTAAATACATGTTTAGATTCAGCCTATCAAAGAACCCTAAGAATTCAATTTTTGTTAAAATCAAACTAAGTTTAATTTTGGATCCTTTGGACCTTAATGTAGACCAATTTGAAAACGGAACCAAAAATTAAGAATCTAAATACACGGTTAGATTCAGCATATCAAAGAACCCCAATAATTCAATTTTTGATGAAATCAAACAAAGTTTAATTTTGGACCCTTTGGACCTCAATGTGGACCAATTTAAAAAGGGGGCCCAAAATCCAAAAACTTAATACACGGTTAGATTCAGCATATTAAAGAACCCCAAGAATTCAAGAATAAAACCCCATTGAAATTGGTCAAGAAATAAGCAATTTATACGAAGTATCTTCCTAGCACAATACTGTGCAATTGAATATTTCTTGCTATTGCGCAATACTGTACAATTGACAATTTCTTGCTATTGCGCAATATTGTGCTATTGGATATTTCTTGCTATTGCGCAATACTGTGCAATTGAAGATTTCTTGCTATTGCGCAATACTGTGCAATTGAAGATTTCTTGCTATTGTGCAATACTGTGCAATTGAAAATTTCTTCCAATGCACAATACTTATTATATAATAATTTACACATCCTGTTTGGTGTGTATCTCCTACCATATCATTATTATTTGCTTTTAAATATAAATCAGAAATAACCAACTTAAAATGGAAAATTTTAAAAGAAAAAAAAAAGAAAAAAAAGAAACCCCCCCCCCCAAATTTTTTGAACCCCCTTATTATTCATCAAACCCAAACTCAATCCCAGCCTTCCCTTTGTGGTATGGTACCTTGCAGTACAATTTCAGAGAGATCCATACACTTGAACACAAGTTATTGTCTGGAAACTAGAAAAATGCTTGTTTTTAGGCCCCTTTTTGGCCCCAAATTCCTAAACGTTTAGGGCAATTACCCCAAAACTCAATTCCAGCTTTCCTCTTGTGATGGAACCTTGTAGTACAATTTCATAAAGATCCATACACTTACACACAAGTTATTGTCCTGAAACTAGAAAAATGCTTGTTTTTTTCCCCTTTTTGGCCCCTAATTCCTAAAATTTTGAGACAATACCCCCAAAATCAATCCCAGCCTTCCCTTTGTGGTATGGTACCTTGCAGTACAATTTCAGAGAGATCCATACACTTGAACACAAGTAATTGTCTGGAAACTAGAAAAATGCTATTTTTGGCCCCTTTTTGGAACCTTATTCCTAAATGTTTTGGGCAATTACCCCCACACTCAATTCCAGCTTTCCCTTTGTGATATGGAACCTTGTAGTTCAATTTCAGAAAGATCCATACACTTACACACAAGTTATTATCATGAAACTAGAAAAAATGCTTGTTTTTTGCCCCTTTTTTGGCCCCTAATTCCTAAAATTTTGAGGCAATTACCCCCTAAATCAATCCCAGCATTCCCTTTGTGATATGGAACCTTGTGGTACAATGTCAGAGAGATCCATACACTAACACACAAGTTATGTCTGGAAGTTACAAAAATGCTTATTTTTGGCCCCTTTTTGGGCCCTAATTCCATAACTGTTGGTACCATAACCCCCAAAATCAATCCCAACCTCCCTTTTGTGGTATTGAACCTTATGGTAAAATTTCATGGAGATCCATTCACTTAAACTGAAGTAAGATTGCGAAAACAAATGTGTCTTCGGACGACGACGCCGGACGACGACGACGACGACGCCAACGTCATACCAATATACGACCAAAAAATTTTTTATTTTTGCGGTCGTATAAAAATAGGTACAGAATTTTGAAGTATATTGATACAGTTAAACAGATTACTGATTCAGACTAGAGAGATATCAATGGCTTCCAATTTAGATGAAGAAAAAAAACCCAAAAGGTGTTTAAGTTAGAATTTTTCAAATTCAAGATCCATTAAAGTTTTACCTGCTAACTGCTGACAAAATATGAAGGCATTCTGTTCAGTATTTCTGGATATATAATGATCAAAATATTATGCTTTTTCAACCTATTGAAAAATTCAGAGTTTTGATCAAAAGGATGTACAGTGTATTATGTGTCAGACAGGCCTGAAAAGTGTTTGCATGTAACAACTCTGTCTCATCACTATCAAGCTGCTGACCAAATTTGATGTCAATCTGTTTAGCAGTACGGGAGAAATGTGAGGAAAATATATGATGGACGAATGAACAGTCAAAAGTGTCATGAACTCAAAGTCCCTTCATAATATAAGTTCCAAACAGAAAAATATACTGGAATATTATTTCCACTGGAACAAATATTACAGTATTTGTTCCTAACGGAATAAATAGTACATGTATAGAATATTTGTTCCAACAGGAACAGATATTATCGCATTGTTTATAACAAAGTTTCCAGTAGAACTTCTGTTAGATGGGACAAATATACGTTGACAAAAGGAGGGACAAGGTGAATGTATTATAGACCCAATTATGAAAATTTCATTGTTCATTGTTAAATTTCTTATGAGAACAGTAGTAACTGTTAATGTTAATATTGATTTTCTTATGAACATGTAGAATAATAGTGTGTACTCACTCAATGCCAAGGTCAACCTCTGGTATACCAGATAACATTTGATTAGACAACATATCCTCTGTATTCTTCAATGAAGATTCGATCTTCAACTTATCTGGTAGAGCATATAGTGTGTCCCCCCTTTTCTTTGGTCTGAAAATATAAACTGCATTGTTTACTCTTATTGAAACAATGTAATTCTATCACGACTTATGATGTGACAATGTATAAAATATTTAGTAGTTTACTAAAGATTCTCTAATTCTCTATCAATTCATGTATAATAGTTTCCCCAATCTTTCTTATTTGTAGACAATGAGTATTCACAGTTTATCCACACAACTGAAAATGAAAATACATCAAACTTAATTCCTTCTTTTTTCGTCAATAGTTTAGAGCTCAATTCAAATAAAACCTGGCTTGCCTTGATGAAGCAACAAATGTAACTTTGTTTATAAAAAAATTGTTTTGACATAGTTAAACATTCTATTTGCTAATGAAAGCTCAAGAATGCAAGGTAAAATCTGTAAAATAAATTCATCTGCAGTTACCCATAAATATAAAGTTTTTCATTTGAATCCTTAATACCTCAACATTCACAGAAAACATTTAAACTGTGTACACAAGTTAAAGGAAAACAAAGACTATTATTTTCTTTGCCTTTCTATATGTATGTAAGCATCATGAAAATATGTAAGTTATTTACTTATTGTGTAAGGTAAATCTATTTTATTTTTGTGTAATGCTTGATATACCCATTCATTAACCTATAAAACTAAAGATGTATTGTTTATTGGCAAAGCTTTGATCAATATAACTTCATAAGCAAGGAAAAATTCAATAAAGTCTAAATAATTAATATCTGGCATATACTTTGAGCTAAAGTCATGATTGAAAAGTTTTATTTGTAAAAAAAATCAGGCTATCTTGAATTATTCATACATAAAAGATAATTGTAACTTCAATCCAAATGTTAGATGTATACCTGATAAATAATTGATCCATAGACAGAGTCTCTAAGTACTTTGGTCAACAATTGTTCTTTAAAAGTACTTGAATTTTCACAACAATATATATATATACATTTCTGTCTACAATGATGTAAAATATAACAGATGTAGAGATAATAAAATCTAATTGAAATTAATATTTATAGTCCAACATTCTTTGTTTTTATGTGAACACAGCTTATAAGTATATGTACTGATAGCAAGGATTTATTGTCATGTATTTTTTTTTCTTTACTTGCACTAAAATTACCCTATCTACAGCTTTTGATAGGGCATCTCTGTAGGTTAGTTTGCTGAACAAACAGAAAAACTGTTCAGCAAATAAAATTCAAATATTAGTGTTATAATCTATATACTAATGACTACATAATCAATTTTATAGAAAACTATTCTGACGTTCACCGATTTGGCTTTGTATTATTTTTTTTTTGGTTGACCTTGTCATATAATATTTGTTGCAGGGTATGACATCAAATGTTGTCATTTTCAGGCAAGTTAAGCTGCAGTGTACTTGTATAATTCGAAGTTAAAAAAGTAAAAGTTGTAAGCATGGGAAAATACCTTTTCTAGCCTCACTTATTTCTCTATTTTTCAATTAATCATCATCCCAATCAGCCCTGACAATACTGTCAAATTCATTGATTTTTTCCATTTCTAACCATAGCCAATTCAACAATTTTGGCCATACAGAGTACGATTCAGTTGTTGACACACATTTTGATGGACCATACAAAAGAGACCTAGCTATTGAAGGAAAACTATATTGAAGATGGGAGACACCATAATATACAAGTTTACTTCAAACCTTTACTAAATTCTTCCATAGATACTAAGATTTGGTTTGCAAGTTTGGCTGTACCTTTAGAAAACTTATTTCAAAAGGAATAGTACATCCTAATTTTTACAGTGATGTTGTTTACTGAGCCCAGAAATTTAGATACTATCTGAGTAAACTTACCAATCCTTTACATAAACTTAATTTAAAGGGGCACTAGCTGTCAAATTCATGTTCACCAATTTGACTCAAATTTTCATATCTGATTAATAACAATGTAAAACATTTATCCAAATGATTAAAAATCTAAAATAAACAATTTACAGAGCATGTGCTCGATAATATGTAGCTTCGTTTCGTGTGTATTTTAGTCTAGACGCCATCTAATTAACTATCGAGTTGACCCCCGGAAACCACCGATGGCCATATAAGGTATATAAACATAAATATAGATATAAATAGATTAAGCTAACTCGTGCAATTGGATTTTTCTAGGTCTATTTAATTTCATATTATAGATTAAAAATATATGTTAATCATCGTTTTTACCTGTATAAAAATGATTTTTTGTCGATCAAATCAGTCAATCAAATGATTTACCTTTGTTTCACTTTCAATGTTGACATTCTTTTCCTTTAAATGACTGATCATGCAAGATTCATGTGTTATCCATCTCTAAGTAAGGGGTTAAATTGAAGTTCACATGAATACGGATTCAATGAGGTTGAATTATTCACTTGCAAGTGAATAATTAATCTTCAATGTTTCTTACCTTATTTTGTCAAAATTGAACCATACTTGCTGCTAAAAGTGAATTATTATTTCACTATTTCACTTTCCTTAATGATTGAACAACAAAAATCCTATTTTAGATTTTTTATATATCTCGTAGCTAGTGCCCCTTTAAAAGGTTATCAATTCAACACTGTAAATTAGATCTTTGAATAATGTTTTTGTTGGCATAAATATTGATTTTGTTATCAGTAAATTAAAATCATACTAAATATTATTGCTATACTCATATTCACATTCATGGTACTACAATCTATCGATACCTACATTTTGGCATTATATAAGGACATGTTTTTTTCTGACTATTAAAGATTACATTAAAATCAATTGGATGTTAGATGTGTATTGATTGATATTTTAGTCATAAATACATGATTTTTTTATCAGTTGTTATTGGCTTTGATCTAGCAGTCAGTAACTGAAAGTACTCTCAGATCTGTACTTTGTGTCTTTTTTTTTAGGGTTGTATACATATCCTGCCATGTCCTGTCTGTGTTTTTGTTAGATGTTTTTTCTGCTTTGTATCGATCTGATGAGTTAAGCCCTTTCCAACTGATTTTTATAGTTTGTTCATATGTTGTACTGTTACACCACTGTCCCAGATTAGGGGAGGGTTAGGCGCCCACTAACATGTTTAACCTCACCACATTCTGTATTTGCCTGTCCCAAGTCAGGAGCCCGAAACTCAGTGGTTGTCGTTTGTTGCTGTATATCATATTTGTATTTCGTTCAATGTTTTTAAATAAATCAGGCCATTAGTTTTCTTGTTTGAATTGTTTTACATTTGTCATTTCAGGGCCTTTTATTGCTTACTATGCAGTAAAGGTTTTGATCATTGTTGAAGGCTGTACGGTGACCTATAGTTGTTAACTTCTATGTCATTTGGTCTCTGGTGGAGAGTTGTCTCATTGGCAATTGTACCATATATTCTTATTTTTATATTGTATATTAAAAATTATACAAAATTTGTAATCACTAAGTAGTAATATGAATATATTCTAAAAGTAATCATGATAACACCTGTTATTTTTCATTGTAATCGATTAAATTACAATTACATGTAATCAGAATTGCATGCTTACTGATTACATGTGATATCATTGTAATTGTTATGGATTACAGCTGATGACCATTACAGATTACAATTACCCCATGCCTGGGGTTGTTTGACTTACTGCCTATGTCCTAGACCCATACCTTCTAAATGGTATATTATGATAGACTAACATATTGCTTATAACATATAAATAAATAATTTTATATCTTATAATAACATATTGGTCAGTGCTTATCCAACAATGTGTATCTGATGCTATCCTATTACAGCAAGATAATTCATCGACTGGGTCTAGAAAACCCATAAGATACTGTTATTTTATTCAATTTAGATCTTGATCTTCCATGTATAGTACTTTTTCCTTTCTGTCTGATATTCCAAATTTTATAACTCATTTAAGCCAAAAGAATCTAAGCAACATCATAAGGAAACCAATTTGAACTTTGAACTAACTTTTGTAAGGTTTTTATTTCAAAACGTGTATATCTGATGAAACAAATTACATCACATCACGTTAAAATCATAAGACTTTTAAATCTCAAACATATTTGAAAATAAGGAAATTATAAAAATATAAAAAAAATTTAATGAGCCTTTTCATGTTCAGTAACTATTTTTTTTTAAGGTCTATTTTTTTTGGGTAAAAAATATGTCTATATTCTGTATTCTTACAAATATTGTGCATATCAGTATCAATCCCTGACTCCAGATGGACAAGGCATCTTATGCTGGCCAAAATTTTAAATGGTATTTCGGAGAAATAAAAAACCAAACATGATGAAACGATTTTAAGCAAATTCAAATTTGGACAAATGGTTTTCTCTTTTAGACCAGTAAAATATCATGGTCACTTGCCTATAAAAAAGTTTATGTCAAACCCTATGTTGATTAGATCTGATAATTCTATCTGTTTTAATTTGGTTGATTGCTTTAATGTAGACATTATTTTGCCAAATTTGCTGTAGAGTGTGTAGTAATCAACTATTTATATTTTCAATACACACTTAAATGGTGTTAACATGATTTGGAAATACCTACTGTTAACAAAGTTTTACTCTACATTTCTTAATTAACTTACTTAAAATCTGTTTCTTTGTCATTTACATTGCCCTTCTTCTTTGCAAGTTGATCTTCTACATATTTCAACCTAAAAAGTACCCAAGTATTTGCAAAGTTGAATTACAAAACAATAATTCCTTCAATTAAATTCAGATTATTTGATTATCAATCAACTGCTGCAGATAAAAAAAATGAAAATGCATGAAATGAATTTATATTAGAAGTTTTTATTGTTCCCTGTAACAAATCACTTTTTTCATGTGTAATGTGCAAGCTTTACTAACTTCCATTTATTGTGTTTGGTAGCAGCAATAAGTCAATCAATTGGTGGGTTGCTGCGTTATATTTCAATCCATTTCAATACAACGACTCTGGATTGTTCAGTCAAATAAAATTACAGTCAAACCTTCTATAAGTCACCTCTGTTCAGCTAAAATCTGTCCTGTCCTGTCACCCTCTTTTTGTCCTGCTATAGCAATACATATGCATTTTGAACCTCAATTCAAAGTACACATACTAATTTTTATGGTGATGTTGTTTATAGAGCCTGTCAATTTATTTTGACTCATGTAAACTGATTGATCCTTTGAATAAACTTATTCCTAAAGTTTATCAGTCTAAAACTGTAGTTTGTACTTTGAACATTTTCTTTTTATAAATTAAAACATAACTAAGTAAGTTTTGTTACACAGTTATGAACATTTATGGTCTTGTATCCTGTAGATTATATTTTGGCATTGTGTAAGGTCATGTTTTTCTCAGACTTTGTATTACCTCTTTACACTAAATCCTCAAGATGTGTACTGATTGATACATGTATCATAGTCTGAGAACATATGTTTTTTCATAATTTAAAATTTGCTTAGAGCTAACTTTCAGTAACTATGTGAGCTCTTAGATCAGTATTTTATATTTTTGTTGAGCTTTTAATGTGACCAGCCCTTTCTAACTGATTTGTACAGTTTGTTCTTATGTTACATTTGTTTTTGCATAAATCAGGCCATTGGTTTTTCTCTTTACTGATTTGTTCCAATCTGTTAAGTCGAGCCCTTTCCAACTTATTTTTACAGTTTAATCTTCTCTTGTGATATTACATCACTATCCTAGGTTAAGGGAATGGTTGAAAACTCACAAACATGTTTAGTTGCTTCTTGTAATATTTTTTTTGTTTGTTAATATTTGTTTGCATAAATCAGATGGTTGGTTTTTCCCTTTTGAATTGTTTTACATTTTGTAATACATGTACCAGTCTTATGGTATGAGTTTATCCAACTGTTAAAGGCAGTACAGTAACCTATAGAAGTTTACATTATTGTCATTCTGTTTCAGGTTGATAGTATTGTCATTGGCAATCATACATCTCCTAATCTTCATTTTGACTTTATCTTGAAACAACCAAAGAATGGAATAGCTATGAAAAGCTTTTTCATTCAGATTTCTATCTAATTGAGGTAAATAATTGCTTGCAAGAATATATTACTACAATCAAAATGGTGCTCCTTGACTGCACAAAGGTAGGAGCTGCCTTTAAGAATGGATAAACAAAATTTCGTTTTGAAGATATTCATTAGTGGGTACAGTTTTTGAGAAGAAATTTATCAGTAGACCTACATTAAACTGTTTAAGACAGCCAAGTACATATGCATGCATCTCTGATAAATCAAAAATGACCATTTTTTTCCAGTATATCATTGTTTTCCAGAAATAGGTTACAAACAATTATTAACTTCAGAGATGACCTACATACATTTCTGTGTCTTCATCCCTTCTATTAGTTTCTGCTGCAAAAGCTGTCCCAATGGCTTCTACATCTTCTTTGGACATGTCCCTGTAAATATGTTTATAAACACAAGTTAAAATGAGATTTAAAAGCCTGTTAGAATTTTTTCTGTAACTCTACTGTAAAGGTTAAAGACTGTTAACAGTCAGTCAAATTATCCTCCCTAAGTTTTTTATGCATTTACACACGTGTTGGGTAAAGAGATATACTGATCATATTTTCCTACATCAGTTTGATGTAGACAGGTAAAGAGATTCATATTTTCTAATAAGATCAAGTGATGGTGTTAAATCTTTTTAAAGCACACTTGATCAACTTAACTTTACAATTTTCAGCAAAGAAGTACCAAAGTTAGCATAAGAATAAAAATTGTTTCAAAATAATCAAATGAAATCATTTCTGAATCTAAAGTTCATAATTAAACTTTTTATCTATAAGACAGTGCATGGAGTTGATTTCAAATAAAATGTATTCTGATTATACTCGGTATATTGGGATCAAATGTATTTCAAAATTTACTCTGATTTTCAGAATTTAACATCTAATCTATACACTTATCTGGTAAATAAATCATTGCAGCTTTGGTTTAAAATAGTTTCAACAAATTTTTTATTTTACTTATTTTGCATGGCTTTTCGAATATATGTTTTTGTTTCATTTAGACCAGCCAAGTTCATCCTCATCAGCTGGTCTTGCCAACATTTAAATTATAAATTCAATTGTTAAGAACTTCTTGAGTGAATGATGAGAATGAAAGGCCCTTGTCCTAATGAGACGGAAATTGATATTCCAAACACCATGTGGAAAAAATATGATAGAAAATCTTAATGATATAGAAAGACTACTTAAATAATTTTGTGGAATAACCACACTTGAGAACAAACATATTACATATATTATCCAGGTATGCTACTATTGTTAAAAGTAAACAATCTTTGCTTTGCAAGTAATATAACTTGGAGTAAACAGTGTGGAATCTTCTAAAAAATAAAGAAAACATAATAGGAATTCTTGGATCTGTTTAAACACATGTATTTTTTTACTTCTGATTTATGGAAAGGAACATATACTTGTATTTGTTTATATCTAAACTGTATTAAAATCATTTAAGAAAAGGACATTCAAACAGGGGCCAATGATCTAAAGTAACTAAATTGACATTACCTATTGACATAAGACAACCTCCACATAGGCAAATCTAATTTATAAAAATACTCATTTCCATAAAAATTGTGCAATCTACCCAACTAAGGGTGCACAGATGAACTGCTTTGAAAGGCATTCAGTACTGGTTTTTCAAACATACATATACTTACGATTTCTTCAAAGTTTTCATATCAACAATTCCTCCAGTAAGTCTTTTAAATGGGTCTTTCTAAAAATTATAAAATAGTGTTGAAACGATTTAAAAGTATTCAGACAAAATTTTTCTCTATAGACTACACTAAAATCTCAAAGTCTGTTGGTCATGGACAGTTAATGCATTGAACTGTCATTATAGTCATGTTGAGGTTTAAAATTTTCTTGTCAAGCAATCTAGAGGTTTTTGGCGTTATATGTTATCAATGACATGAATACTTTTTTTACAATAGATGTAACAGAAGAAAATATTACTTACATCTTCAAGTATAAAAGAATGACTTGAATAAGTATTTACTATTAGCAATGACTGCCTGTTATATCAGTTATTCATTAGTTGATCTTAGATGCAGTTAGCTTTTCTATTTATGTCCCTTCTTTTTCATATAGCTCCTCATGTATTGATTGATTGATTGTTTGTTGTATATTAATAGTAGACTAGATTGTACCATACATAGCTGACTATTGACAATCAACAAACATGATGATTATAGTAGACTAGATTGTACCATACACAGCTGACTATTGACAAACAACAAACATGATGATTATAGTAGACTAGATTGTACCATACATAACTGACTACTGACAAACAACAAACATGATGATTATAGTAGACTAGATTGTACCATACATAGCTGACTATTGACAAACAACAAACATGATGATTATAGTAGACTAGATTGTACCATACATAGCTGACTATTGACAAACAACAAACATGATGATTATAGTAGACTAGATTGTACCATACATAGCTGACTATTGACAATCAACTAACATGATGATTATAGTAGACTAGATTGTACCATACATAGCTGACTACTGACAAACAACAAACATGATGATTATAGTAGACTAGATTGTACCATACATAGCTGACTATTGACAAACAACAAACATGATGATTATAGTAGACTAGATTGTACCATACATAGCTGACTATTGACAATCAACAAACATGATGATTATAGTAGACTAGATTGTACCATACATAGCTGACTATTGACAAACAACAAACATGATGATTATAGTAGACTAGATTGTACCATACATAGCTGATTACTGACAAGCAACAAACATGATGATTATAGTAGACTAGATTGTACCATACATAGCTATGTTAAATTTCTTTAAAAAAAATAAGAATTGTGTTTCCCGGCTTTTTATCTCAGCAGAATTTTTGTTTTGTTGCCAAACATTTAAATATAGTTAAATTTTTGATTTTGTTGATTTCTCATCAGGAAAATATGCTATCCTCACTTACATAAGGTAAGTAGTAAAAGTCTCATATCTGTAATATTAGAATATCTTTGCTGTTGGCCTTTGTTAATAGAAACATGCAATATAAAATAAGGATGGGGGTATTATTGCCAATGGCAATGGGACAATTATTCATATAGAATTCAAAGGACAAAGATGTACACAATTACAGACCCCACAGTTTTCAACAATGAGCAAAACCCATACAGTATCCTAAGCTATTAAAGGCCCCAGTATGACAAAATTTGAAACAATTCTAAAGAAAAAGTAAGTTGCCTTATTTATATATCAAACAATAAATAAAAAACTAAAATGCTAATTTAGTATCTCTATTAGTTTAATTAATTCTTCTTCCATAAAGCTGACTATAATTATGTGCACATAGTCATTGAAACTGTTCCATCTATTTTGCTTGATAGCAGAAACAGGAAATTTTTAATTTAAGCTCTTTGTTTTGAAATAAATGGCTTATAGAAAAGGAATTTCTGTAGGAACTTACAAACTGGAATTTAAAAAGGGGTTAATAACTATTTTATGTCAACTTTTATCCTGCGTACATCAGTTACTTCTTCTGTTTTAGGTATTTTCTTCCCCAATGCCAGTACAGCAGCACTCACACCTTTGGGTTTCTCTCTTTGCTTTTGTAATTCCTTTATGTCTTTTAACTTAGATCTGAAAAATATTATTCAAAAATTCTATTGATTTTATTTTAGAACCCCATCTATCTAAATATCTCTCAAATTACCTCAATTCAAATACATGCTGAATGAAATCAAGGACCTTGTTATCCATGTAATCATTTACATTTCACATGTTTGTAAATGGTAAACTAGTACAGAAGTTTTAATTAATTTTTCAAATTTTACAGCTTGAATATGGTCACCTGCAGTTTTAGAATGTACTTCCTAAAAATACTTAGTGAGAAACACAAATTTCATTAACAAATTTCAAAAGGGAGAATATGATTCATGCTTACAAAATAACTGAATCCTCAATTCTTTTATGAAAAATTCTATTGATTTTATTTTAGAACCCCATCTATCTAAATATCTCTCAAATTACCTCAATTCAAATACATGCTGAATGAAATCAAGGACCTTGTTATCCATGTAATCATTTGCATTTCACATGTTCGTAAATGGTAAACTAGTACAGAAGTTTTAATTAATTTTTCAAATTTTACAGCTTGAATATGGTCACCTGCAGTTTTAGAATGTACTTCCTAAAAATACTTTGTGAGAAACACAAATTTCATTAACAAATTTCAAAAGGGAGAATATGATTCATGCTTACAAAATAACTGAATCCTCAATTCTTTTATGAAAAATTAAATTTATTTGATGTCATTATATCAAATTTCTGGAAGAATCAAAGCATCGTCGATGTTGTGATCCAGCCATATTCATAGCTAGTCTGATATTCTTTCTGACCAAACTTTTTTCAATATTTTTTCTCTTTTCATTTCCAATTTTACTGTAAAATTTCTATGTTATTGTCCAAAGGTAGAGATTCGTAATATTGATGCAAATATAGATATAAATATATATATTGATTTTTCAATTTTAGACTTTTTTTTTTTAAATATTTGCAATTTAATGGTACTGACAAGAATGGAAAGGGAAATCGTCACAAGTAATATATTTTTTTACATACCATTAATAATAACTGGCTTAATAATTTCCAGAAAGAGGCCTTGGAAATGCACTATCTCAACAACAAAAATAAAAAAAAATAATAACTATTTTTTATCTAAATTGGTGTTCATTCTTCATTAAGAAAAAATAAGTCATACTGAACAGAGTTTGGTCAAATATGGAGGCTTAAAATTGGTTTTATAAAAATGAAAAAATGTTAAATATGTGTTATTTTATTATTTTAAATATTTTTAAGTCAATTAATAACTGTAAAATTGGTTTTTGGTGCATATTTTCATTGAACATCTGACAATGTGTCAATTGTTGTAGCGGCCATATCTTTACCTCCACCATAACCCACATAAAATAAAAAAAAGCTTAAAAATACTTATAGTTAACTTACGGATATTCCCTACTCTGTTTCAAAATAACAAGCTTTTCAAAAGATTGTTATAAATTGATAGTATATAAATAAAGGAACTAAAAAAGCAGAAAAAAGTTAAGGGTCTGTGTGCTTGTTTTCCAGATATAGGCTATTGAAAATTTGGCGGGAAATGATTCTCTCTAGAGTTTTCATACACTTAACATTGGCACCTTTTTTCTTTCAAAAATTATAATAGATATCTACTCAGTTACACCCTTTAACTCGCCTATAGTTGTGACTTGTGTAGATATCTATTGTCTACTCAGTTACACCCTTTAACTCGCCTATAGTTGTGTAGGTATCTATTGTCTGTCTATTGTCCATATCAATCAAGGACAATCAATACAATACAATAGTTTTTACCTGAGAGGGAGCATCTCAAAGTTGTATCGATCCCAACTTAGTTTATTTTTACACCTTCTGCAGGAACGAAAAAAAATGCTCATCAAAATCCAAAAAAGATTTTATCTTTTATGAAACAAAAAATGCATTTAACTTTTATATATCTAGTGGATGCCATGCCTTAAAACTTTTCCAACTGCACAGGTTAGTCAGTACTCAGAGTAGTTTTTGAGGTCTAAACACAGCCATTTTTGTCCATTTGTTATGATGAACCTTAATGAATAATGTTTAATCTAAATATTTTACTCTATGTTATCTGCATCTTCGTTCGAATTGTCATCGCTCTCTGATGAATGGCGTCTTTTTCTGATTGCTCTACATTTTTTCTTCTTGAAAACCTCCATTTATTTATTTTTTTGTCAACTTTCTTGGCAAAAAAGTACGTTCATTTTGTACATTATTGGTTTATCACAAGGGAGATAATTGAAATAACATAATAAAGGTTGTTTGGATGGGTACTGACACGTTTACGTTCCGAATATAGTATGTTTCTTCTGAATGACCGCACGTTGAAATTAGGAATAGTGTTCTTTATATATGATAGTCCGATGTCCCTATAGAGATAAGATATGGAGTAGGAGAAATATCTCCTCTGAAACTAGAAACGTGATACGAAATACACATCCTCATCAACTTCCATACACAAACAAACACAAATTCCCGACACTGTCAAAATAGTTTTCATAAAACATTGCAACTGGGATACATTTGTCAAGAGACATAGAATTAAATTAATTACAGTCGTTATAGATCATTTGAAGATTGTGAAAACATACTGGTCTCAGTGGAGTTTATGATAATGCTATAGCAGGAACCAAAATAAACAAATATCACGGTCCAACTAAGACATTTATTGCTTTGTCTAAGACATCTAATCTCACCACTCATACATTAGTATTCCTATAGAAAAGGGTAGGACCATTCCCCAAACGCCTGTTGGAGGTATCACCAGCCGGCCAGTAGTCATGCAGCACTTAATTCTGTGTTGACATGAATTCATGATCATTGATGTATATGTTTATAATCATGCAAATATCAACTCACGGTTTACAAAACTTTTTAATTTTTCGAAATACTATGGATTTTATACCAGAGGAATATATTACCCGGGCTTAGCTTTATTTGGCAAAACCGTTCGGAATTTTGGTCCTCAATGCTCATCAACTTTGTACTTTATTTGGCCTTTTTGACTTTTATCACAGCGTCATTGGTGAGTCTTTTGTAGACGAAACGCGCGTCTGGTGTACACAATTTTAATCCTGGTATCTACGATGAGGTTATTAACAACCACTGGGTTGATGTAACTGCTGGTGGAGGTTTCCTCCCCGGTGAGGTTATCACCAGCACAGTAGTAGTCCTGGGATCTGTGATGAAATATTCGGAATGACAGAAATATTAGATAAACGGGCCCTGACTGAATGCTTGAATAGAGCATACTAGTTAAAATTAGAAAAGCGAATGCTAGTATAGAAAGGAGGTAGAATAGAGACCGGGAAACATTCCCGACAAACTGTTACAAGTTTAAACTAAGCTATGCTTTCCGTTCTTAGAAGAGGACATTCAATATAATATGTTTTTGTGATACAACCTGTCCCATTCAATTAAGTTCTCTGCATGAACTTCAAATTTCTCCTGGACAAAACGGACGGTTCCCCAAAAGGATATGATTAACATCCCGGAGCATCTGATATCAATCTATGTGTTAATGGCAGTTAGTATTACCCATTTTCTTTTCTTTTTCTAATCATGTCTAGTTGTCTAGTTGATTTCTGTCTCATTCGACTAGTGTGCCACGGGCATTGCTGGCGTAGAGCTAGTCTACTGCCTAATACCGATGATATCTGTGAAATATTCATAACCTTTGCGGTATACTCAGGGCAATCATAATCGGGAACAGATTTATCTGAACTGTTATAACATTTGCTTAATTTCATGATATGCAAAAGCAGATGAAGAAGTTACTAGCTGCTAACAGCTTAAAACCTAGTGGATATAGCTGAAAAAAGCAACAAACTTTGTCTATGTAAACTTAGGTTTGAATTTTGATACAACAAAATCACAATTAAAAGTATGAACGACAAAATGGTCAATATAAAAAAAAAATAAACTTGTACAATTCTCAATATTTTAGCAACAGGATTCCATAATTCATGTTAAATGTGTTTGCACAAATTGTCGTATAATGGTCTATAGTGCAGACACGGTATGATGGTTCTATGATTTTAGTTCATAAACTATAGTAATAGACGGTTATATTCTATTTAGATCTAATGCAAGCCATAAAAGTAAAAAAAAAACAACATCAAAACACATTTACAGATCAAATATTTTTTTTATTTGTTTGTTTATGACATGACATGACAAGCGATATTTGGAAAAATCCATTCTATCACAACAACTTGTCTATAATAATTTAAAAAAAAAACTGTTTTCAATATTTCATAACAACATATATATATATAACTGATATAAGTATAGAATTCCAGTTTGTGCGATAAAACTAAGGCTATTTACTAGACAGATGTCAAATATTGGAATTATGATAAACTGTCCCAACTGAATTATTCATGCTAGGCTTTGACAATATTACACAGGTAATGGTCAGATCGATATTCCACTTAGAAATTACCTGCAAATGTCGATTTCAAGATAATTTGATTTCAAAATAAAGGTAATTCCAAATCGATTTAAAACGTTGTATATACCATCTCACTAAACATAATTAAATACAACACTACATCAAAAGACGGCTTTAATATCACATTAACATTAACATGTTTTGGCGAGCCTATAACAAACTCAGCTACTTCCGGTACAGCAATAGTATTGGATTTGGAATGGATTCTTAATATCAGGTTTGTAGATTTTAATATTTTAATTTCCTGTAGAAGATTTTGACCACTTTCTTCTTTGGTTACAGTACACTAAATATATATTTTTCAGCTAAATCAATACGACAATTTTCAATATAAACAGAAACACAGATCAGATGGGGAAGTATTTACAGATTTGTGGTGGTCGTTTTACCCCCAAGTGATTCGGCTTGTTATAGATTTGATATTGGTCTCGTTATCGGAATCGATAAATTAGATTTTGAATTCAATTGAAATTGTGGTTTTGTTCGAAGCTTTATGTTAAGTTCTCGAAAAACTTTTCACTATTCTTATCATGTATGAGTATGTGTATTTAAAATGAAGTTTTAACTTAGTTGACTTGTAACTTATTAAACCGAACCGGAGAAGTCAGTTCCCCTTGTATAAAATAAAAAGATTTGGTACGATTGCTAATTAGACAACTATCTAACAGAGTCAGAAATGAAGTGGATTAAGGTACCTGTAGGTATAAACGGTACGACCGTCGACAATGAGCAAAACCAATACCATATAGTCAGCTATTGTAAAAGGCTCCGACACTTGCCTTTTTTATAAAGTTGTTTAAATTTACTGGAATTTGTTATATAGTATGCTTAAACATTTTTTTTTATCACTATCTCTCAGACTATACACACTAGTCCTATCCCGGCTGTCTCAGAAAAGTTATCTTTACTTGTTCATGAATTATCGTCATGCAAAAATCAAATTTTATCAAATCTAATAATGAGACTGAATTATGGTTGAGTAATGCTATATACAATGTGTCCTTCCTGTAAGGCGTCATGACCTTCTATATGTGTCATCTCGGAACTCGTTTTTCATCACTGTGAAGGCTGTACATGCTAGCTGTCACCTCGGCTTTTTTTGGTGGTGTTCGTGTTGCTCAGTTTTTAGTTTTTTTTTATGTTTTTTTTTTGTATATTGTTATTTGTCTTTTGCTAGTTTTTCGTTTTTTTGCCATGGCATTGTTAGTTCGTTTTCGGCTTGTGAGTTTGAGTATCCCTTTTTTTTTTTCTCGCCTCTCTGTTACTACAATGTATTATTACAATCTGCCACATACACATTTTATTTTTCATATGTACTTTATCATCAGTATACCTTACCTTAGCTGTGTTGCAGAGAATTAAAACAAAACGCTCACAGGAACCTGTATCTTTCACTTTATGAAGTGTTTGGTATTGGAATATAATGAAGGCAATTATATATATCTTAAATCAGGCAAAAGTTTAAGTTGTAATTTTTTTAGAAGACCATCATGGATCATTTCTATACATTTTTGTTAACTTAATTGTATCTTTTTTTTCGTTAAAATGCATATTACTGTGACACATAAACCTAGTAAGGCTGGTGGTATAAGAATATGACCCATTCAATTCCATTTTTAGTTTTACAATAAATATATGTTTCAGCACACATTCGGGTAAAAGTAAAATAATCAGTAATATAAGACTAAATTACAGTATATGTCACTCAATTATCATGCTTAGTATTTCTATTCAAACATTTGATAAGAGAATCATTGTTGTATATAAAATAATTTGGTAGAGGACAATTCTGATGAATATTCTTTTCAAGTTTGGTTCAAATTGACCCAGTAGTTTATTACAAGAATTCTGAAATGTGTCGGTTAATGAGCGTTTGAAATTGATGTGAGGTCATTAGGCAATATATTATACATTTCTATGAGAGAATACATTAGTTCTTTGAGAGGATACATCAGGCGACATGCAGCTGTTTGATATATTTTCTGGCAATATATGATTGTATAGTTCTTTGAGAGGATGCACCAGTCGAGACGACAGCTGTTTGATATATTCTGGTAATATATTGTACAATTTTAAGAGAGGACAGACCAGTCGAGACGACAGCTGTTTGATATATTCTGGCAATATATTGTACAATTTTAAGAGAGGACAGACCAGTCGAGACGACAGCTGTTTGATATATTCTGGCACTATATTGTACAATTTTAAGAGAGGACGGACCAGTCGCGACGACAGGTGTTTGATATATTCTGGCAATATATTGTACAATTTTAAGAGAGGAGAGACCAGTCAACAGCTATTTGATTTATTTTCTGGCATTATATTGAACCATTCTATGAGAGGATATATCAGTCGACCGGTGTTTGGTGTATTTTCTGGCAACATATTGTACAGTTCTTTCAGAGGACACATTAGTCGATAGGTGTTTGATGTATTTTCTTGCAATAAGTAGTACAGTTTTTTTAGAGGACACATCAGTCGATAGGTGCTTGATGTATTTTCTGGCAATATGTTTCACAGTTCTTTGAGAGGATATATGTCAGACGATAGGTGTTTGATGTATTTTCTGGCTATGTATATCACAGTTCTTTGAGAGGACACATCAGTCGATGTGTTTTGGTATTTTTTTCTGGCAATAAGTAGTACAGTTCTTTATGAGGATACATCAGTCGACAGGTCTTTGATATATTGTCTCACCATATGCTGTACATTTCTATGAGAGGATTTATTAGTCGACAGGTCTTTGGTATATTGTCTGATAATACATTGTACATTTCTATGAGAGGATACACCAGTCAACAAGTCTTTGATATATTTTCTGACAATATATTGTACAATTCTATGAGAGGACAGACCAGTCGACAAGTCGTTGATATATTTTCTGGCAATATATTGTACAATTCTATGAAAGCACAGACCAGTCGACAAGTCTTTGATATATTTCATGGCAATATATTGTACAATTCTATGAGAGGACAGACCAGTCGACAAGTCTTTGATATGGGGGGAAGGGGTCCATATCCATATCGACAAGGGATTATGGTTAAAAAAACTACAAAGTAAGCACTTCTCAGGCCACCGCTACAAAAAATTACGATGATTTGTTTTTATTTCATGTATTATAATTCTTGTTAAAAATAATTGATTGTATTCGTTATATATATTCTTATATGTACATTTCTTGTTCCGCATTTCCATTCTGGGTTTATATTGATCACAAACACGACTCATCCCATATTCTCATCTGTACTACACCAAGTCGTTTTGTGTTTGTTGACATAGTGACAATATCACTGGGAGAACTTAAAAACATCACACTCGATCAATGCACATTACTTTTTCCAAATATATAGTTAAATATTGAAATAACCAACAGCAGAGCAATTAACTGGTAATGTTTATTACCGGAGACAGATTAATTATTCACTACAAAACAAACGCTGACATTGTCTCTGAAGCTACCAAGATGATTCTTTATGTGTCATTGACTATTAAAATGAAACATCTCGAAAGATATATTGTGATGTTTATCAATTTTCCTTTCTCGGGAAAATATGAAACTAATTATGCCATATTAATGTTGCAACGTAGGGTAACCAAGAGACGTAGGGATGTAAGATACAAGGTGTCTCTGCATGATGCACAAGTGAATATTTTTACTGTGAAGTAATCAGCTTACAACAATGAATAAATCGGTGCTATATATAAAATGATGGCCATTTTAAGGGTTGTGTCTTGTCTTTTATATCCACCAGAATCAGTCGCCAAAAAAATATAAAAATTCTACAATTGTCAAAGAAAACGAGTGAATAAAACAGAAACCTTTAATTAGAACCGCGAGTTTAACGCAACTTTCTATCATTTGTATATAATTCTCGACACTTGGTCTTTATTAGTAATAATCATAATGATCAAAAAGGTAGAATGCCCGGCGTAAAACCCATATATTGACCTCTGCGATTAAGTCGCATATTTTATGTACATTATTGGAATGACCATAGTAAAATCATACCGCCTGCCATAATTAGCCGTAGTTGTGCTTTTATAGCTTATTATACGATAAAGGTTTTGCTCATTGTTGAAGACCATGATGACCTGAAGTTGTTTACATCCTATATTTTTGTCTAATGGATATTTGACTAATTGCCAATCATACACCACATTTTCTTATTATTTTTTTAATTAGTTGAAATAATGTCGAACAACATCTTGTAAAGTTTTGTCCCAAGCGATCAAAAATGTACTAGTAACTTCATGGACAACTAAAGAGAGGACTATATATAGTATATAGACATTCCGTATGCATGACTCGTTAAAGACATATCCGCAAGAGGAAATGGCGTGAAGAAACGTGCTCCTATTAGACAAACAACATTGAACTAGTAAATTGTTGTCAATAGATCATGAATCTTAAAAAATGAATTACTAACAGATATCGCTTAAAATAAGCTGTATCGGTTTCCACTTTCACGCTGCCCGTTCTTGTCCGATATAGACTACATTTTAATCGTCATCGATCTATAGCACTTAAACGCCGTACATCTGACTAAGGTCCTTTTAATATTGTGACTTCAAAAAGGAAACAGTATATAATTACAGTAGCATTTCATTCCGATTTGAAATGGATAAATTGTTGCTGCACGTAAGTAATAAATTTTATGAATTGGTAACATGAAGACGCAGTTTTGTCACTAATTTTATTTAACACTTAGTTGTACACCTTACAATGAAGCATTCAGTCATTGTTCTTTCAATGAGCTAACGATAAGATAATTCAAGTTGAGTAAGTCGGACAATTTTCCTAGTAATTTATATTTTTCTTCTTCTAGAAAGTGATACTTATAACGGTAACACTCAAACATATCTAATATATCGAAATGTACCAATTAAGGAATCTGAACGTATTTTTTTTTCCAAGTTGCAAAACATTTTATTCATGTTGTACAAATTCAGATGGTTCGACTTATTAATTTAAAGGCCTTTTAAATGATAGTGGACAACTATATATTTGCGGAGACCTTGACTCGTCTTATATGAATTTTTGTTGAATTACATTGATTGCGACCTTAGGAATCTGGAATAGTCATAGAAATTTTGAAACTTAGATTTCATTACCTTATAAACCAATGGATGAGGAGGATGCCCGGAAAACTGTATAAAACTATTAATACGTTGTCATATATATTTAAAGATAGTGTTTCATTTATCGAATACAGAATTTTTCATTGTTTTGTATTTAAGATCTACTCAAGAGTAATTTCAGCCTGTATATGTTTCCTTGAATTTTAGGTACTGACGTTGTTCATCTTCTTAATAACGTCTTATAGTGTTCCTTTTATTTGTCTTTGTATATATATTTTCAATCTTTACTGTTCAATCCATTTTTATAATAATATCTTTGCGTGGCTCGGTATTTATACATCCCGTGTTATTGTGCTATGGTCATTTTTTTTTTATTCTTATCTTTCATTTTTGCTTTTGTACTTTGTCGATAGAGTGTCTTTGTTGAAATAGTGATTTATAAATTTTTTTTATAGTGATTAAGATTATAACACAATGTTGACTGCTGTACACCAATTTTTGACATTTTTACCTATATTGACTGTTTGTTTTGCTCACACATTGTTGTAAATATAATGAAATTCTATGCGACTGCCATACAAGCGAGAGGTTTATCTAGCTATAAAACCAGGTTTAATCCACCAATTTATACATAAGGAAATGCCTGTACCAAGTCAGGAATGCGACAGCTGTTTTCCATTCGTTTGATGTGTATGTGTTTGAGCTTTTGATATTGCCATATGATAAAGGACTTTCCATTTTGAATTTTCCTTGGAGTTCGGTATTTTTGTTATTTTACTTTTTCCTCTGGGTTTGGCCATTTAAACGATGTCTGCTACGAGGAGTACTTAATTTTTGCTTATAAACACTTTTATAAACATTAAACGATTTGTTGAAGGTCAACATATTGGTCAATTTACATGCTTTACAGATGTGGTGGCAGGTCTTGTAACCGCTCCCCTCCGTCCGTCCGTCCGACACAGAAATAGTTTGTGTCATGTGCATCTCCAACAGTTTCCATAAACACTATTCTTACTTTGCAAAAAGATTAGAGATGTGGACCTCCCTTTTTTGACATATTTGAGTAAGCTTTGCACAGCGATTGAACACAGGTTAAAGATGTGCACTTCTTATTTAAGACAGATTTAAATACAAGTAGTTAAGTCATTTTTTGGTATTGGATTCTGTAGAGGATATCTCATTTGTGTCGTGTGTAACTCCTACAGTTTTCCATTAACCTTATTCAAACTTTGCACAGTGCTTGCACACAGATTGAAAATCCTTACATTCTAATTTTAACAGGTTTGAATTATTTTCTAATGTTTCCAATGTGCAGAACAGTTTTGTCATTAAATACTGTAGACATGGTAGAGAGTTCCTCGTTAGTATCATGTGTAACTCAAAAGATTTTCTTTCAGCATTCATTTAAATTTCACACAGTGATTGCACACTTTTTGAAGATGTGGAACTACTATTTTTGACTGATTGGAATAAGCTTGTCATTGAATGGTACCGATTGTAACTAGTCGGTGTCATGTACAATCACAACATTTTTCCATCAAAGTTATTCAAACTTTGTAATTTGAGCCAAATTGGAAATTTTTGTTCAAATTTTCAAGAGCATTTCCCAAACATTTTTGTCGATGAATTTTTTTGAAGTACAAAAAAAAAATAATTGTAATCTGTAAGTCTTCCAATTGAATCACTTATTTGATTAATCTGAAGGAATAATCTGTTACTGTAGATCACCTTAACGCTATTTACTTCACAAAAATCATACAAGTCTTGATATACTTTGTTTATCGGGCTTCAGTGATATAAAGATAAAACCATTATCAAGTCTGGAAAAGTGGATACATATAAGCTCTATTGCCTCTGGTTTGAATTAAACTATTAAAAACCACTATAAAGTCTGAGAGTTTTCCTGCTAAGTTCTTCTAACAACGATGTTCGTGCATTTTGATCGACAATTGAACGAATAACATTGACAAAAATCTTACACTCGAGAATTTTCCAATCTTAAAGCACCGTGCGACCCAGTTCCAGACACGGTGTTGTTCTTGTATTCACAAACGCCACTATCCAAGATATGCACAATATTCTCATGAGTTTGGGAAGCGATACAAATGTAAAATTATCATCGTCGTCTGATTTGATTTTTTTTCTCTTTTCAGAAAACTAGATTTAAACATAAAATGACCGAAACACCTTGCTGGCGAGACGAAGTTTCCAGGGAAATGTACAATTCTTTAGAGGATATGTACAAACACGACAGACACACTGATACCAAACTAGTTGTCGGGGACAGGACATTCAATTGTCATAGAGTTGTTTTGGCAGCCATATCGCCTTACTTTGACGCAATGTTTTCGTCAGGTATGATTGAAAGTCAAAACGGGACAGTGAATATTCAAGACTGTAGTGTTAGTATATTTGAAAACATCCTAGATTTTGTGTATTCAGGAAGAAAGGTCGTGACATTTGATAACTGTGAAGATCTTTTGAAAGCAGCGGCAATTTTTCAAATGCGACAACTCCACGAGAAATGTGAACAATTTCTACTGAATAATCTGATATCAGACAACTCTTTAGGAGCATGGAAACTTGCAAAAGCTTACGATTGTCCATCTTTATTTACGAAGGCATGGACACTGATTTTAATGAATTTCACAGACATTTGCAGGGCTGAGGATTTCCTCTTTTTGGACAAAGATGATTTAATCAAAATAATAACGGACGACAATTTGAATGTAACAAATGAGGAGGTCGTTTGTGACGCAGTATTCAGATGGTACGAATCAGATGTATCTAAGAGAAAGGAGGATATAATCCAACTATTCGAATATCTTCGTTTACCGCTCCTAGGCTCAGAATATTTGTTACATGAAGTCGAGCCAATGGAACTGGTGAGAGAAAGTGCAAGATGCCGGGAAATTGTTAAAGAGGCAATAACATATCATATGTTGCCAGCAAGACGTTCAGAATTTAATTCAGATAGAATTGCGTTTCGAAATCATTTGACAATGGAAGAAGTTCTGATTGTCTTAGGAGGTTACAACAGTCAGTCGGAGAAAGTTGTAGACGTCTTTGCATACAGCTTCCTACAACAAAAGTGGTTCTTTCTTACACCCCTAATGTTTCCTTTAGGCCGGGAATTCGCGTCATGTGTATATGGAAATGATATTTTTGTATCTGGAGGTTCACAAAAATTAGATTGTTTATTGCGATATCGTTCCGAAAACAATGAGTGGTACCGATGTACTTCACCAGTGCAGGGAAGACGACGTCACGCGATGGTAGCTCTCGGAGGCTCAATTTATGTCTTAGGGGGGTATGACGATAACATTAAGGAAGAATCTTCCAAAACGCTATCGAGTGTCGAAGAATATGATATAAATCAAAGAACGTGGAAAAAGGCGGGACATTTACCGAAAGCGGTCCGTTCAATGTCTTCTACTGTATCAAAAGAGAAGATCTTTGTATTTGGTGGCATCTTATCCGACGACAAAGAAACAAAAGCGATTCAATACTTTGATACGCGGTTGCAATCGGGGTGCATTGTTGCAAATTTACCATCACCATGCAAGCTTTCACGCGCAATTGTGTCCGACAAAAACATGCATGTCGTTTGTACCGACGGAAGTGTGATTTGTATACCCGAAGACGGTAGCTGTCGAATTATTACAACAATTCCAAATTTTCAACGCAGAAGATTTTGTGCTATTCACCATAAAGGAAATGTTTTAATTTTGGGTGGAGAAAGTGGGAATGCAATTCACCAAAACATTATTTCAGTTGACCTATCAACTAAACACATTGATCAAAACAGAACTACGGTTATTCCACCTCGAGCTAACTTTGCAGGGTTAAAAATTGTAATGCAAAAAAAGTTTTTCACAAGGGAGTTTGTGATGACTGAGAAGCAATCTTAATCTTTGTAATGTTGATGTGCTTTACTTCTAAAATAGTAATTTTCTGGTAACTGACAATCAAACGTTTTTTTTTATTCTGTTGAATGCATATAATTATATCTATTTCAATCAATATGACTTATTATTTCATCCAATATCTAAACCATGAGAAAATGAAATAAAAAAAAATCGGGGAATTTTATAACAAATTCACTATGGGATTTGCACAACTTCAATAAGTGTGCAGACGTTCTTTGAGTTTTCAATGATCTGAATTGAAAATTGCAAGAGGAGTTGATTATACAAAATTGGTATTGACTTTGTAAAGTCTAATAAAATAGGAGAAAATTCCGATTTGTCAAACTATTACATAGTAGCAGGTGCGCAACTAATATATACATTTAAGTGCAATCCTTCTGTGAAGTTTCAGGGATCTAGTTGGCAACTGTAGGAGGGACTGATTACTCAAATATGTATTATTAGTCTTGTATGTGTTTTAATTTGAGTTCATTTATATGTTTTGGAGTTTAGTGTGACGTCCATTTTCACTGAACTAGTACACATTTTTATTTAGGGGCCAGCTGAGGACCACCTCCGGGTGCGGGATTTTCTCGCTGCGCTGAAGACCCAATGGTGGCCTTCGGCTGTTGTCTGCTCTTTGGTCGGGTTGTTGTCTCTTTGACAAATTCCCCATTTCCATTCTCAATTTTATCCACATTTGCTCGCCTGTATGCTCGACATCATGTGTTAACTAGTACAGAGAGAGAGAGAAGAAATAATTTATATGAAACAGAGCTAAAATTTTTATCTCAGGAATTTAAAGTGAAACCATGAAAACTTATTATTTCAAATTAAAGACTACGGGAGTACCAAAGCCAGAGGGGAATTTAGGGGGGGAGGGGACCCGGGCCCCTTTATGGAATTTCATGTATGATATATGCATACATTTTTTTTCAAGTATCACTACATCGTTGGCTTGCCAGCCCCCTTTCAAAATCCTGGATCTGCACCTGAAAGCGACTGTTTATTAAAAACAGAAAATCCAGAAAACGTAACAGACTAGTAGGATGGGGCTGGTTTTATGCAAGTCTAAAAACTGCTGGGCTGTATTGGAGGGGAGGCGGGACCTCCTTAAAAAGGGAGCACATCGTGTATGATTCATAGACATCATTTGTCCTTATTAGGTGACCACATCCCCATCAAACAGGATGGAACAGCGTCATCCTCTAAATTGACGTCATGTCTTAGTAATAAAACACACGACTCACATAGTCGGCATTGTTTATGCGTTCAAATTAAAAAAAAAAAAAAAAATTTTTTAAATAATCTAAGATTTAAAACTAAAATAATTAAAAAATCCAAAAAAAAAAATCCAACATTCCCCAAAAATGCAAAATGCCAAAAAAAAAAACAAAACAAATACGATGGATGAATTTTACCTGTACGTACTGAGCAAGGATTCTCTTTCACTTTTTGAAAATAATAACGGTAGCACATTTAGGATTCAACTTCACAAAAGTTATATATTTGACGGAGGATGGTAATGTGCACTGCTAGAGTTATCGTACGTACCGAAATTTCCAAAATACTTTTCCTCAACTTTGGGTTTTTTTCTGTCAGCGAGCGAAAAAGGTGTCATTTCCCAGGCGTAAGTGTCAATCACAAAGTCCGAGCAGAAGAAGAACCGTCTCGTTGGTGTTGGCAATTTCGGTACGCTAAATTTTCCAAAAAGGACTGAAGACATGCGTATAATGAACGTATCAACAATGCCGATTATGTGAGTCATGTGTTTTATTACTTAGACGTGACGACAATTTAAATGATGACGCTATTCCATCCTGTTTGAGGGATGTGGTCACCTAATAAGGGTAGATGATGTCTATGACTCATATAGGATGTGCCCCCCTTATAAGGAGATGACGTTACTTCTGGTCTGCGTTATCGGGCAATATCCGGTATCGACTTCAGGTGACGTCAAAGGGGCCCGCCTCTCTTCCGCCACAGTTTATAGACTTGCATAAAACCAGCCCAATCCTACTACTGATTATCGAATAAACAGCTAACAAATATTACATGAATATTGTGTCTGACACTAATTCAAGAGATAAATCTGAACTATACATATAAATCTTTCCTGGTGTTCTTGACGGTTTTTGAATATTCTGCTCAAATGCCCTCCCATATTGTATTGTCCACAGGCGCTTGGGTATATGATACAGAATTTTTTTTTTTTTTTTTTTTTTTTTGTTGATTAAAATATTCAATTTTCTATATTTATACTACTTATCTATCACTACTGCGCATGTCTCACCTAGTTTCGAGTGATTTTACCAACTTTGAGACAAACCCCCATTTTACTATCCACACTAAGAGACAAACCCCCATTTTACTATCCACACTAAGAAACAATTGAGAAAAAAAGAAAAATAATGGCCTAATTTAAAACAAAACAATTTACGAAAAACAAATATGACAGACATGAACCAACGACAACCACTGAACAATTTAATTTACTGATAACAAAATCAATATTTATACCAATAAAAACAATATTCAAAGATCTAATTAAAGTGTTGAATTGGTAACCTTTTATAAAAAGTTTATTTAAAGGATTGATAAGTTTACCCATCTTCGCTAGCCAAGGGTTACGATCCACTTCCCTCCTCTCCACCCTTGGCAGATTAAGCCAACATTTGTGATAACAATGTTGCGCCATCTATCGGTAGATTAAAGTCACGCCCATTCCGAATACTTTATTCTTGACCAATGGTAGCACTTGAACTCTTTAATTTGGAGGTAAACACACAGTAGCGTCTAGATTCTACACACTTGGTAGGAAACGAAAATATACGTTGACATTCATGCATTTGTGCAAGAAACATACACAGGAACTTCTATTAGTTGTTTAAAAACATTCAAATTGTCACTAAATATAGTCGTATGTTTAGGGATGTAAAGACTTGTTGCACAATAAGCTCGTGGCAATTGTTTACATACACTTTCTACATTTACACGTGATTATGTTATAGGCGCTTTTTGATTGGATGCAGCGAGTTTCGACTGCAACCAATGAAAATCATTACCTTGTGTCTCCGAAATTCTATCTCAATCCGCCAAGGGTGGAGAGGAGGGAAGTGGATCGTAACCCTTGGCTAGCGAAGATGAAGTTTACCCGGATCGTATCTAAATTTCCAGGCTTTCTAAACAACATCACCGTAAAATTTAAGATGTGCTATTCCGTTAGAAATCAGTTTTGTCTACAGGTGCAGTCAAACTTGCAAACCAAATATGTGTATCTATGGAAAAATTTAGTAAAGGTTTTAAGTAATTTGTGGTAACGAAATCCCTGACTTAATAATTTACCAGTAATACATAGATTACGCTCTTTAAAATCCAAAACGCCACCACAGTCACGGGCATAGCGAACGAGTTGGGATATATAAACACCGTAAGACGGTGCTAAAGGAACATCACCGTCCAAAAAAGGAAAATTAACAACAGGGAAAGAAAAATCATCCCTTTTGTCGTAAAATTTTTGTGTAGAGTTTCTGGTTAGCCTCCACCAAATCATTTGAAAATTGGATATGTTGTTAGGGACCACTTAACACAGGGCCAGGTCGAACTTAATTAATTTCACTTTTGTCCTTCTAGAGTTATGCCCCTGATAAAGCATGTTTCCGCATGACTACTTGATTAACTAAAGCCTCAACCAAATCACTCGTTTATGGATCATTAAACATAGATCCAGTTCAAATTTACCGATTTCAAAACAAAACAAAATATCATTTATGTTTTTTTTGCAGACAGTAAGTTGAGGGGGCCTTGTCGTTCGTTAAATTTTGCCATTGGTAAGTACGAAAATAGCGATTTTTTTCTGTTTCCGTTATTTGCAGTTCACAGATCACTTTTTTAGCGATATTTGTGCAATAAAATAGTGTTCTTGTTGCTTCATATATAGTTTTATAATGGACGACACAGTTACTTTGTTTTAAGGTTTTACTGAATTCTTTTTTTAAGTATTATATTATTCATTGGTGCATGTACAATACGAATATAAATTCGATCAAAATCCAATTTTTACAACTTTGAATAAAAATCGTTCATGATAAAAAAAAAAAAATAACATAGTATCCAATCAGTTTTCATGAATAAAATTTGGGTGATGCTTGAACAATTTTAGGACCTTGTTGCTACACATTTCAAATTATGAATAGATGTTGATACTTTAATAAAACAGTAACATAAAGACACAAAACAAAGAGACGCTTAAAGGTTGCAGGATTCTGGTCTCTTCATCCATATAAACGTTGATTTCGACAACTTGCCCTGTAACTATTGAGGTACAACATATTTTAAAATAAAAATTAAGAAAACATTTATTCGTTTGTACATTTTTACTTTGGTTTTACATCGTAAAATTGAGTTAAGAAAACGTTACTGATTATATCATGGATACTTTGTAGATATTACTTGTTCATGCATAAGGCGGTTGCTATTGCTTGACAAGATCCCACTCTGGTTATATTTCTGTTACATTGCGCTAGTGATTGTTCATCGCCGGTACATTCTATATTAGACACTAGAAAGCCTCTGTCTTCGAACTGAATTCTTGGATTCCCTACAATTCCTCTACTGCAAAAGAATCAATAATCATCTTTATTAACTATCACATACGTACACGGTCACGATTGATATAGAACTTACTATTATACAATAATACTTGTTTATAGCTACTGCTTAATGCTGTTTATTGCAAAAAAAATTCACATTATTCCATTATTTGACAAGTGCTAAAATGCAATTGTATCATATCTATTTCATCATTTTCTCAATCAGTTTCCAATCACACAGTTGGACCAACCGCTTATGGATATCACCAATAATGAAAATCTTAGTAATTTAGAATTAGTACATGCCATATCTGATAAATCTCAAAAATTGTGTAGTTCTTCCCAGGGGCGGATCCAGGATTTTGGAAAGGGGGGGGCGTAGTATTAAAGTTTGCCGAGCGGAGCGAGGCGAAAAAATTTTTGGACCTTTTTTTGGCTAAAAAACATAAAATAAGTGTAAAATGCATCTTATAGTTAAAGTGTAGGGGTTAGATATTTTTGGTGCCGTATTCTCTCCATCAATTGTCTATTATGAAATGATTGGATGAATCCAAAGCTATGTACTAATTAATATATTTGATGTGGGATTTGTCAGTAAAAAATTGACATGGAAAATTCTCGTTTGTTGTATGGTTAGTTAGCATAACCTCACAAATTTCTTGTTGTAAACAAGATATACGGCTATTCAATGAAATTTTCAATACGACCGACACGAAGAAAGACAAACAAGCAATTTTCATCCAAATGTTTGGTTGAAATGTTTCACCTAACAAGGGAAGTGAGGGGTTCCAAATGAACTAAAGGCTACGAATGAGTCGGAAATGACAATGAAGTTGTGAATGACGGTCGACACATGGAGACATATAGGCCACACCCAGCAGGCAGGTTGCAGTCGGGCCTTGAAAAAAGTATTCAGTATATCAGTTCGACGAAACAGACATTCCGGTCAGATATGGGATTCACATGCAACCCCCCCAAAAAAAATTTCGCCCGTTTTTTATTCATCATGTTCATTTAATGCTAAATAATTCTGTTGAAAATATTTTTTTCTAATTGCAAAAAAGTGGACAAGATTATTGTTTTCAATCCAGATACGGCCAGAATTTTTGTTTAAGGCAAAAATCCGGGTCAGAATTTTTTCTCTAAAATATCTCAGACTGCCCCCTCAGATCAAATGGTCCGTACCTTAGACTTTAAATCTATATCTAGAGCTTACTGACTGGGTCACTATTCAGCAATGTTATTAATGGGCTGGGGCGTGTGGGGTTGAACATGTTTTCGTAGGTAAATAATATTGCTGTGGAACTTTTTTTTCATTAGAGTGTAATAGAGTATTACTTTCTGTTGGGTTGGATTGTGAAATAGAAGTCAAAACGTTCTTGCCCAATACTTTGTCGCTTTGAAGGTGTCATGCTTGTCATCCTCAGCCTAAGCAATGTGTTACTGTAATTTGAATTTCAAAATGACTGAGTGACGTTTTTTTCGACGAACTGGTCAACTCCACCGTAGAGAATCACATGACTTTGACATAATCAATAATATATTACAGTAAATACGAGCGAACAATATCTTTATAAGTAAAGAATTGTCGCATAAAAATTAAATACACGGGAAATGGCAAAGTTCACGAAGTCTAGTCTGATTAATCATTTTACAAAAAAAAAAAAAAAAAAAGTGCAAGCAAAGGGGGGGCGTACGCCCTCTACGCCCCCCTCTGGATCCGCCACTGAAGTTCCCATTTATTTAACTTATTCTTTGCAACAGATTCCCATCCATTTATTAGAGAATCATAAACAAACAAAAATCATCTATTGATGTAGCATCAGCCTTAAGGTTTATAAAATGTCGATGAATATTGTTGTCCGATATAAAGGTTCATGAATAATTTACTTGTTTTCGTTTCAACCATGTACATAGAAACGCGTCAGTTACGGTAATAACACAAAACTGATTGGAAATCTGCAAATCAAAAATATTTGATGCGGTGCTCGAAAGGGTTGTTTTTAGCTAACTGCAAAATTAGCTACTTTCTTTTTTTCTTAAATTCTTGTTCAACAAATTCAATAACAGTTACTTTTATATTTGAACTAATAAATTATGCCTTCCACAAAGTCTGTAATTTTCATCATTATCTGCTCACTTTTTTCTTAAAGATGACTAAAACTAATCATCATGCCTGGAAACCTTGTATATAATTGTCAAATGAATTTGCGCCCGGTCTGGGATTTAAAAAATCTTTATTCTAAAGAACGACAGAGAACATCTGTACCAAACTGGTCCATCCATCCTAAACCTATATCCTAATGAATAACGGATAACATCTCTACCACACTGGTCCCAAGCATCATAACAAACATATTTCTTCAAGAACGACAGAGAACACTCTACCAGACTGGTAAAAATTAGCATTGAGAACAAACCTATATCATAAAGAACAGACAGAAAAAAACAGTATTAGACTGGTCCCATCCACCCTTACAATCTTTTATTCTTTGGAACGACAAGGAACATATGTACCCGACTGGTACAATCTATCATTACGAACTTATATTCTACAAAACTACAGAGAACATCTGTAGAAGAATGGTCCCATCATGCATACAAACCTATATCTGAAAGAGCGACAGAGAACATATGTGCAAGACTGGTTCCATCATGTATACCTATATCCTAAAGACCGAAATAGAACATCTGTAAAAGACTGGTCCCATCATGAATACAAACTTATATACCCTAAAGAGCGACAGAGAACATCTGTACAAGACTGGTCCCATCATGCATACAAACCTATATCCCAAAGAGCGACAGAGAACATCTGTACCATATTGGTCCCATCCATCATAACAAACCCAACCTTTCATTCTATTCAGCAGAACTACTACAGTGCCTCGTCCTGGCGTGGCTCCATCTGTCACGTCTGCAATTAACTCTAAAAAATAAAAGTTCGATTAATTTAGCAAACACGTACGTATAAACTATAATGTGATATTGATACACCAGAAAAACAAAACAAACAACAACAAAAATGACACAATAATATTTGTTTACAGTTTAAATTAAAATCCGAATTTTTGAATCGCCCTTGTGATTTCTTGGTATTATGCTCGCTTTGAGTGTGGGAACGACCCCGACAAACCAAAAAAGTTGTACTTGCTGCTTTGCTGCAAAGCACTTGAAGCAAAAACTGGTTGACTCGGAGTCAGAATAGTGTATCTGCGTAGCATTATGTCTTCCCTTTGACTGCTATAAATTGTAAGCTAGCGTGTGCACGTTAAAATTACGACTCAGTGTGTCGGTCTAGTAGAATATAGGATTACATATGTATTAATATTTTATCTTAAAAATTTTGTCGTCATGAATATTTGCTACTAGACGTTAAACAAAGAGGCAATAAAAATGATTTGTGAAATACATATGGTTACATAAAAAGACACAACATCCATCATTTTCTTTAGACATTTTGCTTCGAGATAAATCTACCAGATGATTAAAAATAGAATCTGTATATATAAAGAATTTCTATAAGATGCTATGTGCTCCAAAACGTAATGTATAAGAATTTAAAACGTTAAAGTTTTTATATCAATTAGTGTCCTTTATTAGTGGAGATTGACTGTGTTTCCATCTTAGGCTCAAATAATATTATTCAATAATTTCCTTGAAATGATTCTATTTCACACAAGCTAGTTTTGAAAGAAACGCAAAGTGAACATATATTTTCAATTAGGTTCTAAATGGTCCAGGCTTTAGAAATTATTCAATAATTATATACGCGCGTAATTTCATTCTGCATGCATACATTTTTGTTTTGTTTTACAACACACATGAGCGGGGCTTTCTGAAGAAAGGAATTTCGTGCGTTTTTATGAATTGAATGAATGAATGAATGAATTCTTTATTTGCAAAGCAGTAGTTACATGCTATAGCAACACATAGATATAAGAAGATGTGGTATGAGTGCCAATGAGACAACTCTCCATCCAAGTCAAAATTTATAAAAGTAAACCATTATAGGTCACAGTACGGTTTTCAACACGGAGCCTTGGCTCACACCGAACAGTAAGCTATAAAGGGCCCCAAAAATTACTAGTGTAAAACCATTCAAACGGGAAAACCAACGGACTAATCTATATAAAAAAAATAGATATTTACATTGTGACACACAATAAACAACAGAGAACAATATTCTAATATAGTACAATAGACAAATTATCAACTAATTAGATGTGATCTAATCTGCCAAGCAGATTTCAAATATTTACACAATTTTCCAACTAAGGATCGAATGTATTCATTAATGCATTTTCTTTAAACGAAAATGTCTGCATTAACTCGTCAATCACTCATTGATATACATCTATTTGAAATTAAACTGACATTAATAAGTTAACCAAAAAAAATAATTAACATAAGCTCCGAAATAATTTAGAAAGTAAATATCTAATAAAAATACTAAAACAATCCAGATTTAGGTATAAATTCGAACGATGAAGCTAAAGTTAGAGCTATTAAAAATCTACAAAATTTTCCAAAAGTGCTTGGTGGCATTTGTTTTTTAACGTAAATTAGAGTAGATGGAAGATAGATATACATTTAAGTTTGTGTTTGTATAGACGACAACATTGTAAAAAAAAATGTTAAGGATCGTTTCGCCTGCTTTCAGTGTTAAAGTGTAATGTTGACTTTCAATAACTAAGTACATTTATCAGTCAAATAATGAAAACATAAAAAAAAAAATCTATAGATGCTATTTCTTGATCTTGAAGAAATTTCTGTGTAAGTTTCATAACATTCTCTTGCGGTTTTAATCAAATAAGAGCTTCTGTCATTGTTTCATAAAATACAATGAAGGTGTAACAAAGTAATTGATCTCTAAAAAAACCTGTAATCCAAGACTTTATCAAAACGTTGATTGCCATAAAATCCATTCCTTTAATCAGTAAAATACGGAAAAGAAGGAATTTATGTTTTCCAAAATTTGCTCTGGTGACTGTCTTATGATCACAAAAAAGGCTTCTGTTCAAGTTTCGTAAAATTCCATGAAGTTTGACAAAGTTATTGGTGATTAACAAAAACACAGATTGAACCGACGACGCCACGCAACAGCGAAATGTAAGATTGCTTTGTCTCGCTTCCGCAATTTTTTTCGCAGGCTCGACAATATAAAGAAAATATGTAAAACATAAAACAACAAAGGGTGTCCATGACCCAGGCAATTGTAACGTCCTCTGTACCAGATGTAAAACATAAAACAATAAAGGGTGTCCATGCCCCAGGCAATTGTAACGTCCTCTGAACCAGATGTAAAACATAAAACAACAAAGGGTGTCCATGACCCCAGGCACTTGTAACGTCGTCTGTACCAGATGTAAAACATAAAACAACAAAGGGTGTCCATGCCCCAGGCACTTGTAACGTCCTCTGTACCAGATGTAAAACATAAAACAATAAAGGGTGTCCATGACCCAGGCAATTGTAACGTCCTCTGAACCAGATGTAAAACATAAAACAACAAAGGGTGTCCATGACCCCAGGCACTTGTAACGTCGTCTGTACCAGATGTAAAACATAAAACAACAAAGGGTGTCCATGAACCCAGGCACTTGTAACGTCGTCTGTACCAGATGTAAAACATAAAACAACAAAGGGTGTCCATGCCCCAGGCACTTGTAACGTCCTCTGTACCAGATATAAAACATAAAACAATAAAGGGTGTCCATGACCCAGGCAATTGTAACCTCCTCTGTACCAGATGTAAAACATAAAACAATAAAGGGTGTCCATGACCCCAGACAATTGTAACGTCGTCTGTACCAGATGTAAAACATAAAACAATAAAGGGTGTCCATGACCCAGGCACTTGTAACGTCGTCTGTACCAGATGTAAAACATAAAACAACAAAGGGTATCCATGCCCCAGGCAATTGTAACGTCCTCTGTACCAGATGTAAAACATAAAACAATAAAGTGCGTCCATGACCCAGGCAATTGTAACGTCCTCTGTACCAGATGTATAACATAAAACAATAAAGGGTGTCCATGACCCAGGCAATTGTAACGTCCTCTGTACCAGATGTAAAATATAAAACAATAAAGGGTGTCCATGACCCAGGCAATTGTGACGTCCTCTGTACCAGATGTAAAACATAAAACAACAAAGGGTGTCCATGCCCCAGGCAATTGTAACGTCCTCTGTACCAGATGTGTTCATACATTCTGTTTTGTATCTTTAGTCCATCATATTCAGCATCGCTGCTAAATGATACGTAGTTAAATGTATAGTTAACGGGAGTTAAAATTAAAATTCTAATATAAATCAACGGCATGTACAATTGTCTTAGAAAAGGGAAGATTTTCTATTAAGATTCAATCTAATTAAAATACAGATCATGTGTCTACGTTTGTTCAGCAAACTTGAAACTGAGATTACTATGACACAGAGGTTGGTCACTCGCCATATCGAATCAAAACCGTGACCGGTCAAGAAATGTTTAGATAGGTATATGTGTTTTAATAATCTCAGCTTGAAAAGATGGACACATGATCTATATTGATTTTAAAATTTTTTCGAATCTGCTCCCGAAGAATCTTTATTCTAGGATAAGGTTTTTCAGAGAACCTCAATCTGATTTAATTGCAAATCTATCGGAACTCGTGCTCTCATATAAGGATAACGAAATCAGAGATCTTTCTTTAATTTAGATTGAGAGTACCTATATGTTCCAGTTTTAAATGCTGTAAGACATATGTCTGAAGAAGACTTTGAAAAAAAAGTTTTATGATCGATTGATTGACGACTGCTAAATGTCCAGCGGAAAGTAGCACACACCTATTGAGGACGATCAAAAGCAAATGTCATATGTATATGTTCGTCTTTGTACTGAATCAACACACTTATGTGTCAGAAATTTTCATCTACCAGATGTATTTCGTAGACTTTAAAATTGTTATTGTCCGCTTCCCACCCCCTAAAACGTTAATTCAAAATCTGAAGGGGGGAAGCAACCAATACTAATTTTAAAGTCTACGAAATACATCCGGTATTTAAAATGTTAAGATAAAAATACTCCTATTCTTCTGAGTAACTAATATTCTTACAATCGTAAATATTTGTAATAATTGTCTCGTTGGATGATTTAAAGCTACCATGTTAATCAATGACAAAATAAATAATAAAATGAAGGTAGGCTTACGTACATTCTTTCATTTCTGTATCGTTTATGAAAGAAATGAAATATCCATAATGCTCAACCATTAATTAGCCATGATATAACAACTGTTTTCAGACTTATAAAATGACAAATGTGTCATTATATCAATAGAAACTGGAAGATGTACGAGATTACCAAGAAATGAAAGAAAATGTAAAATTTGTAATATCTTAGATGATAAAATTCATTTTTTCTTTAACTGTAAAATTAATAAAAAAAAATAATAGAGAAACCTTTTTAAAATATTGATACACTTAACTAAACCAATAAACTCGCAATTATACTAATTCAATCAACAATGATATAAACAAAGCAGTCGTTTCTTTTTTATTAGAATGAGGAAAGGAGATTAATAACTGTTTTTATCGTGTATCTTAATATTGCTGAGTTATTCTTATCAAAATTGGTTTTTGTTTGTTTTGCAATAAAGAATTATTATAATTTCAGGTTAACAGACTTGCTCAAATATTAGGTCTTTTGTGAAGTGTTTTGTGGAAAGTTGTGGTCTTTTTGACTTTATCCTTGGTATGTCTTTCTTCGGTTTACTGTTTTTCTATTTACTTTGTCACGGAATAGTTATTATATAAAGTCAGACTAAGGAGACACTATACCCCTAATTTTGAATGTGAATTTGGATGTGCCTTCTTAAGTTTTACCGATTACACGTAGAATAAAATCATTTCAAATTTGGTTCAATACTTTAATTACAACTTACCACAAAAAGTTTCGTCTTGACCACGCGGACAATCTTTATTTTTGTCACAAATACGGGACCATTCGACACATACACCATCACATTGAAAATCTTTGCAGGGTTCTAAAACATATAAAAGCTGTGAAGCTGTAATGCATCCGATATTCCGATTTTATCTTAAACCTAGGGTGTCCATTTGAAGAAAAAAAATATTTGTGATATGATTGAATTCTTATTAAAAGTTAATTGTCTACAAAAATACCAAGTAAAAAGCGAAATGAGAATAAAAGTACAAAAAATGTGTACAAGTGCAATCGTTTGTTTACCTTTTACTTTCAAGTTTATTCGCAGTAACACGTCAGACAAATATTCTTTACATTCTACTACTCCAGTATCTTTGTATTTAAGCTTTCGAATACTCAGTTTCACCACATTTTGATCTTTAGAATATTCCGCAACATAGCGTCTGTCTTTTGAAGTTATCCTATTGCCATTGTGATACCAGTGTGAAACTGGATTTACTATAGCCTGCAATGTAAATTAGGAGCAAATATTATCACCAAGACGAAGGGAAATAGTAATAGTTTCCGTACATTTGTCCGCAACACTTTTTGAGAACTTAAAATTGAGAATGGAATGAAATCTATTATATTTAGCTATCCCGAAAGTTTTTACGTTTATGGAGATTGTCATCTGTTACAAACAGTAGCTGACCTTGCCATCTGTTACAAACAGTAGCTGACCTTGTCATCTGTTACAAACAGTAGCTGACCTTGTCATCTGTTACAAACAGTAGCTGACCTTGTCATCTGTTACAAACAGTAGCTGACCTTACTATAGCATCATTTTGGTTTTACAATTAACACATTCTGAACATTACTCTTACGATTGTTTGTCATGCTTTTTGTACCATACTGAACACCTTGAGACCATCCAACAGCGTTCATATTTACTAGACCGCATTTTTTTTTTATTTGATGATTTTTGCATTTTGAATATTACTGCATACAAGCACCGAACGACTAATTTTGTTATAACGGCTTTGTTTATGAATTTGGGCATTCCTATCTTTGTAGTGAATACAATTTACCAAAAAAATGTATTTATATTTCCACAGTCTATACTTTACACTACTATATCGAAGTTAGTTACAACGCGGTTGAGGGCATTTCCCTATGGTAAACGGACAGAAAGTCACAGGACAAAAATTCACGGGACAGAAAGTCACAAATTTAATAAGACAAAAAGTCACAGAACAAACAGTCACAAATAATTTGCTTAAAATTTTTTGAATATATAAGAGAAAGTTCTTCAAATAATAACTTTTTATTACATGTATTCATTTTACAGTTAAGGAAATCGTTCATTTGCCTTGATAAATGAAGATTTATCAAATTTTAAACATTCAAAGTATATATTTCTTAACACCATGAAGCCATTTAAGTACAAAGCCACTTGACAAATTGTTTTCTTAACAATTATATGATCATTATTGTTTTTTTATAATGATTTTTGTTTACAAAGTTGCTTTATATATAATGATTCAATAAAATTACATTTCATGTTTTATAAAAATATGTGTTTTCTTGTTCAAAGAAAAAATAATATCCAAACTGAATTGTGACTTTTTAAAAAATATTTATTTGTATGATATAAAACATTAAATACTCGTGTGGCCGTTCGACTTACCTTAAATGCATCGCCCTTTATATTACGGTAACATGAAACAGTGAGCTTTTTGCCAAGTTCTAGAGATACATCCAATGTCTGCAATGGAGCTAAAAGATAAAGTAAAATAGTTACTTGAAACATTTTTTAATAGTGTACTTTTTTCCGATAAGATCAGTGACTGTAATATGCAAATCATAATTAATAATCTGTATATCAGTAGTGTCCGTAGATTCATTAAGTTTTTTTAATCTTTTGTTTTATAGTCTGATTTGTATCGACGACCTTAAAGCCTTAACTAATTCTGAAAAAATATTCACGTCCTCTTGTTCTTGATTCGTCCATATTCTGACATAATTCTAGACATAATCCATTAGTTCATGTGCGAGAAGAGAGGCAATAGATTACCGAAGGGGTAATCAAACTTATAACCAATCGACAATGCCATGGCAAAAACAGAACGAAATACATATGTGCCATCCGTTGCATATAGACTGTTAGGAAAAATCCGATGAGTTACACGTTAAAAAGAACATATCAAACTAAATATGAATACACAAATAATCACACTAATTCATTTACATTAGTTACACTAAACAGATAATTGATATTGAAAATAACACTTTATACATTTCGTGCGTCCGAATCGATATTCTGGATTTACCTTCATTTGCAAACTCAAACCTGTGACCAATGTACTAATTGCAATTGTATGCATAATAAGAAATGTTGAGATCTATATGAAAAATCAATAGCAAATTCACCCAAGCTAAACTTTGTCTGAGGGAGTTGGAACTTCAGTCTCTTATTAATTTCTTAATCTTTCAATGGGTTATTTTTATATAAAAAATTTATAAATCATGCCTTGACTACTAAGTTGATGATACCCTCTGAGACGAACAGTCAACCAGCAGTGGTATCAATCAGTGCTATGAAATGAAAATAACAATTTATCATTTCGTGCGTCCGAAATAAAATAAAATAACCAACTTTAAAACTAATAAATATATAAAATTGTTTATCACTGTGGGGAACAAAATCTTAACCTGACAACGAAAGTAGAATAGTATCCGACAGTCATCAAGTACCGGAGTAGTTTTCGAATAGAACTCCCCAGAGACATTTAAAGGAGCTTAATCAATACATGGGGTCTTACTTGACATGGTTTTACAAGTTCATACCTTTTGTAGTAAGTGATGACATATGTGCAGATTCAACATCATCTGAAGAAGAAATAAATATAATTTTCTTATAGTCATTAATCAAATAAAACAAGGTTCATAAACAGTTATATAATATCATACAGTACGACAAATGATACCTAATTAAGGATTCATATCAAGGATTCTGAATAACTTAAATTTATCAAAACGTTTTTCGTTTCTTCTTATTATCCTGTATTTTGAAATTCTGGAATTCAAAGCATTGTTATAATATTTTACAATTTGTAATCTTATATTAATTCGAAATCTCATTACGTATGATGTCTTTATATATAAAAATTTGAATCACATGTTTTACAATATACTTTAAATAAATGATTCGATGTGTAAGAACAACATACTATCCATTTCATTATGTAATAATTATTCCATGCCATGTTCTATGCTAATTTCAAAATGAGTATGATATTTTTACATCGAGTGTTAGCATGCGCACTAAACATGCTTACTGAAAGCTTCGAAACCTTACTGCAAGTCCTTACAGTAAGCTAGATATAGCTCCACATATTCACTTATCATTTATGTTATTTGTTGTTGAATTGGTTTGAAAAACAACTCAATGGGAAATTCCAAGTATTGTTACTGTGAGACAATAAAAAAAATATATGACACAATAAGAGATGAATAAGATAATTAGTCATCGTAAGTTATGTTTGCATGTCTGATGTACACGAGATGCAATCTTTCCAAGAATTTAGGAGTGAACAGTTTGAATTAAATCACAAAATTCTTGTTTGACAGTAAATATTTGGACAATTTTGTAACTGTGATTTTTTTTACAAACTTTTAGATCATTTGTTTTTTTTCAGGGGAGGATCCAATTTGCTACACATTAAAGATAACAACTCTCTGTTGGTCTATATGTGACCTGTTGTAAGGCAAAATTTCTGCATATCCAATATATACTCATTTCCAGTGGCAGTCCAAATTTTCCGTCCTTCATCGCGGTCGGCCTCCCTTGTAGAACTTTCTTTCTAATATTGTTCGTTTGTTCTCGTCCTGAATATGCATGAAATGATTGCCGGCATTGCATGGTTTTTAAGCAAGCAACAATTGATCAATCAGTTATAGTCAGCCATCAGAGCTCATGTTTTCTTTGTTACTGTGTACATATATGCCGACTTTAAGTAAATTCTACTAACTTACTTACCTATATAAAAATAAAGAGATGTGGTATGATTGTCAATGAGACAACTCTCCACCAGAGTTCAAATCAAATGGATATAAGGAACCATAGGCCACTGTATAATTCAACAATATGAAAAAAACCCATACCGTATAGTCGGTTATAAAAGGCCTCGACATGAAAAATGTGAAACAATTCAAACGAGAAACTAACGGACAAAGTTATAATAACAATTCAATTTACGAAAATACAAATACGACGACAACCACTGAATGACAGACTCATGACTTTGGACAGGCACATATAGAAGGTGGCGTGTTAAATATGTTTTGTAATCAGTTTTCTCTATTAACTTAGCAGCAAAACTGCGATTTTCATTAATAGGTTTTAAAAAGATAATTTCAAATTCCGGCGATTAAGAGCTTGACTTATTGTATAGCCAATCCCGAGATGTGTCGTGGGTTTTTTGTCTATTTGACGTACATCCCACTTTTCCTTTTATTCACATTTCAATACGTCTTGCACAACTTACGATGAATTTTTATCGTATCATCGGATTTTGTATTAAAATACTGATCACTTTGACTGAATGTGGTAATTAGTTTCAACAGAGACAGATAAAAATAATTACAAGTTAAATCCTAGCCATCACTGTTAATAACAACTGAATTCAATCAAAGGGAAAGGGACCGTGTTCATTTGCTTGTACTTGCCTGTAGTATTTTCAGATGCTATAAATACTGTCCTGTTAGTTGGAAATACATCCGACTGTAAATCCCAAGACTCTGATATATTCGTTTTGTTGTAAATGTTATGTAACGACGCACGCAACTCTGCTATTTCATTTGAAAGAGTCTTCGTTTTACCGGTCACAAAATATTTCATTTTAGTTTCCAAAGATAAACCTTCATAAAATAATTGTCTTACATCCAATTTGAGTGTTAACGTCAGGAATTTCAAATCTTGAACTTTTTTAAAAAACTTTTTCATTTCATAATATCTGTAATGTTTTTCATAATTATTTTGAGTCCCAATTGCTACTTGTAGATTGCTTATTTTTGACTTCACATTTCTGCGAAGAGATCGAAGTTCTTTAGCAAGTATGGTCAGTTTCTTTTCGTTATCCTCAACTCGATCACAGTAAATAAAAGAAAACAAAATAATCATCCAATATAAGGAATTTCCGAAGAAAACAGTATACATATTCAAATCTTTCTTTGGTGGGAGTGTTTGTAAAACAAGGAGTCATATAAAATAATCTGTACCGTCGGAAGTATAAATCTCCTTTAAACTGTGTATCAATGTACTTACTGGTTATGACCAAATGAAAAATGTCACTGGCCATTGGTATTAACAGCACTTATACATGTACTAAGAAATGATCACAAACTATAAAGAATAGTAGTGGACTAAATAAAAGTAGTTTTCCTCATAATGTCAACTTAATAAAAATGTGGATTAAGTATAGAAATTCAACATATTTTCAACCATTATACACGCATTTATATATTTTGACGACTATCTGTTCAATTGCATAGATCTATAAAAAGCTTATACAGGCTTTCAACTCACTTGAGAAAGGGACAACTTTAGGGAACCAATTTTTAAATCAAATAGGGATTAAGTTAGTGAAATACTTAAAGAAAATCGAAATTTAACTACTTTCAATAAATAAACTGTTGACACAGAGATTTGTCTCGCCCTTTTGTAATTTTGATAGTATATGCAAACATTCAATCCAAATATCAATATTTAATACATGTATAATGTCTTCTTTGACTGTCCATGGCGTTAAAACACTTAATCCCTGCCTGGGATGTGTTTTAATTGATTTTAGTTACTGATGCATGATTTTTCATTATTTATTGTTTTGGTTTTTAACTAGCTTTCAGTAACTGCGAGTACTCTCAGATCGTACTTTCGTGTTAATTTGACCTGTTGACACAATTTGTAATGCATTTCTGTTATTCAATATTTACTTTTTTTGTGTTATATCTCGTCTTACTATTTTTAATATGTACCAACTTTGATAAGTATTTAGAATGACGAAAAAAATTTCACTTCTGTACTCGTACTATGAATAACAAATTTATTTTGTACACAACGTTTCTGTACTCCTAACAACAAAATTATTATATTTAGATTTACCTGTGTACGTTAATTTATTTAACCATTTTGCCCTAGGTTAAAGTTGTCTTTTTGACATTGAAACATCTTTTTTATTTATGTTGTGTCATAGATCAATCTTATTGGCTCGGTGTATAAGAGATAAGATAAGATAAGAATTTTATTAATCTAATCAAGAACCCATAAAGGGCATCATTTACAACAATATTAAGCACAATATGATTGGAAAAAAGAAAAACTATATCCTAATATAATACTATCATATATTGGACAGGATCAGAGCCTAACACATCATGTGTCTTACATAACATTAACAATAATTGCATAATAATTTTATATATTTTGTATCCACCTGGATCTTATTTCTAAACACTTAATTATATAATTGCCTAGGCACATAAGAGTTGGTAAATGCTCATTTGTGAACAGCCAGAAATATTTTTTATCCTTGGGTAATTCTTTAAAATTATTACAAAAACTGTTTACTTTATCCCATAATAATTTTCTCTGTTCGTTATATAAAGGACAACTTACTGTGAAATGGGTCTCATCTTCAATAGAATTTGATCCATGTGATAGGCAGTGATGACATAGACGCTGACTTCTCTCTATGTATTTTTTACTATACCTATCTTTCTCAATTTTAAGATCATGTGCACTTATTCTCAATTTACATATAGCTCTTCTTATATTAAAATCTTTAATTGATAAATAAGCCTCCTTTACGAAGTCAGTCTTGAGGTTGAAATAATTTTCTAATTTACTATTACCTTGTGATAAGGTATCAGATCTTTTGACCCCCCAAAATGTTTTAAAACTGTTACAAAGTTTACATTTTACAAATTTAATTAATCTATTGAGCTTTGTATTCAAATTTTGTATATCAAGTGATTGAAGGACATATCTCATAGATGAATACCAACAATTAATGTTTCCTGCATCTAAAATTTTATTACAAACATAAGCATCATAAAGTAACCCATCGTCCAATTTGTTAAGCCTGTGTACATATTTTACCATAGATATAATGACAGAAAAATAAAGAGGAAATCTTGCAACCTCTGATAACACTGCCAAATTTGAGGCTTTTTTATTTACACCAAGAATATATTTTAGATACCTGAAATGTGATTTTTCCAAATAATCATTTATGTAAATTAATTCAAATAGATAATCACTTTTTTTCTTGCAAGCAGCAGAGTTAATCTTAAAGGTACCCCAGATTTCACTACAATATAATAAAATTGGTTTTATTGTGTGATCATATAAATGGATTGCAGTATCAATACTTGGATTACAAGCTGACATGGATTTTTGTAGTTTAAATTTTGCCTTTAAGGACTTTTTGAATAGCTCTTCTTTCCCCTGCTGAAAAAGACCACTGGAAGTAAAGACTATCCCTAAATATTTATATCTGTTAACACATTCTATAGCCTCATTATCTAAACAAAGTGATTCCTTCAAAAATTTTCCAGGCTTGTTAAAAATTAAAACTTTTGTTTTGGACAAGTTAACATCTAGACACCAATCAATACAATAAGTTTGCAGGTTATCAAGTCGGGTTTGCAGACCCTGTTTAGTGTTTGATAATATAATAATGTCATCGGCGTACATAAGACAATCAATTCTACGCCCATTGATATAAACAGCATCTGGACTCGACTCAAATCTTGGAGGCAGATCGTTAATGAAAAGCTTAAATAAATTTGGGCTTAGAACATCCCCTTGCCTAACCCCAACTAGCGAG